ACACACACACACACACACACACACACACACACACACACACACACACATACAAACACACACACACACACACGGACGCACGCACACAAACAAAAACACACACACACGCAAGCTCTACCGCTACTAAAATGCTAATAATAATAACGCGTACACACACATAGCCCCGCATTAGGGAAACCCTACAGGGTTTTCCATGTGCTATCAACCCTACAGGGTTGTCCAATGTCCATGGCATCCACGATGTATCGCGGTTAATTTGTTGTTATCTGTGTGTACAGATAACAACAAATTACATCCAAACTCACGTGAGAAACAAATGTAGGCCTTACAAATATTTCTTCCGGCCCGGAAATGGAACCCGGGACCTCTACATGGCAGTCCAGGATGGTAACCGTTCGGCCTCAGAGGCTTAACTTCAATACAAGTGTAACATCCCATTTGAAAGTTTGATAGCATGTAAAATAACCTTAGAATGAAATCATCAACTTAAATAATTATTAAAAGATTTACGAGTGTGTACCTACATAAACATGTGTTTGGAATACTAATAAGTCATGAATTTATCCATGCCTACATTGATTGGTGAGAAAACCACGCATGTTTCTGTGTTTCACACATGTAATTATCGTAAATCGTTTTGAATTTATCTCTAGAATTCTGGGGAGGGAGACAATTTTCCGCACTTGCGCTTCACTTCATACGTCTGTCCTACAAAATATATTTTTAATAGCCACTATTTCATTTAATTCCTCTGTGTATTGTAAAGAATAAAAACGATTTCTATCTATTATATGGAAATGTCGACCTTTTGTAAATAATAACGTCTGAATTCGTTCATTGCATAATTGTAACAAAACTCGTACAGTAGGAAAGAAACTCGTACTCAAAAACGTTCAGCCTTAAATTTTCCGATAAATAAAATGTAAAAAACACTGAAAATGCAATAAAGTAAAATAAAAATAATTTATAAAATGTCAACTTATAAATTATTATATACGTTCTTTGCCCATTTTCCTGTATTTAATAAACAACTTTTCAATTGATCTTGAGACATTATAAACGTATAGAAAGATCATTGTTATAAATAAAAAATCTCCGCCCACTTCCGCACTAATGCGGATAACTGCCACTTACCGCACGCTTCACCGCACTTTTCGAGCAAACGTATAGAATAAGAAATTGCAAATTGGAGATGGGTTCCTTAAGGAAAATTGATATCCCACCGAATTTGAAAAGTGTAATATATCCCTTGTAGAACCGATCAGCAGACTAGCGTAGAAAGTAGGGCCAGCACAAGCACAAGCAGTACCACCAGTACCACCACAAGTACCACTACAACCACTACAACCCCGAGTACTATCAGCAGCACCACTACCAGTACAACCACTAAGAGGCCGACAACCGAGGCACCAAGACCGTTCTTGCAGCTGCTGCCAATTCAAACTACACAGACTTCCGCACAGAAGAAACAAGCGACGACAGCAGTGAAGACAAGTAAGTAATTTTAATATATAAAAAAATATGATTAAAAATTACAAAACTTGATCGTCGATTTTAAATTGAATCATTTATCCGATCTTGAGTAGGTACGGTCAAGTAGCGATAATCAAACATTGCCTATTTCCCCTTCATCCTTCAGTTGAACCTAGACAGGGCGACTACGTTGCCGTCACGTAACACCATCCAAAAAACTGGAGTTTAAAACAGTTGAGACCTCTTTTGTTGAATTTTACAAATAAATAATAAATTAATTCTACATAATTATATTAAAAACTATTCGAAAATATGACACGGAGAACTAATATCACGGGAAAGGTCAGTCAGTAGGTAGTGAACAAGTCGTAATTCTTTATGCAACAGTTAAGGTTAAGTAAATCTTATTCTTCTCACGCGTTATTTTTTTGGCAGTACGAGACACAATATTAATAATTTAGTATACACATTATTCTACACGTGTCGCCCACAAATCAACACTAGCCTAATTTAAAAAATTGCAACTTCACCAAAGCTTTTAAAAGGGAAACTGGTGTTAACTTTTTAATTTTCAAGCATAAATTAATTTTTATTTTACTACAACTTATTCATCATAGACTATAGAACATAATTATGATTATGAACTTTTGTGTTATTTTCTTAATTTTGAATTTAATTTATATACTACCTGAATAATTTGGTATTACGCAAAACGCAAAATCAACAAAATTCGAGTTAGCGTAGTGTTTATTGTTGGTGTCGAAATATAGACGACACACTATAATACACTTAACTCTTGCAATGCAATTAAATTATGGTGACAATAATATAAACTGCCTCCGTGACAGGACTGCCACGTGGATCCCAGGTTCGATTCCCGGGCCGGGAGAAATATATTTATATAGCCTACATTTATTTCTCTCCTGAGTTTGGGTGTAATTTGTGGGTGATGTGTGTGTGCATTATTATTATTAAATATACACCCGCACTTCTTGTTGCATTATATAATTTAGGCATGGTATATATACCTACTCGTATTGGTTGTCGCTGTTCGTTATTTTCCTGTCATTTTGCACTTTAATATACCCGCCTAACATGCGCAACATATGATGTAGTCGTCTAGTTTAAGGTGCCACTGTAAGCCAATTACTGACCTACTGATATTGACCAAAAAATTGCAAGATTTTGACGCAACGTTTGAGGTAAGTGCTCGTACAGGTACATTACAATACTTGGGCTCTAGACAGACAGACTGCATTTCAACTGCAAATTTGCAGTTTGAATGCAGTTTAAATGTAGTTGGCCCAACTGCATTTGAACTGTATTCAAGAGTTTCATTGGAACTGCACGCCAACTGCACACCGACTGCAATCGGTCTGCACGGTCGAGTGCATTTGAACTGCATTCAAACTGCAAATTTGCAGTCGGAGTGCAGTTCAAACGCAGACTGTCTGAATAGAGCTACAGGTTAAATACAATTTGCAACAGGTTTACGAGTACAAATTTAGAAATTCTAACCATTTTAAGTAGACGCGAACACACCAATAGACAATTTAAGAAATAACTTTAACAAATGCAACCGTGTAGTTTGGTAATACAATGGGATCCAGGCTCTTTAACTTTTTATGACTGAATCCTAATACGTGGATTAATCAATCACAGGTAAAAACCTGAAGTACGTGTGCCCGAGACCAGGAACAGCTCCAATACTGATATTCCCCTTACCATGTGAGAACAATGCGCAGTGCCGTGCCAGCAACGGCCCTGACCAGGTTTGTTGCGAGAAGCGATGCGTCAAGGGTGTGCCGGCACCACGGCCCACTTCGAAGCCTCGGACTCACCAACGTATGTATACTTGGTACCAATTACTTTAGTTAAATAGTTACAAGTTTCTTACCACGCGATCCGATATTTTGGAACGGTTACACGTTGTATGTATGGTCATGGGTTGACTGGCCAGCAGCAGTTTACCTACTGCATGAAGAAGAAACATTCTACTCTTATTCGCTGTCGTCGAGACGAGGTGTCACGATTTCTTGCGGCGTTTAGTGCTTACAACCAGAGATGGGAAAAACCGCTTAATTTTCAAACGTTTAAACGTATACGCTTTTTTAAAAAAGCGTGCTTTTTTAGACACTTTTCACTTAAACGCTTTTTAGTTTGAAGTTTAAAAAATCCTTTAGAAAAACGTTTAAGCGCATAAACTTTTAGGTTAAAAAAGCTGGCAGAGTTGTGTTGATAGCGAAAAGAAAGAGTAAACCGCTATTGGTTTTAAATTACCCATGTTTATTTGCAAAACGCGACTTTTATTTTTTGTTTATAAAATTATTATTCACGTTGACATTAATTTGTTTAGGAAACTTATATGGTGGGACTTGAAACTGAGGACATTGTAAAAAATGAAATAGTGACCAAGGCTTACGCTTAAAATAAAAAGCGTGCTTATTTTAAAAAGCAAACTTTTTAAGTGCTTTTCGTTTAAACGCCCACCTCTACTTACAACAACAGCAGAATTAACAGTGGTTCGACTTTAGTTTCAAGTGTAGATAGTGAGTGCGTTTTGTCGTTTAAAAGTAAGTGACTATGGTAACTCCGCAGGAAATCGAGATGAGTCGTTTAGGCGCCGCGCAAACGTGTGTCTTGTGTTGGATACAAGCAACCGGCAACTAGAAACGAATATTCTATTTTCATACAATTGATATGAAATCGACAGTCGCTGGTTGCGGCAACCATACACAGTCGCCGCCGGTTGCGGCAGTCGGACACTCACCGGTTGCCGCAACCGAAATTTCTATGAAAATAGAATATTCGCTTCTAGTTGTCGGTTGCTTTTTTCCGTGGGTAAATCCTAGGATACCTCTCCGCCGCGGAGGCAACGGACTTCTACCGGCTAAAACCCCATAGTGGCCCTCTCGGGTGCTTTAGTGGAGGGATCCGGGAACGACTCCCCCTCCCCCTCTTCAACATGAAGTGGGCCACATCACCCCGTCGTCCTCATCGCGATTGCCTAACTTACAGGCGAACGGAGCCCCCGCTCCGCTTGCCCGCAGCCGCCGCGTCGGCGACCTCCTTCTGGAGCATCACCGCTTCACAGAAGGAAGCCACTGCCTCATTGGACTCCTGATCCTTTAGCATAGTCATTATAATGACTGGCTGAGAGAGATCTCGCCCGATCCGGGTAACCAGATTGTTCCACTTGGAGGCCCATGCGAGGCACTCCAGTGCCTTTTGCAAGTATCCAACACAAGACACACGTTTGCGCGACGCCTTAGGGCGTTCCCACTATGTCGTTACGTTTTATTATCGTTGGACGACTGTCGTGACTAGCTGTACCCACTAAATCGTGACGACAATTTATCGTTTCACGACAGCCTCCTTGTCGTTTGCACGACAGAATCGTTTGATGCACTGCAGTCGCTTGTATGTCATTTTGGAAGCCCAACGCTACTCCTAAGCGAGCAGAGGGCGCGGAGTACGAGAGGGGAGGGCAGGGAGCAGAATACGTGCGGACAGCGATAAATAAAACGTGATGACAATAGGAGCTGGGACAATCTGTCGTCACGTTTTTATCGTCTGACGACTGTTGTTCTACCTGTTTCCACTGTGACGACAGTTTATCGTTGTAACGATAACAAATCGTGAACGACAGTTAATCGTGTCATGCTATATGTGAACAACTTCATTTAAATATACAAGCCCCGACACTATAAAGTGCACGACAATCTGTCGTCACGATATAGTGGAAACGCGCCCTTAGAGCATGTTCACATGACGAGCGTTCAACGGGCGTTTCGCTAACGCGCGTTTACAACTTGCCGAATTTTGTAAGTAAATCGCTGTAGGTATTCACATGCGAGCGGCCAACGCGCGCTCAACGCCGCGCTGACGCCGGGCACTTGTCAACGCGCATTGAGATCATAGGTTTGCCGTACTGCCGTTCGCATGACCGTTGCCACTTTGACTCGTTCTCGAGCAGACACTTTTGCTCGTTTTCAACGCGGTGAGAGGTTTTTGCAACTTCAATTCTTTTTTAAAAAGCAGAGTTGAGCAGTTCTATAATCGAATCGAAGCGTGCGTAAAGTGTTACTTTCCCTCCGCGCCTTTCGGGCGTCCAGTCGAAGATGGACGTGGAAAAACTATATGTTTATGGATTTTATGTCGAAGACGGAGACAGCAACGCAACAGGAGACGGAAATATTGGGTCCATTCTATTTTATTATCGAGGCTCAGGGAAAGTCACTCATAACTTCAATAAATTGAAAAAATTCAAAATTTCAATTTCAATTGCAAAACACGTCTCACCGCGTCGAAAACGCGCGCTCGTGTTGTGAACAGCAGTACGGCAAACCTATGATCTCAAAGCGCGCTTCAACGCGCGTTGACAAGTGCCCGCCGTTAGCGCGGCGTAGAGCGCGTTTGGCCGCTCACATGTGAACACCTAAGGCGATTTACTTACAAAATTCGGTAAGTTGTAAGCGCGCGTTGAACGATCGTTCGTCATGTGAACATGCTCTTAGAGTAGAAGATTAGGGTAGATAGAAGTTACGGAATTACAACTTTACATATATTTGACTATCAAAGAATTCTGAAGAACTGCCGAGTTCACCAGAGATCAGGCTAGGGGATCCTGGTGAATTGAATGTAAACTGCTGGCTCGAAATATTGGGCCACAGTCCATCTTATCTGCCCAATCCCCGATTGTGGCTCAATACTTCTCCATAGAGGACGCCTGCGCCTAAAATTGAGACGTTTCAGGGCTAAAATAATTGGTATAGATGGAGGGGAGACTCTTGAAAATTAGCTTCAGAATCCGAGACCGTAAATGCATTTAGTGAAGACTATTTTTCGTGTAATGAATTGGTTAATCCTTGTAGCCTTATTGGGAGTAATACCCCGTGAGTGTCCAACAACGCCACTGGGCGAGCTGCTGTTCGAGGTGCAGACGTGTAAGACTGACGCCGACTGCTGGCCACGCGTGTGCTGTCCCGACGGCAAGCGCTCTTACTGCCGCACGGCGCGCGCCCGTTTAGACCTCGTGCCCATCGCTAACCAAATCGACGAACGTACGTCCAGAGATTCTCTTTTAATTTTGTTGGCAGCAGAGTAAATTATACATGTTGTCAGACAATATACTACACGTACATGTCACATCCCGTCACACAGAAATACAAAGTATTTATTGCAGATTGTAATAAACTGCAGAGTCCAAGTTACATGGGTATTGACGTCGCTCCTTGGCGACATCCCAACCCCTGCCTTTTTAGAAACTAAGAGAAATATATAATTAATTTTTTTGCTCAAGCCAAATTTAATCAGATTCATGTTCCTGTATGGAATTATCTTACTGTGATCTTACGCCAAGTCGTAAATTCATTAAATAAATTTTCCAGCGGTTCGCATGTTCGAGCAGTACCTGCAGTGCACGGCGCCGCCGCAACTGGATCTCTTTCCTCAGCGCTGCACTTCAAGTGTAGATTGTTTCCCCAACCTATGTTGCGCCGAAGGCGGGAAAAAGCACTGCCGGCCCCCACAACGAAGCTTGTTGGGGTTACTTGCAGGAATGACACAGGTACAAGTTTCTGTTATTGTAAACTTTCTAAATGTACCTAAGTTGTAAACTTTGAAGAGAGAAATAAACATTTTTGTATATTTTGTATTTGTATTTAACTTATTTAGTTTGCATTCCGCTGTTGTGCTCAGTATGTTTTTTTTTTCAAAGATATGAACAAACTGGTTTTGAAATATCTCATGTCTCAAGCTTTCTTATGGATAAACTGCTACCTATTTCAATTTTCAACACAATACAATATTCAAGTGTTAAAGGACTTTGGGTAAATTAAATTTAGGATGATTTACGATTAATAACTTGTATAGTGCTATTAATGATACAAAGATGTAACTGACATAAAGGAAAATTCCTGCCATCTGATGGATGCAGTGGCTCCGGCGCGTGACAACAGACTGTGGTTTGAGTCCAGTCATAGCTAAGGAATTTATTTTACTTTGCATCAATAATAATTAATAATAGAGGAGTATTTTATTCAAAAAACATATAAAAATCATGGTAGTAAAACATCATGATAATCAATGAATAAATATAGTTTTATTTGTTTCAGAGAGTTGGTTCTACAATAGGTGCTCTGCGACAAATTCAAGCTAAAAACAATAAAGCCTAATTTAACCAACTTTGTAAATAGTAGTTGTAGTAATATATTTTATAATGCCTTTGTACAGTTTACAATAAAAATTTATATTGTTTATTTGCCTTTTAATTTGCCCCCAATATACTTCTATGTTTCCTATAAATTCTAGTAAAGAATAATTAAGAGGATAAAAAATAAAATGCCATCTCACTTAACATTACGGTTTATTGAATCTTAGCCATAACTTAGTCCAGCTGAAACGAAAAAAAAAACAATATTAGTTAGAACAAAAACAATCACATTAGTATTTCTATGTGTCATGGTTTACATTTGTAAAATTTATAGAAAATGAATTAAGTTTTGTATACAGGGTGTAAACTGGAGACAGGGCAACATGGTCAGCTACCTTAATCGTTATAATTACAGGAAAACGGTTCTAGAGGACTGTCCATAAATTGTGATGGTATTTTGATTGGCATTCACAGATTTTGAAAAAAAGGTACAGTCAGCAAGATGAAAGACAAATTTTACAAAACTTTTTTTTATGCCATTCCATCTAGTCTCTGGTAAGGATCAATAGTCTCTATGGGACCAACTGAGGTAAGAGTACTCGAAATACCAGAAAAAACCTTTTACCACACATTTTAAAAGAAAACTTTTTGTTAGAAAAGAAACTAGCTGCTACTCTTCAAATAAAAATTAAGTAAAACCAAATTATAATCATATCATTATATTTTAAATTTGGAACAGATTTGTTTTGTTTTGTTAATAGCGAACTGTCACTTTAAATACTATTTTTAATCAAAATGTCCTCAAATGTAGAATGCTTAGAATTATTGGAAGCATATTATTTAAAAATGGTAAAAACTGTACAACTGCTTTGAAGTGGTATAGGGTCAAATATCCTTTACTAAGGGTCATATTCTAGAACTCTACTCAATGCTCAAGTCAGGATTGCAATAGAAACACAAGCACTGGAAATACGACCCTAATGCCCTGCCATTAGGGTCGTATTTCCACTTGTAGTTGTACTTGTACTTGAGTATGATTTCGAGTGCTTTATACCATACTCAAATCCTGACTTGAGCATTGAGTAGAGTTCTAGAATACGACCCTTAGAGTGCCCACCAGAAAGGTTATAACAAATATTTTAAGGAATCTTGAAGAATATGGCTCCTTTAGTAAAAAATTGGTACGACAATCACGTGTTCTCGGTGAAAATATGGAGATTGCGGTTTTATCACTCGTAGAAGCTTTTCCTAACATACCTTGAAGATAAGTGACCATCAAAGAGGGTATTTTGCACACGCAACTACGGAACGTATGGAAGAAATACGTAATAATATACTAATGTTATCGTCGGGGTCAAATAATACAAGCATTACATGTCGAAGATAATATTCGTAGAACTAATTTTTACAGATGGCTTAGCGGAAAAATAAGCCGAGATCATAATTTGTAAATTACATTCTATGGTCTGACAAAACAAATTTTCCAAACAAAGGTATGTGCAAAAGGCGAAATCATCATTATTGGTCAAGAGAAAACACTCTGAGATTTACCGACAGTTATAATCAGATTCGTTTCTCTCTTAATTGCTAGTGCGGTCTTATGTTAAATAGAATCGTAATGGTGGCATTTTATGAAGGTGCCTTGAAATTAAGACACTTACAATGACACAATTTTAGACAATCTTCAAAATCGTCTGGACGAATGCCGCTTTCTCGTTTGAGAAAAGTGTATTTTCAACAAGATGGTTCTCTGCCACACAATAGCTGCCGAACACGTTTAAATTTAAACCAGCTATTTGGAAATAAATGGATGTCCTATATATATATATATGTGCCCTACAGCTGGCGAGAGGTAAAAGTCATATTTATACCGAAACCAGGTAAAAACGACTACACTGACGCGAAGTCCTTCAGACCAATCAGCCTCACATCGTTCTTTTTGAAAACATTAGAAAGGTTATGTGACAGAGAACTGAGGGATGGAGCGCTTAAGAACATACCACTACACGGAAACCAACATGCATACAGTCAAGGCAAATCCACTGAATCAGCCCTACAGGCCGTTGTGGGCAAGATAGAAGTGGCCCTCAAAGACAAAGCAATCTGCCTAGGCACCTTTATCGACATTGAAGGAGCCTTCGACAAAACCAATTCTCCAGCATTCAATCAGCACTGAGGAGGCACGAAGTGGATGAAGTGCTCATCAGCTGGATTAGCAACATGCTAAAATTAAGAACAATAAAAACGACAGCAAATATGACCCCATGGGCCATAGTAGCGAAGGGATGCCCTCAAGGAGGGGTACTGTCGCCTCTGCTGTGGAACATGGTCGTAAATGACCTCATCATTAAATTGAACAAAGAACATTTCTATACAGTAGGATATGCTGATGACATAGCTATACTGGTAACAGGAAATTATGCCAATGTACTCTGCGACATTACACAAGCTGCACTCCGGATTGTGGAAAGATGGTGCAGGGCATATGAACTATCGGTAAACCCAACAAAGACGGAACTAGTAATGTTTACAAACAAAAGACTACTGGGTAACTACCTACTACCCAAACTCTTCAGTACAGAACTACAGATATCAACCGAAGTCAAGTACTTGGGAGTAATACTGGACAACAAGTTGAATTGGAACAAGCATATGGACAACAAAATTAAAAAAGCCACTATCACCTTCTGGCAGTGCCATAGAATGGTAGGTAAACAATGGGGACTCTCACCCAAAATAACACTATGGCTCTACACAGCAGTGATAAGACCCATGATCAGTTACGGCGCGATAGTATGGTGGCCACGAACCAAGCTGACGACCGCAACCGACAAACTGGAAAAATTCCAAAGACTAGCTTGCATGGCAACGACCGGCTGCATGAGGACAACTCCGACTGCGGCCCTCGAAGCGATGCTGGACTTGCGACCCCTCCCAATGTTCATTAGACAGGAAGCGGCGTCAACAGCAGTGCGTCTTAACAGAGCCGGCCTTTGGAAGCACATGAGGACCCCACATACAGAAATCCTTTATAAGACAGTCAATGAGGAACCGCTACTGGAGGCGGCTGTGGATAGGATCCCAAAACAATACATCTTCGACAAAAAATACAAGATACAATTGTTTGAAGATCCAAATGAAGGACTGAACCCCAAAGAGATCCGCGTCTTCACCGATGGATCTAAAACAAATTCAGGAACAGGTACTGGGGTATTCTCAGAAGACCTCAATATCAGGATATCGACACCGCTTGGTGACCACAACACAGTATTCCAGGCTGAATGCATGGGCATCAAGTTGGCGGCAGAAGCAATCATAGCGAGAAGAGTAAAGAACCACTCCATTCGAATACTCTCTGATAGTATGTCAGTACTTCAAGCACTGAACAGCTATGACATAAACTCAGGGCTCATTTATGAATGCCATCAAGCACTCATGGAGGTATGTATACAAAACCACTTAACTCTACAGTGGATTAAAGGACACAGCGGCTCACGGGGCAATGACGCAGCAGATGAACTAGCCAGAAAAGGGTCGGAGACGGACGCAGTAGGACCAGAACCCATAGTGTCCCTCCCCTACCAATGGTCCAGAACAACTATACACAAAGGTACAAAAACTTCACATAATAATACATGGACCACACTTATGGTTTGTAGACAGGCGAGGGAAGCACTCCCAACGCTCAATGCCAGTCTATCACGAATATTAATTAAACTCAACAGGCAAGAGCTTCGCACTCTAACTGCCGCCCTAACAGGTCATGGTCCATACAATAAACACCTTTTCAATTTAGGTATCACAGACAGCCCTCTATGCAGAGCGTGCATGGAGGGGGAGGAAACGGCTGCGCACATCCTACTACAGTGCTCCGGCGTGGCCAACTACAGGGCAAAGTACCTTGGAGTGCCAAGGTCGCTCCCCGAAGTCTTCAGCAAACCGAGGAGGCTGCTGAGATTCCTGGAGGAGCTTGGGTGGCACGAGTAGGACCCTGCACCCACCACACGCAAAATAGGCGCCTTGTCGTCGAGTTGCGGACACCAGCCCGTTACACCAAGTACCAAGTACCAAGATGGATGTCCTGATCTGATGCCCCTTGATTTTTTTCTTCGGGGCAATGTAAAAAATTAAATTTTAAAAAAATACAACAGTGTGCAAGAATTGAAAAATGCACTTGCAGCAATTTTCAATGCAATCCATCTGAGTAAAATTTCAGCTGCTTCTTGCTTTTTGCAATAGAAAGCAAAGCATTGTATTCGCCAAGGCGGCAATCAATTTGAACACTTACTATCTCATAGATTTAATTTGAGCACTTCATATCATATACTTTTTTTTGTCATTTTCCTTTTTCTTATTGTATTTATTTTCAAGTACATATGTTGTAAATTTGTTAGTTTACTTAAATTTACCTAGAATAACACTCAATTTCTGACATTTGAAGTACTCGTACCTCAGTTGGTACCATAGAGCCTATTGATCCTTACCAGAGACCGGATATAATGGTATAAAAAAAGTTTTGTTTAAATTGCCTCTTATCTTGCTGACTGTACCATTCGTTCAAAATCTGTGAATGCCAATCAAAATATCTTCAAAATTCATGGGTAGTCTTCTAGAACCGTTTTCCCTGTAACTACAAAGATTAAGTTACCTGCCTTGCTGCCTCATCTCACAATTTACACCCTGTACAGGGTTATGGAGCACATTTGAAAAGCTCTTAAAGTTATACTATTTCAATACACATTACGCACACTATATAAAAATAAAGGAATGCATGATGCATCTCTGTTTATCTGTATAAATACATTTCAAAAATGGGTTTGGGATCACAATTTTTGCTGTAAGTCAAGTGTTTTACTGGAGTTGAGCTATGCTTTTCACGAATCTCATGGACACAGGGCGCACTTAAATATTTTGTTGAGGATATTGTGGGCTTATTTCAAATATGTGAAAAGAGATTGGCAGCTTGATTTAAATAGGTTACAAAACTTATCAACTATTGCTACAATACAATGGACATGAGAAGTTATGACTTTGAGGAACTGGTATGTACGATTAAAACGCAGTGACATATTTTAGCAAGTGTCCCAGTAACAGGAAAGAAGTTTGAAATTAAAATTGTAGTAAAAAGTCCTAAGGCGATACTCCCGCCGTTATAAGTGTTTCTCTCTGAACTTACCTTCTTGAATCCAATGTCATTCGCGTATTCCCTGAAGCACTGTCTGCAAATGTTGAGACCGTACTTGCGAATGAGGCCGTGTCTATTGGAGCAGGCTCGGCTGAAATAAGAAATATGTTTCTAGAAAACACGTGTTCTAACCGTAACAAAGATATTTTACATCAGCTTCATAGTTACACACCAAGTTGCTACTCACCATGAGCGGGAGCCTTGTCCATATCTACGAGGGTGAGAATACCAGATATTTGCGTGACCCATTGTGGAAAAAAGGATTTTTCACAAAACAGCCGACAAGAATTCGCCCAAAATGGCGAGCGCACAGACAAAAAAGACCGAATGTACAAGTTTTTCAGTCGGTCAAAAGAGTGAGTAGCTAAAGATATATTTTTTATTTATTTATTAAGGCTTTGGCAAAGCCATCAGCCTAAACATGAAGTTTAGTTATGTTTCTGTAAATATGGCCGCCACAAAGAGGATAGGCAATTTGAGGCGGCGTGTTTGGATTGACTCCGTATTCCTTAAAACGGGCCGATACGGGTATTCTAGTTCGAGATTCGTATAATTTCGCGTTTTAATCTTCGATTAAGGCACAACAGCGCTATCCTATTCCACTTTAAACTAGATTTCACAAAATAATTGAAAATCAAAATAAAAACGAAATTTTTCCCTCCAAAAGGTCCAGAGTGAAACTCGTAGCTAAAGATACTTATTTTATTTTGTTTTTTTTTTACTCCTGCTAGCGGGTTGGATACACCACAATGTGCTTTTAAAACAGTGACTAGTATTTTGGCTCTTCGAAGGCTAGCGTAGCGTCTGGGCGAGCCTAAATGCGACAATACACGTCCGTTTTTTCCATTCGATAGTCTGATCCGACTACCGGAAGACGCTCGTACCATATAATTGTATGAACACTCAATACATGACGTGACATCCGAGTCGGAAATAGCGTCCGATTTTATTATCGATCCGATTGTCTGAATGCGCGCTCTCTATACATTTGCGGGGAGACGAAATACACGTCTGATTCTTTCCTCCGATAAGTAGCGTTGCCAATGCAAATTATTGAAAATCCCCAAAAATCAAGGTTATAAATTTGAGGAGAGCAAAGGTGATATTTCCCACATATAATAATAATTATTCCTTCTCAGTATTTATTATTGTTACGCTTAAAAATACATCAAATAATTAAGAAAGTCAAAATGTGCCCATCTATTCCAAATAAGTTATGCTATAATTAGAAATAAACACAACAAGTTGATTTAAGTTCAAACCTTAATGTTTAAGCTTGACGAGTGGCAAGTTCTGGTATTAAGATCTATCTATAAATATTCGGGTCGTGCCCGGGACGTGGACGGGCCATGCTCCGTCACGGGCTCAAAAAAATATCGTTGCCTTTATTTTGTCTGAACTCGTTCACACATGTTCGTGTCCGGGCTGGCGCCGGGACGGGCCCGCAGTTTATACAAACTAGTACGCCCCATCCACGTCTCGGGCACGGCCCTGATGTGTGTGGATAGTCCTTTAAAATACCTACTGCTCGGCTTTGTTCGGCAACAGCTGTATTCCTTTTTCACACCGGGGACTGGTCAAAAGGAGGAAGGGTCGCGCGCTCAACACGCACCGACTGATCATCCATCATCCTATTTAAGAGCCAGGCTCTTGTCGGTGACTGATAATAGTAGTAATTTTACAATTCAAGACATAGTGATTCTAATCCTACTGGATAATTTTATACAAATAAGCGGTTTGCTAATAATTCTATATAAATATTGCTATATAAGCAGTGCATGGGCGAAGTTGAAAAAATAAATTATTGTTATATATAAAAATAAATTATATTATTATATAATTAAATATATAGTTAAAATAAAATTCTAGAATGCGATTGCATTTTCCCCACGTAGCGTAATCCAAACAAAATCTCCAAACGAGTTGATGAGTTGAAATTCCCTGTATTTGGGGAATTCCCCATAAATTGGCAACACTATAGTTCGTTCAGAAAAAGTCTGACAAAAAAATCGGACGCCTATCGGACGTGTATTGAGTGAATCCAATCCGATAGTCGGATCCGACCATCAGACATGAAATCGGACGTGTATTACCTACCGCATTTCCATCCTCTAAGGGGCGAGTGACAGGTTAACTAATTTAATTTTTATTTAATTGAAGCTGAGCTTAGAGCGCATATAGGACGTGAGGCGCTATTAGCGTTATTTTTCGAATAAAACTTTCTGCCACTTTTTGAGGGGCGGGGGGTAGTACTACCAGTAAACAGGTGCACTCAAATGCAATATTCTGCCCTCAGAACGAAAAAAGGCACAACTGCTGTATAAAGATAGTTGTGACTTTTTTCTACAACAGTAGCTTATTTTTAACCGACTTCAAAAAAGGAGGAGGTTCTCAATTCGACTGTATGTTTTTTTTTCTTGTATCTATGTTACGCGATAACTCCGGTATTTGTGAACCGATTTTCATGATTCTTTTTTTATTGGAAAGGGGGTACTTCCATAGTGGTCCCATTTCATTTTGAAGGAAATCATCCACCTCTAAGGGTGGCTGTTCACGCATGTAGATTCATTTTTATAAATAGCGCCTACATTTTCTTAAGGAGTAATTATTTTAATGGCTGATTTTGCTATTCTCCAATTCAAGGCGTTTTTCTCTCAATATTCTTTGAGTAGTGAGAACTGATTTTTATTATCTCCAGTGTCAAGTCCTGTAGAGTGGCGAATTTAAGGATATTTCAATAAAACTTAGCAAATAGACGTAACTTAGTTCCACGTACTTTTGAGGTCGGTTTTTTTAGTACTCTGTACTGAAATTATTATTACAAATACACAGATAAAACACACATTCAGGTCATGTCCGTACACAGAATAGGCCTATAAAAATAAATTGATTCTTAAGAATATACTAGAGACGGAAAGTTATCGACGTGACGGTGTCGATATGTTTTACGTACTGGTTAATCACGTATATGAAAAATGTAATTCCACCATTGGCTAGACCCACAGACATATAGACCCGATGTAGTGAATGTATTTTTCCAATTTTGTGTGTAGTGTAACAATGGTATTGTTTTACTTGTATTTGCCAGAGGAGATTGTCCATTGACTTGCCAATAAATGGATGACAATAAATACAATCCAAAGTCTAATGCAAAAACCGCGAAAAAATATCCAGAGATTTGTTTTTCAGTTTATGGCTTTTCGCGGTCAGCGCTGAAGCCAAAGACAAGCATGGCCGGAGTTAATCTATACAAACGTAGTGACATGTATAGACATATTAAAAAAAACTAAAATATTTAATTTAAATTGTAATGTCATTGCAGTATTGCTTAATTTTGTTTGCCACAATTTAAAGGCTCAAAAATTATACATATTATTCAGCTTCTACTGGAAGTGCACCATATTTAGCTTCTAGTGAAAACTAACTGAACACAAGAGTGATTGTGTAGCTTTAATGTCAATATTAATTATTTTTATAGTATTATGTTGAATTTTATACGAATTCACTTCAAGTAATAAGAGTTATGCAGTTATATAAGTACATACAAATTTTATAAATGCAAAAATAGCTGTGTCTCTCTCTTGGTAGTTATGACGTGCTGTAAGAAATGTATCGACGTTTCGAATTTTTAGATTCCAACTAGACTTAAACTCAAAGTTTCATAATCTCGAAAACCGATTTATAACAAAACCGTTATGCTTTCAGGGCATTTTGGTTGCTTATTACAAAGAAAATAGTAAGTTAGTTTGTTTTGTAATATTCCTAAAATAACCTAAAAAGTACAGTTGGGATTACAAAAATTCGAGCAAACAGTATTTCGGGCAAATGCATTTTCGGACTTCTGATTGATAACTCCAAACAGTAAAACGAATACAACAATATTTTGTTACTTATTTATTACTAACATTTAATAAAAATTCATTTTAAAAATAAGATTAACACAACCCTTTAGTTTCTAGGTTGTATCTAAATATTTCAATCGCTAGTGGTTCAAAAATTGATATTGACGTAACGGGTCACTTACTGTCTTTTGCGCTTGTCTTGTGTAGGTTATGGACAGTAAGCTATTTGGTTATTTTGATTGCTTTTGTAATTTATGTGTATTGTATGTACTCGTACGTGTACTTTTTATTTTTCTTTTTTTCTTACGGCACGACATGATTTATGATGATTTATATTAAACAATTACAATTTATTTTCATTATTTATAATTTATAACATTATTATTTAATGTACAATACGACGCAGAAAATAATTTGAATAAACTTCATCACAACTTCGATAATCGATAAAAATAGGAGCTAAACGAGCGCGTCGCTTCTCTATAACGAAAAAACAGCGTCTATTCCATGAAGTACTGCATTTATTGTTTATGGTTGCCATTAGACCAACCTCGCGTAGTGTGATCCGATCAAATGATTCGATCATATGTTCGATATTTTAGAGGGTCACCCGTCCCTCATGATACTTCCATATGGGGTTTAAAAGTGTCAAATTATGCAATTAGCTTTTATTCTTTCCTGTTGTTGGGTAATGTGTGTATAGTTAAATGCATCATTCATAAACTACACTTAGGGCACTAAAATTTCCTTCTAGGAAAACTAACGGTGTTATAAAACAAAAATACCTACATAACAAAAAACTTATGTTAATATTTTAAATAATAATATTTTAATATTAACTAGTGGACTCTTAACACAACATACCGAAAACAGATTAAACTTACAAAATTACCATGTAATGGACACTACGCCACGGAGTAATTAGGATGAATGATTTATAGATTCATTGATCCGTTAATCCGTTGACTCGTTGTTCGATTGCTTGACTTTTTGGTTCGATCGAACGAATGCTCTATCGAACAAATGTTTGACCCAAACGAAGAGTAAGAAGGCGAACCGCGTCGTGAGTAGGGGCTTCACGTGAGAGTGAACGAGACAACAATAATATTGTGAATTGTTGAATAATCTCTAAAATGGACGTAGTTATAATAAAAAGATCCAAGACACACTTGAGGCGAAAATGAGTTAAGTATACCACGTGGTTCACAGTAACCTATTCTTTCATGCAAGAAAGACTCTTGTTGATATCCCGAATATTGGCGAAATTATAGCATTTTGAAAAAAACGCAATTTTCCCAGAAATATTTTTAATGAACGATCCAGATGTCCTGGACTCTCATTCAATAAAATATGACATGATCCCATTGAGTATGAATCGTTCTTAAAAAATACTAAACTATGAAATATGATGGCCAATAAGATTCAAATAAACTTGAATCATTTTGTTTTTGTTGTTTCTTTTTTAACAAAAATGCACCAATGTAACTTGTATAGTGTTGGCTTTTTAAAATCTTGAAACAATAGGATCGAAAGCAAATTGGATCGTTTTGATTATTTTTTTAATAGGGAGAATGTTCCACTTACGTTTAACATAATGACTTGGATCATCGATGAAGCTGTTATACTCTCATTTAGCTGTCTATTCGAGTAATAAAACCGCCACTTTGAAATTTTATCATAATAACTAACGTCGCGAACGTGTCAAGCAATGGGACGTCACATTTTTGACGCACCGCGTGCACATGTTTTCTTTACTCATGTGCCGAGTTTACCCATTAAAAGTAATGCGAATGAAATCAGATAGGTTCTTGGGAACTGTACACACAAAAAAGGGTATAATTAATCGAAAAGTGTTCAAAAATAAGAAAAAGTAAATTGTCTTGCTATAAACATTACATTTGATTTATATGCGAACAAATGTGAGGAAAATTATTAGGTACTTAGCATACAGAAAACAATGAGAGGTAAGCGAGAGGGAGCGGTCGTTCCTCGTATTAACATAACAATGAATAGTTTAACGCCACTATGGTCAGGCGATAACTGAGGCTAACCTCAATGACATCATGCGTAGCATGGCGGTATATCATACGCGATAATGATAAACCTCCCCGCGACATATTTATCGCAGTCGATTTATCCTCGATTTATCCTTTTTCCAATATTCACCTGGTTTCTAATAACACAAGTTATTGTATGTATGAGTAGAAGGTGAGGCAGGTAGAGAAGCACAGAAAGTTGGCTAGTGTCTATTATGGCATATTAATAACGAATTGGCGGTGGGCATCGAAGACCTTATACTATGGAGTGATTCACGAGGAAGTCAAAATAGGAACATTAAATTGGTATTGATGCTATAAGTGGTTCTGGACACCGACCTTAAAAACGATTCGTTGTCGCTATTTGGAACCTGGGCATAAATTTTTGCCCAATGTTACAGATATTTTAAATATTGAAGTAGACTTGAAACACGTCTGACGTCTTTACACAATCGAAGAATTAAGGATTATGAAGACGTGTACAAAAGCAAACCCATTAAAAGTAATGCGATCATTCGCATCATCAGAGTTCTTGGGAACTGTAGGTATTAGGCATAAATAAGTTAAGGTTTTTTTAACAAAATAATTCTTGAAGCAACTAGTCTTCGATTTAGTGAGAAAAAAATTAAGAAAAATAATTTTTAAATATGTTAAAATGCATCCGAATAATGTAAAAAATTGCATTTTTCGCGAAAAATGTTAGTTAAGTATGCAATTTTTATTACTGTATAAAATGATAAAGTTATGTTGGAATGTAGTGTTATTATAGTTCAAAATAAAGGACAATTAACCGAGATTTTTTAAAATTCTTAAAAATGCAATTATATTCATTTAATTAAAATAAAACAATTAATATACACTTTTTGCACATTTTGGATCATTTTTGCAAAATGATAAAGTTTTTTTGCCATACAAAATTAAAATTATTCAAATCCTATTTTTTTTAAACTACCTTAATTATTAATTTACGAAATGTTTGGTAATTGATGTGAAACTATATAGGGAAAACTTTAATTTGACGAAAAACAAAATAAAGATCGGTTAAGAATTCAAGCAGCAGTTAAAATTTTAAACTTTTTTTTTTTCTCAAAACTTACCAATTGTGACTTGGATCTTTTTATTACAACTACGTCCAAATTATAACGATAAAGTCGAATATTGGGCGCATGTCCCATGAAACCCTAAAATAATCGGGGTATTTAGAAGCAAATAACCGGGTTGTCGGATCACAGGTGCTGTTCGAATCATTTTGATTCGATCGAACACGACGACATACTAGTTGCTTTTTTATAATTATTTTTTAATTTTTATTTGTTTATTAAGGCTTTGGCAAAGCCATCAGCCTAAACATGAAGTTTAAATATGTTTCTGTAAATATGGCCGCCACAAAGAGGATACGCAATTTGAGGCGGCGTGCTTGGATTGACTCGGGATTCCTTAAAACGGGCCGATACGGGTATTTTAGTTCGAGATTCGTATAATATCGCGTTTTAATCTTCGATTAAGGCACAATAGCACTATCCTATTCCACTTTAAACTAGATTTCACAAAATAATTGAAAGTCAAAATAAAAACGACACTTTTCCCTCCAAAACGTCCAGAGCGAATCCGTCTAGTTGCCATTGATATCATACATTTAGGTCATTTTGATGGATGCCTGTTATTAAATAGGGAACTTCATAGGCATGCTTATGTCAAATGTTCGAATGTTTTCAAGTATTTCTTAAGTAATCGATAAATTGAATCAATGTGGTCATTGTGAAAAAAATGTCTTAAAATAGAAAATTAGCAATTAATGTAAAAAATAGGCTTATGTATGAAATGTAATTCCACTCTTGGCTAGACTGGATGCACCAGAGATTTTTTTGCAATTTTGTATAGCGCAAGACGACATGTTTCGTGAAGTACTTGACAAGGTGAATTCGATAATGGAAAAGAAAAAACATCGATTCAGAAGTAGTGTTTATTGTGCGATGGTTGACTTTTGCTCGTACCTTGACAGAGAGGACTGCCTCTCAATGACGCCTTCAGTCCTATATGCTCTAAGAAGCTGAGAGCATGACTAGGATAAAAATAAGCATCAGATCGGGCAGATGTCATTGCAGAGGTTATGGCAGATAGCAGCACTCCGTACAAGAACCAACTCGTGTTTTATAGAAATTCAGAAGCGGTTCAGTACCTGACGTTGAAAAGGATGCCCAGTTTTATGGCAGCAACGTTTGCCAGGTTGAGGTTGGATGATAAACTCAAACAAAATAGATCAAGTTAGTCACTTATCGTCACGGACACATATCGAAAAGATGGAGAGTGGTGGAGTGCTATCTGTTAACAAAAGACATGCCTGTATTTTGACGGCGTAAACCTAAATCTGCCTAAATCCGATTGGGGAATCGGAAGCCGCTTTCAAACTTTGGTTCTACACTGTGCCATCGCCTCTCGTCTTTGCTATTGGTATCTAAAATATAATATCTGTGTAATACAACTACACAGGTTGACCTGTCCCCCAGGAAATAGTCTATTCATGCGCAGAAGCTTATAGAAGTTCTGTACGCTGGAAGCTTAAGTTCAACATAAATATCATATCAGAACCTGTCGAAAGCCTCTGAAATATTGAGAGACACAGCAAGCAATTCACTGCATTTCATTTTGTGTATAGACACACTATAATAAATTGAAATCTAACAAAAAACAAAATAAATAAAAATGATCTCATTTTTTTAAAAATTTATTAAGGCTTTGGCAAAGCCATCGCATCGGCCTAAACATGAAGTTCTTAAATTCTCTTTGATGAAGTTTATGTTTCTGTAAATATGGCCGCCACAAACAGGATAGGCAATTTGAGGCGGCGTGCTTGGATTGACTCGGGATTCCTTAAAACGGGCCGCTACGGGTATTCTAGTTCGAGATTCGTATAATTTCGCGTTTTAATCTGCGATTAAGGCACAATAGCACTATCCTATTCCACTTTAAACTAGATTTCACAAAATAATTGAAAGTCAAAATAAAAACGAAACTTTTCCCTCCAAAAGGTCCAGAGCGAATCCATGATCTCATTCTTAAGGATACTAATTAAAAATTCCCGCGCTTTCTCTGAGCTAGAGTTGCATGACTTCGACATATCGAAAACACCAATAAGCCTTTTCATTCGTTCAATCTGTAAATTGAACGCAGCTATTCTTGACATTGATGACAGGTCAATGACTTTAGTGTTGTTTGTCTGACTATGATCGATATCGGCACTTTGGCAATATAAAGTCGATATATTGTTGGTTTATTGTGGTCCGGCTACATATTTGCGACATACCGCACCGTAGTCTAGACTTGTTAAAGTCAGGTATGAGTTTATATAGTCGTGCATGTGTATTGTTTAAAGAAAAATGGTCAAACCGTACCTTACACCACCTCACGGGTAGGTACAGGGTCGACGCACGTGATGCTTGACACCTAAGATTTAAATCCAACTCTATGCCGCTTACGATAAGAACGGTCCAAAGTACGTACATACATACAAAGTGTCAAGCTTGACGTGCTCTTGGCTGTACCTGGTTCATACATGATTTATGGCAGGTCATAGCAGAATAACGAGGCCTATGTAATTAACATAGTCCTCAGACGCTGAATCATAGACCCTTTTGACATGCTTTTTTTATTTTAACTTGAATTTATTTTCAATTACTTTTTCTTTGTTAAATGTTTGAAATGTATGTATTTTACATATGAAATAAAGCCGATTTTCTTAGTATTTATTTAAGGAAGAACATTCAATGAAACTCAACCGTATTAACTGGTTTTAAATTTACGGAATCCATGTAGATTGACGTTAAGATAGGAAAATGTAGTTAAAGACATACACAATATAGTAGATTGTACAAGAAGAGTATAAAATGAGTCATTTTAACCGAGACGAGTATATACTTAAGTCGAGGGTAAAATGGGTTTTATGAACGAGTTATACACACTGCTTTTCAGTTCAATTGCGAGAAAATCAAACAGCAATATTACAAATAAACGATTATTTAATTAAAATTGACTTTAAAATTACAACAATTAGACATATTTAATGTGACGCTTTTTTATTTTATGCACTAGAGCACAAAATCCTATTTAATGCAGCCTAGACCCAGCATACATACGAACTTTAAGAGCATGAGAAATGAAAAAGGTTTTTTTCCAAAAAACTTCAATTTAACGTAAGTTATTTTCCAAGTACTTCAAAAAAATGAACAAATTTTATTATTGTCGATATCGATTTGAACGCTGTTGCGCAGTTCTAGTTTTCTTTAAAGAAGATAGAAAAAAAAAACCTGTTTTCGTGAGATAATTTTTCGTTCTCTTTTCACAGGTGGTTTGGTAAAGGTAATTAAATTAATGATTTTTTTCATATTTAAACACTCAATAACAATTAGTGCAGCAACTACACAAATATTCTCCAAACGTTAGTGTTGAAATTCATGTGCGTCACGTCGAAATTATTTGAATAATTATTCGAAATAAAGTGCGATTCATTAATAGTTTTCACTTTTCACCGTATTGGTCGAAGACTCCACGTATTGCAGGTATTTTGTTTTTACATTCTCTTTCCTGTAATACCACTGGGAAATTTCTCGAAGACTTGAATTGAAACGACTTCGAATTAATGCCCCATCAGATATAGTGTTTTCTGAGCCATGAATTTAGAGCTTATACATATAAATTCACATACGTGTGTATAAGGCCGGCGACGGTTTTTGCAGAGGTCGTTATTAATTTTAAAATTCTGTAATACAAATAAATACCTTTATCTTACCCAATTTCAGGTATTAAACCATGAGTGGCTTAATTAAATAATTCTTTTATACGCGATGTATTAATACCATACTGCTTATTTTACACTATATAATATAATATTTTATAGTATGGTGTCGGCTTATTGCAATGTAATTTATATGGCAATTAATGACTCCTTGCAATAAGCCGATGACAGGTAATATGTTTTGTATAAATCAAAATGATCCATTGAGTGAGATATAATCCATTTTCACTTATTCACTAGAGCAAGAAGTGTAATATTAATTTCCTGTAGCAAAATTATCATAAAAAATTTGTTTTTTAAAATTACCATTACCCTTCTAAACCATAACGCAGTGGTGTACATTACTGCTTGGCGGCAGAAATAGGTAAAGTGGCAGTATTTCCTTGGACGAACTCTTTCATAAGGAGCTCTATTGCTAATAAATATATATAAATATTCAATATGTTTATACTATTAATGCAAGTCCTAAAATATACCTTCTAACACTAAGTTTATTCAGTGGCAACAGGGCATTGAGGCTTGAATAATAAGTCAAATCTTGGGCATAGAGAAAATTGCAGATTCTGCCACAAGGCAAATATATTCTCCTCTGCATGTCCTTGCCCAGTACGGGCCCTTAATGGGCGTATGATGCACCCATTCTGACGAGGCACAAGCCTAAACCAGAGGACATAAAAACTGTCAAAGCTACGAAAATCCTTCAGTTATTTCAATGCTGTTGGCCTCTTCTTTGAACTGTAATTAATGGTGATCACAATTGATCAGTTAATTGCAGTTAATTATAATAATAATAATTTATTTAAGAAAATAAAATACATGTACAAGCTAATTGATCTACAGCAATTAAAAATTATTGGGATTGTACATACAATTTATGAATTTCGATTTAAACCGTCATAACCTATTCTAAGTTCGGGACATGTATTAATAGGATTATGATGGTTCTCTGTTGTCTCATAACCTAAACTTGGGACTGTGTAATAATATGCCGTAACGGTTGTGGATAATATGCATGCCCGTGTGTGTGTGTGTGCGTGTGGGTGTGTGTGTGCGTGTGCGTGTGTGCGTATGTGTGTGTGTGTGTGTGTGTGTGTTTGTGAGCAACTGACATGTTTGAGTTGTAGTTGAAACTTAAAAGACAAATCAACTTCAGCTGTTTTAATTCCCTTTTTCCTAATTTATTGTTTAATATGAAGTAGGATCTCTTATCATTTTCAATGTTAATCACACTTAGTGATACTTTGGTGTATATCTTAGTATCAATTGCAATAATTATTCAACCATGCTTGACCTATAAACTTAATAAAGTTCTTGATATATCAAATTTTGCATAAACAATTTTTATGCAACATACTTCTGATAAGATTAAAAAATAACATACTTATTGTAAGTAACCTTTACTTATTTATAAATCTCTAGATATGCAACTTTCCTATAAATTTACAACACAATGAAGATAATTTATAAATTAATACTGTTATTTCGTGGGTTGGCACAAAATTTGCTTGGTGTTTAACATGTATGATGTCATGCATAATACAACAGCACCAATTAACTTAATTATCATAATATATACATAATGCATAGTTCTATTTTCTTAAGTACAAACATATTCGAGTTTTGTGGAATTTACTACTTGCTAACTAAATTCATACCAATATATTATTTGACATAGCGTCGTTGCGCGTGCAAAACGTTGAAGAGCACTTTGTAAATACCGCGTAACAGCGTTTTCACGAGTTTACAGGAAGAATAAAAAACTTAATATCTTAGCCATTGAACTATATTTTACCAACTGAACTCTGTAGCCACTTCTTTGCAATTCACTTTGTAGAAAAATAACGTAAGTTTACCTACAACTTGTTTAGATTCCGGTTAAAGTCACTAACGCGGTTTTGTAGTAACAAATTACAGAAAAGGTAGTATACTGTTAGTAGGTGCGCGGGATTAAAATGAAACATTTTATTAAAGGTTTAATTTTTTGACTAAAGACCAAAAGTGACAGAGAGTAAAGAGGCATTTGCCCTTCTCTCAGACAGTACAGGGTCATAATAATAAAATAACAAAAAAGGTTCTAAAATAAACATATTAGACCAAAAAAGTATTATCCGATAAACAATAAATTGTTACTGTTCGTAGTCAAATTATATAAAAATCTTTTTATAAGTAAGTCAAAAAGAAGGTGACAACTTTCTCGTGATTAAAATGTTATTAAATTTTGTAGTTTGAAAATATGTGTAATTAAGAGTAACAAAAAAAAAACAGTCACATAAGTTCTCTGAAAATCACAGCTGCTTAATCTTGTTAAATATCTTGCACAAATATACGCCACCCTATTTTATTAAGCTGACGTACATGACTTTGCGTCATACCCCTGCAGGCGTGCTTTATTTGCTTTGCTGATGCTGTAGTCGAGGTTTTGCGTTTGGGTATGGAGTGTTACATACCATACTCTGATGTACCTAATGGACCCTAAGCTCGTCCATGGTTTAACGCTGATTGTACATAAACAGTCCGCGTACCAAGCTTAGGCAGATGCTCGACTACGCAACGCTGCGAGTACTCAGAATTTGCTTTTTGAAAGCTTTTAATAAGGACGCCAGGAAGTGCAAAAGTGTGTTACGTATGGCTAAGTTCGACCATGTGCGCCGCATAGGGGCCAAGCTTGCCTCTTATCCAACAGGCAGCAAATTCTTTTGGACCCTGGCCAAAGCGATCGAATCTAACTTTTGTCGCCCATCTTTGCCACCTCTGCTGAGGCCGGATAGCTCGCTGGCTCATACTGCGGAAGAGAATGCAAATCTTTTTGCCTCACTCTTTGCAGAGAGATCGCGTTTGTTTGGCGCAGGGAACCTACTACCTACTACCTACCTTGCCTCAGACTGGCTGCACTATGGCGCCAGTTCGCATACGCCAAAAAGAGGTACTTAGAACTCTGCGAAATATAGACGTGAATAAAGCTAGCGGGTCAGATGGAATTCCAGCAATAGTCCTACGTAACTGTGCGCCTGAGTTGTCTCCTGTTATCACGCGCCTGTACCCCCTCTCACTTGAGACTGGTGTAGTTCCCAGGTAGTGGAAGCTTGCAAACGTGCAACCTGTACCGAAAAAGGGAAAGTAGAGCTGACCCTGTCAACTATAGACCTATCTCAGTCATTTCCATACTCTACAAGATTATGGAACGTGTACTCAACAACCGTCTCCTGTCGTACCTTGAAGACCTTGAGATCTCCTTAGTGATCGCCAGTACGGATTCCGACGAGGGCGATCTACTGCGGATTTTCTTGTGTATGCCTGTCACATATGGAGCGAGGCTATAGAAAGCAAGGCGAAGCACTTGCAGTGTCTTTAGACATTTGTAAAGCCTTTGACAAGATCTGACACGCAAGCCTTTTAAGTAAGCTTCCCTCTTATGGGTTTCCCACTGACCTTTGGAATTGGATCTCGGATTTCTTGAGTGAACGTTCGATTCGAGTGGTATTAGAAGGCTACTATTCCGAACATATGGCGCGAGATAGAGAGTTCCTCAGGGTTCCGTACTGTCTGCAACTCTCATTCTGCTGTATATCAATGATATGTTAATTCCAGGTACCTTTGCATATGCTGATGACAGCACAGTTGTAGATAGGTACTTGACCAATGCACCCTTGAATTGGTCAAGCAGTCAGTGGAGAGGAAATCCAGTCTTGAGAGTCCATAATTAGCCGTTTGGATTTGTAACTCCAGGCAGTCTCAGATTGGGGCGATGCCAATCTTGTCAAATTTAACGCTACCAAAACGCAGGCGTGTCTATTCTTCACAAAACGGAGTTCCTTTGAGCTGACTCCGATATCATATCGATAGATCCTTCTCGTGATATATCCATACCGATACCCGACTGTCATCATTTATTTTCTTTTTTATCATTAACTTTCAAATAATAAATTTTAACATTACTTCGTCGTGATGAATTTGATCTCTTAGTTCTCCTAGTCGTAGATTTCGTGCAGGGATCGTGTTATAACTTCTTCATGAATTTGGTAAATACGCGGACTTGCGGCCAATTTCAACAATGCTACAGTTTCGCGGTATTGTTTCGATGGCAAAAATGAGGTTTCTTAGAGGCTAATTGAAATTCTGTGAGATCTAGTTTAGGCGAATTAGCGTTAACGATTTGTTGGCGCGATATTTCAATTTTGTACCTTTTACTGTTACGCGGTATTTACAAACTGCTCTTCCGCGGCTTTGCACGCGCAACGACATTAGGACTTTTCTCGGTCATCTAATAATTCAATTTATAAACTTTGATTATTTAATTGTCATTTTATGCATCGCTTTTTAATTATTGGGATTGACTGGTAGAGAATGCCTAATGGTGTTAAGTCCGTCATTTGTACTGTTTTGTATGTAATAAAGTTTAAAAAAATAAAAAAATACAGGTTGACGCTGCGTGTCCTTAACCAGATATTAAAGTTATATCAGAACAGATAAGGTAACATGTAAGTGTAGTAGCGAACTGTTAACCGAGAAAATAATTGAAATTATGAACACTTCATAAAATTTATGGTCTGATTATTACTATTATAGTCGTACTTAACTGCCATTACTGAGTTTCCACATTTAAAAACTTAGACTTTCGTAAATAGTATTCTACTTTCATAGTTATATTTACTTATGTAAATAAGTAGTACAAGTGTACACTAGCTTATTAACCTTATAATTTTCTTATCAAAGTGAATATAGTACACTTCACACAACATGTTAACATGTTGTTACTGACACTTTATTAAAATACTTATTTAAATGTGTAATGTGACTAAATAATATAATAATCTACATAATACGTGTACAACAATAGTATCTATAATAGTATCTGTATTATAGATACAAGGGGTGACAGAGTGCTTAAAAGCACCAATTATTAATTACTTTATTGTTTTACTTAAATATTTTTATTGCATCATAGGATAAAACTATTCACGTCGAAAGTTGAAGTTGAATTTTAAAGTAATTTTCCAATGGAGCCATGTAAAAAAATTGAGTAAATAAGTAACCGTTCACCTAAGGCCTTCTACTCATAGGTAAAACTTTCTGGATCCGGATTCAAATCTGGAATTCGAAAAGTACTTAATTAATAATAGGGGTTAAAGTATGAAATTGCCGATTTGTACTGAAAATCTAAATTGTTTATTTTTTAAATTTTTAACAAATTTATTTAATCAAAATAGTTGCCATTGTTATCTATACATTGCTGCCATCTAATGGGAAGGTTATTAATGCCTTTGCGATAGAACTCCGACGATCTAGACTGCACAAACTGTGTGAAAGCATTTTGTACTGCCTCCTGGGAAGAAAACATCTCGTCACGTAGATAATTGTCCAAATCACGAAAAAAATGGTAGTCCGTAGAAGCAAGGTCTGGTGAATACGGAGGATGACGAATGGTTTCTAACTGCAGTTCCTGAAGGGTCAAAATGGTTTCTCGTGCTGTGTGAGGTCTCGCGTTGTCGTGGAGCAATAATGGTGAAGATCGATTCATGAGTCGGAGCTGTTTTACTGCTAGTTTTGTCAACATGGTTCGGAGTTCGGCACAATAGACATCTGCCGTTATTGCTTGACCAGCTCGGAGAAAACTATAGTGAATAACACCATGCTGAGATCACCAAACAGTTACCATTACCTTTTTATTGGTAAGTTTTGCTTTAGGACACTGTTGTGGCATTTGACCTGGGGTCAGCCATTGCATTTTTCTTTTCCGGTTATCATAAAGAATCCACTTTTCATCACATGTTACAATTCGATCCAATATTCCTTAATTTATGTACCGGTTCAACAAGGCAACACAAGTTTCAACACGCGTTTCTTTCTGCAGATCAGTCAAATCATGAGGCACCCATTTTTCGTATTTTTTTATTTTATTGATTTGACGCAAGTGAGTCAATATTGTGGGTAAGGTAACGTTAAACCATGCCGCTAATTCCTGGGTAGTTTGACTAGGATCGGCTTCCACTATCTCTCTTAATTCATCGTTATTCACCTGTGTGGGCGGTCTTCCTCGTGTCTCGTTCTTTAAGTCGAAATTTCCATCACGAAAGCGTTTAAACCAAAATCGCACGGTGCGTTCATTAGTAGACCCCTCTCCAAACTCAGCATTGATATTGCGGGCTGTTTCTGCCGCGTTAGTTCCGCATCGGAACTCGTATTCAAAAATCACTCGAATTTTCGCAGTATCCATCTTTCTTGTCTAAATTGAATAACAAAAACAATTGAAAGTCGATATTCAAATGTTTCAAATTAAAAAAAAAAAAAATCACAGAAACCATTTGAAAAAAGTTTCATTCGAAAACCTCAAACCATGAAGATTCTATGAAAATTCAAAGAACCTATTGCAATAAAACGGCAATTTCATACTTTAACCCCTAATATTTGGTGGTTTTAACCACTTCATGTCACTACTTCTATATTTATACGTAGAAATTTATCTATTCATTTGGAACATCCTATTCCGACCGTTACTCATAATTAAAGAAACCGCATCTTGATAGTTTCTATATATCTTAAGTAAATGAGGTTTAAATGGTCAATTTAATTTCTCGTAATATTATTACGTTAACTAGCAAGCTAGAAGTTAAATTTATTGCCATTTTTATTCATTCCAGTTACTTAACACCAAGTACATATATGTCACTTGTGTTAGGATAGTTTTCATTGTCTTTCCAGCCCAGCGTCACAAATTGATCTAACAGTAATTTATCTAATTGCAATCGCTATTTATGAAATTTATGTTAACCTACATTGTTTAAGACTCTGATAAATCTCATCATTTCAGGCTTCACAATGGGACTGATAATTGGTCTTATAAAGAGACTGATAAAATTAAGCGTCTACTTTGGAGCGCTTGCAGCTATTGTAGTCCTCATCCCGAACTTGCCACCTTACACCAAATTCACAAGTATTAAGTAAGTTTTATTTTTCTGTAAGTGACTGCTTACTATGGACATGCCTGTTTTTACTTACATTGTGTTATATTATATACGGTGTCTGGTGTTGAAACAGGTGATGCTTGTCCCAAAATCAAATTCAAATACACTATTGTACAAAATTTAATTATGTAAAATAGTATAATTCAATGCAAATATCTCACTTGATTCAGTAATTGACTTTTGAACGTAACTTATGATTTATTCTATGAAGATCCCATTTGAATTGCCTAAATCTGTGGGAATGGTTAATAGTAAATTGTATTAATGTACAAATTTGAACATTTTGGACACTTTACTCTTTCAGGCTTGAGCCAACTCAACCAAGAGTGGGACCTCTAGAGCCGAATGGAGCTTTGAACAATGCTGAGCAGTTGTATAAAGAGAAGTTGTTAGGGCCTGAAGCATTTCAACTTTATAAAGGAGAAGTGTACACTAGCTTACAAACTGGCGAAGTAGTTAAAATAACGCCTGGCGGACATGTCACTTTTGTTACTAAGATTGGACAGCCATGCTGTGAGTGTCTTGAATGATTTTATTTTTACATGTATCTCTAATATTGAGAAGTAATAATTGTATTCCAATTTTGTCAACGACCTCCGTGGTCGAGTGACTTGCACACCGGTTTTCTTGGTGTCGCCGTCTTTAAGGTCCCGGGTTCGATCCCCGGCCGGGTCAATATAGAAAACTAACTTTCCTATATTGCCTCGGGTCTGGGTGTTTGTGGTACCGTCGTCGTTGTATCTGATTTCCATAACACAAATGCTTTAGTTACTTACTTTGGGATCAGAGCAACATATATGATGTTGTCTGTTATTTGTTTATTTATTCTGAAAGGCCCTTTTGATCCCATTTTCGTTTGGGCCAATGGTCAACAACATCCAGTTTACAAATAGAAGGGTATAATAAGAAACTTTATACATAATTAAATAATAATCAATTACAATTACTTTCTTATAATGAGAGAGCTTAGACCGTAATTCATTATGCAGGCCCGATGCGGGTTGGGGAATTCTTTGAAGAGTTCATTATTTTTCCTCGTATGTTTTGTTTCGCCATAAAAACTGTAGATACTTATTATTTAGATACATTAACGAAAACTTTAAACTTTTAGCTGACTTAACACAAGGGCACAAATGCGGTCGTGTGCTCGGTTTTCAAATCGATGAAAAGAATAACTTCCTGTATGTCGCTGATGCGTACTACGGTATATGGAAGGTAGACCTAAACAACTACAAGAAACAGTTGCTAGTCTCGCCAAGGGTACAGATTGAAGGTCGGAAACCAAGATTATTTAATCACCTTGCTTTAGCCAAGAATGGTGATATTTATTGGACAGATTCTACTAGCGACTATGGGTTACATGATGGAGCTTACAGTTTAATGAGTGATCCTTCTGGGCGGTGCGTATATTTTGGAATATACATTATAGCATGTCTACTAAGGAGTTTGTTTCGGTTTTTTCTATTCATATTTTAATCCAGTCTGACATAATCAAGAGTCGCTACAAAATCATTGACCCCTACACTAAAGACAACGTTTCTCTTAAGTATAGTACGAATCACAACTATGTCTCAAATATAAACAAAGTGGTAGACCGTACAAAAAAATACATTTTAAATGGTAGTTTAATTTTTGACGATAAACATTTAGAACTCTTTTCAATCTGTAATCTGATAAAACTTGAAACAATTCACATTTTTACTTAATTTCTTTTAATACAATAATTATAATAAAATATATTTATGATCCTGGTAACATAATCAGGATCAAAAACCATTTTTTATGCCGTATTTTATAGTGTATTAGATGTCATTCGCGCTTCGTTTCTCGAACTCGAACGTTTTCTTGTCTTCGAAGTGCGGTTGTTGAATTATTGTGTTCTATCGCGAAAACCTTAGACCGCAATATTGTGTTGTTGTTAAAGTTTTTGTTTATTGTTAATATTTTAATTGAAATTGTAGAAAATGTTAACTTCCTCCATTTCCAATTCCGTTAACAAAAGAAAGTTTAGCGCGCATTGATAATGACATTTCTTTGTTTACATTTTGGACGTCTAATTATGATTCATACTATAGAAGATTTATCTTTGTTTAGTAGCTTGGTAAATGTCGGATTTGACATTATGTAAATTCATTGGAGACATAGAAATTTGAAATAACTTTTTGTTTTTAAACATATATAGTGATTATTTTACTCGACAGATAAAATCCTTCAGAAAGATTATGCTGTAATATGCTTCATAAAAAAGCTATTGTAATTATTACTAAGTAAACCTAATCTAGTATTTTGTTCAGTCTCCGGTAACGAACACCAAAAATCCAGTAATTAATTATCCTGTAATCAACATTTCCCAATAATGAACACTCAGTAATTAAAAAAAAAACACCGTTATGAAATGTATTATTATGATAGAAAATTTGTCTTAAATCTTATTAGAAATGAATTTAAAAAACATCTCGAACATCTTCGTCATCAATCTTGTGTTTGTTTGTCACTGGCGCTACCACCTTTAGTAAAAAAAAGAGTTGATAAAAATAATTACTATTTTACTTTCAGATTATTCCACTACATAGCAGCAAAAAATCAGAGTAAAGTACTCTTAGACGACTTGTGGTTTGCCAATGGAGTGGTGTTATCCCCTGACAATAAATTCGCAGTAGTGGCGGAGACAGGCCGGTATAGACTCATGAAGTACTACATAGATGGACCTAAGAAGGGAAAATCTGAAGTGTTTGTCTCTGGTCTTCCAGGTACGATTTCTTTTTCTACGAAAGTGGTAATATTGATTTTAATGTCGATGCTTTTTTAGTTTTTCTTTATTTATTTCTGAACCTTACATTCCAGGGCTTTCAGTCGAATTAGCGATAATAAACATAGAAAATAATATAAAAAAGTAATAGCATAGTAGTAGAACGAAACTAATAATGGTATTTACGATGAATTGAATTCTAAACATGACAAGGTACAACAGCACATCAAGCTGGAACACTTTTGTTCGAATGTCGCCCACAGAGTAACGGAACTAGTACGTCAATGTATAGCTTGATATGCTGTCGTCTATGTGCAAAAATAACTTATCCGTTTTTAATCTTGCGTTTGGGTATGGAGTACCATACTCTGATATACCCAATGGACCCCAAGCTCGTCCATGGTTTAACGCTGACTGTAGTTATGCTGCAGCACAAAAACAGTCCGCGTAACAAGCTTGGGCGGATGCTCGGCTACGCAAAGCTCCGAGTACTCGGAATCTGAAGAAAGGTTTTAATAAGGCCGCCAAGAAGTGCAAAAGCGTGTTACGTAGGGCCAAGTTTGATCAAGTGCGCCGCATAGGGGCTAAGTTTGCCTCTTACCCAACAGGTAGCAAATCCTTTTGGTTCCTGGCCAAAGCGGGCGAATCTAACATTTGTCGCCCATCTATGCCACCACCGCTGAGGCCGGACGGCACGCTGCACTATGGGAAATAGTAGAACAATTTGAAATACACATTTAATTTTATTTCATAGTTTAGATGTCATACTTTATTATACTGACGGTTTTTTAGGTTAGATAGGTATGTTGATTCAATAAAAATACTTCCAAAATGTCCTTTCCCGTACCCATCTCGTTGTGCCATATAATTTTGGAACTTTCGACGTCGTATTTCGTATTGATTTTGTTAGATAAGCTGAGTGTTATTGTATATTTCTATAACTCACATCTTACGTAAAATAATTGATATTTTTCAAATTTGTTGTGTAATGTGAAGAAAATAAATTATAATTAAAAATGGAGACCTATCTTTATCAAATTCATCAAAAGTTTTGACTGTTAGAAGCTTGCCGAAGTTTCGAATTTTATATTATTTCATAGCGTAGGTATTCATTATCGAAATTTTATAAAAATCACCTGCGGTTTTTTGCAGTTTCTAAAGATATGAAAGAAATCGTAGCAAATGTCCTACCGCAGGAAAATACCCTTATCAATCGCGTTGCATCGATAAGGGTATTTTTCTGCGATTGCATTTATCATATTTATCAATATTATTCACACTACACCATTACTATATAATGCTCTGACACATTAATTTCATAAATTTATTAAAACAAGCAGTCGTTTGTTACTGAATATACTTTTCCAACTCTTTTTGAAAATGAGTAATTTCAAATGTTTGAGACTGGAACTAATACTTTTCTACATTGAAGGTGGAAGAAATGAATCGGTTCTAGAAACATTCTTACGAGATTGTTATGAACTTTCGGAGGACAATTTACTTTAGATAATTAGTGATTTAGAAAAAATTGCTAACAGTTTAACAATCGACGGAGCCAAGCATCACGAAAGAAAGAAGCTTTTTTGAGGGTTAATAGTGATTGGTTGGATCAAGAGTTTTCTGTTACTTTGTCAACGACAATCGGTTCCATTCCATCTACTTCAACTGGAAAACGAGGAAGACCATACATATGTCTTATGAAAATTGTTCAGAATGTAGAAAGAAGCGCAAAAATAACTACTTAATGAATATGGATTCGAACACGTCTATGGTGCATATACTCAAGGGCTGCGATCAAAGGGAGAAAGTAATGAAGCAAAAATCGTGGAGGCATTGAGGTCTGCAGATGCAGAGAAAGAAATATCAGTGCTAAAATTGACGGACGACTCTAATACCATCCAAACGCTAAGCGATCAAGACGCATTAAGTGTATTTATTGAATTGGATCTGACCAGGGCTCATTATTTATATTTGAAGAATATTATGGATGAACGGAACTGTTTCTTACTACTACCTTATTACAAAGTACAAAAAAGTAAACAGAACTCTTACCTACCTGCATCAGCTATTGAAATTACAAACACATGTACGAAAATGTTATCCTTACAGGATTTATTAGATCACATAGGACTCCATGTACAAAAACTGTTTGAAACAATTGGTTTTATACAGTAAATGGACATAGTTATGCAAACAAGAACCAACCCACACCTCGAATGAAATTGAGTTATGTATTTAGGTAGAACACCAGACGTGTCCTTTACCCGCTCATAAAAGATCCTGGCAATGTACCAAGCCAAAACGGAGAAAATAAAAGTCCTTCAGGGTACCAACCCCAAATAAGTAACTTTTTAATAGCTAAAAAGAATCATGCTGCTTAACCTCATATAACGTTTTTTTTAAATATGCTACATGGATCCATGTCATATATACTGAAGTACTTTAGATCTTTAGCGTTTTCATTACGAAAACTAGAACATGGTTCGCGTTAATTAAATAAAAAGATACATAATGTTTTCTATTTATTGCTATATAATATAATAGTTTTCCTATATCATTCTATACATAATTCACGTTGTTTGTCGCAAATAACTTACCTATTTATTTCTTCACAATGTTTTTACAAAAATCTAATTATCTCGAAAGTGACATTTTGTGGGTTGGTTCTAGTTTGCATAACTATGTCCAAATGGGGATGTGATGGCTCGTCTAGTCAAAGTGAGTACAAACAAAGACTTCCAGGAGAGTCTGAACTTGTATCAGACTCATACTTATTCGTCGCATCTGTTGTGCCCATCAGATTAATTGATGAAACGACTGGTACTGTTGTTTGAGTGAGATTCTGTCGCCCTATTTTAATTGAATTTTCGAAAGAAACTCCTGAGAAAAATAAAGCTGTTATTAACGATATTCAAAATGAAATTAATTCTTTGAGTCCATCGTTGATTGTTAAGGTAAGCAATGGCGTTCAAGTTAAACATGAACTTTTTTTAACCATGATAAAGTAACTCGGTATTAACCGACACTCCTTCAAGTTCAACATGTAATATTTGTGGGGCTACTCCACGTCTAATGAATAATTTACAAAATGTAACTGCAAGGCCCGAAAATGAAAATTCTTTTAGTTATGGATTATCAACACTGCACGCCTGGATTCGTTGTATGGAGATGATTTTGCATATTTCTTACAACCTTTCGTTTCAAAAATGGTCAGCTACGAGTGATATGAAAATAAACAAATGAAACAAGAGAAGAAAACTGTGGTACAAAGACACTTTCGACAAGAGCTTGGATTAATAATTGATAAACCACGGTAAGGAGGTGGTAAAACCAATGACGGTAACACTGCGAGAAGGATTTTTTATAATGCAGCCTGCTCAGCTAAAATTACAGCAGTCGATGAAATTTTGATAAAGCGACTTTATATAATCCTTCAAGCTTTATCGTCTGGCATAATGATAGATTCCCAAAAATTTGGGGAATATGTTTTTTGGGAACTGCAAGAATATATGTCAGTAAATATGATTGGTATTATATGCCATCTTCGGTACACAAAATATTAATTCACGGAGAAGGTGTATATATAATTAATCATTTTGCAGTGTTACCTATCGGACAACTTTCAGAAGACGATCAAGAATCTCGTAATAAAGACTACAAAAAATTTAGATTACACCACGCAAGAATGTGCTTTAGATCTGTAACAAATGAACATTTATTTCACACGTTACTTTGTACTTCTGAAACATTTATAATCAGTAACCGAAAACCGTATGTTAAAAATCGACAGGAGTTTGACGAGGAGACGCTACGTCTATTGAAAGTGGACCAACTCATTACTGATTCTGAAAAAGATATTATAATTACAGTAATAATAGGTTATGGTGAAAGAGAGAGGCTAGAGTCTAAAACAGATATCCGAAATAATAACAAATATGCTTTCATGTTTTTTCTTGTCTCGTATTTTTATTTTTTTATTTTATATAATTTTAAGTAAAATGTATAATTATATTTAATTTATTTTATGAATAAAAAATTACCGTAATATGGTATTTCTATTTTTTTTAATAAATATTGGGTAGTATTTACCAGAGAGAGATTTATGATTTTGCAAATTTTTTGTCTTTCATTTACGGGTAGTTAAATAAAAATGTATAAGTGTTTAAAAGCGTCGTAATTCCCACTATGTATAATAAAAAATTTAAAGGTGTATCTCAAAAAACAAAAAAGTTACAGATTTTTGGTCCGTAACTGACCTAAATTTCCCATAGTGCGCTTGGCCCATACTGCAGAAGACAAGGCAAAGCTTTTCGCCTCACTCTTTTGCAGAGAGTTCGCGTCTAGAGGCCACAGGGAACCTTACACCTACCTTGCCCCAGAACGGCTGCAGTATGGCGCCAGTTCGCATACGCCAAAAAGAGGTACTTAGAACTCTGCGGAATCTAGACGTGAATAAAGCTAGCGGATCAGATGGAATTCCAGCAATAGTCCTACGTAACTGTGCGCCCGAGTTGTCTCCTGTTCTCACACGCCTGTACCGCCTCTCACTTGAGACTGGTGCAGTTCCCAGGTCGTGGAAGCTTGCAAACGCGCAACCAACCAAGCCAAGCCAAACCAAGCAAACCAAGTTTCGAACGATTTGTTGTGTCTCTGAGCGTAAACTTACATTATAATGATTTGGAATTTCGGCAAAGGCGGCAGTCGACTCTGTGTAAACAGCGAGTCGCCTGCGCCTTTTTCGGCAAGGCGAAATTGTCTGCCTAAACCGGCAGCCGAAACCTTGTGGAAATACACCATAACTATTGGACATAAATATTGTGAGGTTCAACTTTTCAGCAAATATTTTCTTTGTTTATTTTACTATTAGTAAAGTTAGTGTAGTCTGTCTTTTTTGAAGACATAGTAAAATTACATTTGCAGGGTTGCCAGTTTTTATAAAATTGCAAATAGTCGTGTAGTTGTTGTCGACAGATTGTGAAAGAAGGTAAAATTTCGCCAAAAATATCTGAGTTGTGAATGTTACGACGTTGGAATGGTTACTAATTGAGTTATTGCCTTCTTTATTCTTATTTTTACATTTGATCTACTAATAATGAAATTAGTTTTTATTTACATACATTTTAATACGAATACGTGGAATTGATTTATCTATATTAGATTAAAATGAAAAACTTTGATATATGTCTCCTCTTTGTATTTTTAATAACTACAGTAGTTCTGAATGTAGTGTATGTATGTACGAACTAAAATTGACAATTGAAGTGAACCTGTGCCCAGCAGTTGCATGAATAATGGGCCGATGACGATTCAAATGAAACAAATTCGGTATTTATCGCGTTAGCTTAACCAATATTCAGTCGATAGAATATTCATCGACTTCAATCACTATAGTCTCTTTTTTGAAGACGGAGTAAAATGGCATTTGTAGGGTTGCCAGTTTTCACAAAATTTTAAATAGTTATGTAATTGTTGATAGTTTTGTCGATAGATTGTAAAAGAAGATAAAAAATTAGCCAAAAATGGCTGAATTGTGAATGTTACGAACGTTCCAATGATTATTAATTGCGTTATTGCCTTCTTTATTCTTATATTGACAGTTGGCTTACTAGTATCGAGATAATTTTTTATTCATATTACATTTTAAGAAGAATAGTCGGATTTCATTATCTATATTGAATAAAAATGAAAATTTAAAACTATATCTCCTCTTTATATTTTTCATAAACATTATTCTAAATATAGTGTATATATTTATGAACGTACAAAAATTGACAATTAAAATTGACTTGTGCTCAGTAATTGGATTAATAATGGGTCAAAGATGATTCAAATGAAACAAATTCGGCTATTTATTCCATAAGCGTGACCAATATTCAGTCAATAGAATATTTATCGACTGCAATCACTAGCTGCTCGCAAGTGGGCAACACATTTGCGCAATGAACTGTCATTTTACTCCGTCTTCAAAAAAGACAAGACTATAGCTGTTTGCAAGAGGGCGACACTTGCGACTTGAACTGTCATTTTACTCCATCTTCAAAAAAGACAAACTAGTCATAACCATAACTAAATATTATTCTCAATAATATAATTCATACTATTGAGATGATGCATAGTATTATGTATGCCTAGTGTTAAGGCATGCATAATACTATTCGATAAAGACAATGAAGCAATTCATGGTTTTAAATAATAAGATTATGAACATGATAATAAAATGTATTAACTTTCGTCAACTTAAATGAATACGACTAAAAGGTCAGCGCCCGTCCTGGACGATCGAATAATTTCTTTATCATATACACTTGAACCATACCCACAATCAACATGAAGCTTATTTGAAATCCAGACCACATATCCACAATGAAAGTGTCTTCTATAGCTAAGTAACTATCGCGAGTCTTACTAACTGCATACAAGTCCAGTAAATGGCGTGCTTTTACAACGTTTTTCAGTATACGTGTCATGCAATTTGTTATATTAGTGACTTCAATGAAATACGGCTTTCCATCATTGTCGACTCCTTCCCATTCGAGAACCTCATGTTCCGGTTGTTCGTGACCTTGTTGATCCACAACGCTAACTTCGATGCCTTCGTGAGTTTCTTCCTTGTTCTCAAATAGCACATATACAAACACTAATTTCGAGTTCATCAAACTGAATGTATTATCCAAACAGAAAACGTATTCACCGTCTACTTCCAAATCAAAAATTACTTGATTTCGAGTTTTCTTATAATCCTCAAGAAGTTTATTCTCGTGAGGGTCTAAAATTTCGAATGAAATGTCCCAGTCGCCGTGTTGGCCGTCGACTACTTCGTATTGAACTTCCAACATTTGACCAGCTTTCCCTTCCTCGTAGAAACACGTCCTGGAGCCCGCTTCCACTCTAAGATTCATATCGTTCTCGTTATATATCTCTGTAACACAGCATTTCCATATTGCAGACACGAGAATGTAAAATACTATTCGATACATTTCTAAAACTTGGTTAAACTGATACGCTATAATGCGGCAATTAGACTGAACGTGTGATCTGTAACGACTTTGTTTCTTTGCACAAGTGTGGGCCTTTCTCAAGAAATGAATTTTAAGTGTTATATAACTATATAACATTTTTAAACGACGATTAAATGTTTTGTACTTCTACTATTAACAGCGTCCGTTCTATATGGCGAATTTTATTTAATATGGTGGCACCTTACATGGCTACTTTTATTAGCTATTGGGTGTTTGGATACTTGGAAAAATATTATTATTAGCTGTATTTGTCGAAAAGGCAAACAAGACAAATACTTTGTGACACATGCTATCTACAAATGATGATTATTTGCCAAATATATCAAATACGCAAATGCAAATAGCCATGTGAAGTGCCACTATTATAAGCGACCCTATTTCCTCCGTCCAGTGATTCATATTTTTCTAATGCCACCCAACGAAAATGTAACTCCTTTTCAACGTTTGTTTTTGGTGAAGGTATTATATTATAGTCGCATTGAATATAATAGACATTGATTGCAAAGCCACAACACGTATGTAGATACAAAAAAATTGATAACACAGTCAAACAAAAGGAAATAAAATAGCATTGCGCGGTAGAATTCTTAACTTGACCTAGACCTTATGTTTTTACAGGTACCCCAGATAACTTAAGAGTGTTGCCCGACGGTTCCGGTTTGATAGTGTCTCTGTTCACGGTATTCGACGAGAAGAACCCGTTGATCACCAAGTCGTTAGCCGAAACTCCAGTAATTAGGAAGCTCATCGCGCGGGTCTACAGGCTCCTCGAAATCCCATTCGAATTCCTCAATGCACAGTTCCCTCAACCTGTTTTTGAACAACTAGTTTATGACGTAAGTATAATATTTTTATACTTGTGTGGCTTATTTTGTTGGACATTCCCACTAATAATTACCTGGTCTCAAACTGGAAAATTCCCTGTTGTGTATGTATATATTCCCTTTGTATATTCCTGCACCATAGTAATGAAATTTACCTCAGAGGCACTACCCAAAACATGCAACCAAGAACCTGACTTGGTCTTACTAAACTCTTCTCGTCTAGAGTTTACAGTGCATGATTATTGAGGTCATCGGTTGTTTGAAGCACTACGTCTATGATCCTTGCATACCTTTCTAGTTGTCCCCATTCGTACTAATCAAGTAGACATCGATTTACTGACAACGTATAAAAATTTACAGATCGGCAACTTCAAGAGTGTATCATCATTAACTCCAGGAATGTCAGGAATCCTACAAATTGATTGGAACGGAAACATTGTCGCTTCATACTACAATAATGATGGAACATTGCATGCGATCAGTGATGTCATCGTTTTTAATGACAAGCTCTTTACTGGGGCACCACATGGTCAAGACTTTATAGGTGCAGTGCCTGCTCCACCGCTTTTGAAAAAGGCCTTCTCTTCTGTTAAAACTACACCTCCGCCTAAAACTGCAGAAACTGTGACAAAAGAAGTACCAAAGCCCAAAAACGAAAAACCTAAACCTGTGGAAAAACCTACAACAGATACACCTAAAGTGGAACAGAAAAAAGAAGCACCGAAACCGAAAGTAGAGGAAAAGAAAGAAGCGCCTAAACTTGTCAAACCTGTTGAAACTATTAAAATGAAACCAATTGAAAAACCATCAGAACCTAAACCTTCAACACGGGTACCGACAGCAACACCGAAACCTACAGAACCGAAACCGACAATTGCGCCAGAAACGGTTACCACTAAAACACCAGAAAAACCTAAACCAACACCAAAAGTTGAGCCTAAGAGTACTCCTACACCTAAAGCTGAAACAAGGAAAGAGGCCACACCTGCAAAACCCAAACCAGCTGGAGAAAATAATCCTAGTGAAACCATAAACTTAGCAAAAAAGAAAGTAGAAGAAAAACGCGAAATACCTATTAAAGAAGAAATCTCATCAGACACAATCAAACCAAACAAAGAAACGTTAAAAGTTATAAAGAAAGACGGTCCCACAGAGATACCTAACCCAAATCTGTAAAATATATTGTAGTTTCTTGGTTGTGGTGTACTAGTGAAAGGGTTGTGGGTTGTATTCAATGATGTGCATGTACATGGAACAAAGTTTTAAGGACATCTCACATTTTTGTTTAGATCATTTATTTGCTAAGTTCGAAGAAATCATAATATGATTTATTATCAGTCAAATATTTCCTTCGTAATTGATGTCATTCCAACTTACATTCCGAATACTACTATAACTGTGTATTACACTTCAAGCTTAATCAATATCATATTTACAAATACACGCATGTACTATTCTTGTAGTTTATAAATATTATTAGAAAAGCATTTAAAAACTTATTTGGTGATTTATAAGAAATTACTGTAATTAGCATTTACTAAAATAAAAAATCATATAGATAATATTTGAGCTACAAGCAAATTTTATAACTTTTTTTACAGATAAAGTGAGTAGGAAGAGATTATTGAAATTAGTTCACAATTTGTACAATTTTATTCAACTTTATCTTGACATGTAATTTATACAATACTAATAATTGTACAGTTGTATTTTTAAAGTAATGGACAAAAAATTGCAGTCATTTCAAACTGACACTAACCGGTAACTATCAAGGCGCAGCGGAGTAGGGCTGTTTCAGCGAACTGCAATTTTACCATCTACTGCGCAACTAACTATGTATGCAACAGATGTTTAAAATGAAATTGTAAGAAGTAAAACGCTGCGCGGCAGTCAGCCCGCACGTGTTAGGATGACGCCACACTGGTGTCACGCTACGCTGGGTATTAAGCGTGTGCCTTACTGTGACATCACCATAATCGAACATTTATTATTTGACTAACAAGTCGTATCGTAACAAGTCGTATCGTCGTGTTCTAGCCGCGGAAAAGTCGATTAGTCTATAGTGAGACAAAACTTATTCCGGTGGCACTATTGTACAATCTCAAGAACCACTGTTAGTCCATTTAGATCTTATTGGACGCAGAAAATGTGGTAATTTGGTACTTTCTTAGTCTTACAAAATGATCTAGCATAAGTCACGCCTTGTACAAGAAATCGGAGATTTCATGACACTCGAATGGGTGAAGCGCTATCCAGCATTTATATTTTTTAAATGTTTCTTATAAAAAATTAACTAGGTTTTATGCGATCAAAGCAAACGTACCTATCGCATGTCACTATTAAACTTACATTCTGTCGTACATTGTAACAACTTTAAAATTTATATATCCCAGAATTACGCGAAAATAATTTGATTATTCTCCTTGTAATTTACTTAAAATATCTTTTTTCTCGAGAAAAGGGAAATAAATTCATAATTTTAAAAATAGTTACCAAGCAACATTCAGTGCAATAAGTAGGTACCTATAGTTCCACAATTTATATGTCTATTCATTTATTTAAGTATGTTTAGTAAATTATGTTCTCGATTTTATTAAAAAAAAATGTGTTTAGAAGTTATGATTTATTTAATGAAATTAGTTATAAGAAATCTTGATCAAAATTTGAACTTTATCCTGTTCATAACAGACTGGCTGTATGCATTTTGTTGTTATTATATCTTTTTTTACACTGCGCTGGCAGTAAAGCGATGGTTATATCTGTATGCAATAAATATGATTTTTATTAAACCGAGTTGTTTTGGTTATTTTGTTGGGACATTCAGACATACCTTCATTTCATAGGTAAGAACAATATACTGGAATGATCTTATTGCACCGCTCCGGTAAAACACATACTTAACTGCCAAAAATTGTGATCCCAAACCTTTTTTTAAAATGCAATTTATACGGTTAAACAAAGACGCATTATGCATTCCTTTGATTCCTTCATTTTTTATAGAGGGCGTAATACGTATTGAAATAGTATAATATTTAAGAGCTTAGCAAATGTGCTATAAATACAAAACTTTTAATTCATTTTCTGTAAATTTTACAAATGTAAGTCACTGTTTCACCGGAGTAGGTGCGTTATATGTATACTTATAATTACTGTTGAAATCGTCACAATTATAACGCACACACTCAACATAGCCCCCCCGCACTAGGGAAATCCTGTCGCGGGTACCATGGACACATAGATCACTACAAATTACACCCCAACTCACGAGAGAAATAAATGTAGGTCATACAAATATTTCCCCCGACCCAGGAAATCGAACCTGGGATCTCTGTGTCTCTCTACAATCCGGCATGGTAACTCCACTTATGCTATTCTTCCATGAGAGTGCGATATGTGACTATACGTTTAAGCACTCTTTCGTAAACTCTTTTTTTATGTGATACCAGGCTCCTGAGAATAATGCGTAAGAATTCGAATAGTCTTTGTAAATAGACATTTATACAAATTTTACGTTTTTGGTTTCCATGCCTGATTTTCAAAAGGAAAGGAAAGGGGTTACCTTTTTGTATAAATTTCAAAATGCAGGCTACGGATCTACCCATCGGCATCGTCAACCGCTGGGTATACTATTTTTAATAGGTATAAGTTTAGGGTTGGTATGAGAGTGGCGGGGGTCTAACTATAGTGGCTTTATACCGAAGGTGTTAATTTCGCAGTCAAGTTTATTCTGGATAAGGGCGTCCAATAAAACAAAGAATTTTGTTAAAAAATGTTTATATTTTCATTTACTTACTAACAAAATAATGATCAAGTAAGATACATCACTTTAAGGGCAAACTTTTACTTATTTAGGCAGGCACGACATGTTGAGCACATAGTCACTATTAGAAAGGAAATTGGAACGTCAAGTAAATACATGCATATAACTATACTTTTCTATTAAAAAGCATGTTTGTTTACTAGAAATAGTTTCACAATGCTTTATTCAATATTGAACTGTATTTTACGAAAGCCAAAACTTACAATTGATACTGCAAAGTAGAGGTGGGTGATAAATAACGTCACGATGACAAAATCACGATGATCCGCCGTCAAACAGTAGCACCGTGACTCGTTCCGAAGGAACGACGTTCCAAAGTCACATAGGTGTTCCTCCGTTCCAGTAGCTATCCCCGTCACTCGCATCACGACATACTTATTTGATACAATGCGCGATCTCCGTTCTGTGGTGACTGAGCGCGCCACTCGTAGTTCTCTTCAAATCGGGCCATTTCGGCGATGGGAGTGAATGAGATATTTCTTAATAATGACTTTCTTTGCTCACTCACAAGGGTCGTAGGTGCTTATTACTACTAGAAAGGGCGGATGAAAAAAATCTGCAGCGGTTACTATACTATAAACTTATTTATGAACAAAGTAAAATATTTTTGTATATTTGTTTTATTATAGGGAAGAGTTGGTATTTTAAATTTATGTATAATCTACTTTATGTATTTTAATAGATATATAATTACATAACACTTTATTGCTATTTTTAACAACCCAAAGATTTATTAAATATTAAATAAGTAACAAACAAAATTACATTAAATACAAAATCAACTTTTTGAATGGAATCGAAACTTATTCTTATTACAAAAGGAGTAAAAACTTAAATCATTCTATAAAAAACGGCTATAAGTATTAGAAAGAAGCCGTTGGCTAAAACCGTATATCGTGATGTAAGTTATAGGCGTGACAAGGTCACGGAAGTAACAGTCGTGACAAAATCACTGTGATTTTTTTTGGAACCGGAACGACAGTCACGGCGATAGAAATGTAACGCTATTCCCCATGTCTACTGCAAAGTGGGGACCGTCAGGATGGCTGATGACGTCTGGCACTGAGTGTAAATTTAAGAATTTCTACCTATTTGCTACCTTTTCTAAATAATTGCTACCTTTGATATATTCTGATAAATTTAATAAATAATTGATCAGCCATTCTGATATTAGGATGGCTGGTCGCCACTTTGTTCAGCATGAAGAGAGCAGATTTTCCAGAACTATGTATTACCAATAATTGCTACCTATTTGCTACTTTCACGAACTAAAGGTGTACGCTTTTTATCTACATAAACTGCCTCTGTGGCCGAACGGTTACCATGCCGGACTGCCACGCGGAGGTCCCAGGTTCGATTCCCGGGTCGGGAGAAATATTTGTATGGACTACATTATTTCTCTCGCGAGTTTGGGTGTAATTTGTGGTTGTCTATGCGTGTGTCCATGGCACCCGCGACACAAGGTTTCCCTAGTGCGGGACTATGTTGAGTGTGTGCGTTATTATATATATAATATTTTACATTAGTTAAAAAAATCCGATTGAAAAAGTGCAAAGTGCCTAATAAAATTAAAAAACAAATGTTTTTAGTGCTTTATTGCCATAATATAACGGGCAGGGTTCAATTATTACTTCTAGGCGAACTAGTCTAGTGTGGTTGCTGATGTATAAAACCGAGAGGGTAGGTAACCGGAAAATCTGCTTCCCTCATTCTGAACAAAGTGGCGACTAAACATTCTGATGTCAGAATGGCTGGTCAATTATTATTTTTTAAATTTCTCAGTATAATATACATCAAAAGTAGCAATTATTTAGGAAAGGTAGCAAATCTTGAATATACGCTCAGTGCCAGACGCCACAGGCGACCAGCCATCCGTGACGGTCACCGCAAAGTGTATTTTAACACGCAAGTCGTAAGAAAAATAACGCTCAATACAATTATTATAAACAAGCTTTATCTTACAAAAATAATTTTTAAATAAATATTGGTGGCAACTCATTGTGTACACTTCAAAACCAACAAAACTATGTTTCTCTATTTTGGTGGACGCGCACTTACCCGTGGCGTAAAAGGCAGCTTTGAAACAGCATAATATATTTCTTTTTATTTATGTCGATTTTCGAATACTTTCTACCATCCAACTATACATTAGAAAATGAGAATTATGAAAAATGCAGTGCTGACAGATGCACCGCCACACTCTTATTATTAAGGCTTGTCACATCACTGGTCCGTGTCCACCTTTAATGACAGGACAGCACGCACAATGCGCACACGCATAATTTTAAAAGATCCGATCAAACTAAATATTAAAGTGTGTACAATGTAGCGCCACGGCCAACTAGTTAATTACTGTGTACGAGCAAATACTAGTATTTTGGTTTCTACTAAGCTTTATTGCATTATAAATTCAATTCACAATTTCGTACTATTTATATAGCCTAGTGTCTACAATAATTTGTAAGGTTTCTCTCGAACATATTTTCATTTCCGTTCACAATGTATATTCGACATTAGCCTACCATGCCATGCAGTACTCTTTGGCGTAGCTGGAAGGCAAAAGAGAAAAAGGTTATGTTGTCTTTAAAAAGGTATTACTATCTTACACTGAGCATCGTATAATAATCACACGAACTTTGCATTAACAATTCCATGTATTAAGGGTGTGTTTCTCTAATACTTAATGCATTATATGTATGTACTGAACGCTGATAAAAACTAAAGAAGCCAAATAACCTTTGGCATATCTATTATTAGACCATTAGCCTAAATCGTTACACATTTGTGGAACAGGTTCCTGGTTTATATTTATTTAAACTTGCTTGTTATTTGTATGTAACTGCTTAAGTGGTTCCAACTGAAAACCAGCATTACATCAGGCGAGCTGTGACATATCGACTGTGAACTCGCAACCAGTGCTATCTCAATTTTGATAACTTTACACGATGAAGAAAAAAACTGTTTGCGTCATTTATATGGCATCTGGTTTATTAAATAAAAATACGTGGTGAATGTGTAATAAAAATACGTGAACCGATTTTTAGGATTCTTTTTTTTGTTGAAAAGAGGGTACCCTAGGAGTTTGAAGAAAATATTCCACATCTAAGGATGTAAAACGAGGGGATGTATGATTTTTGAGGTCGGTTTTTTAGTACTCAATACTGAGATTATTTTCTGTATCTAATAAATAATAAAATTTAAAAAATCATTATGACTAAATTTCGATTAATTGATTCGTCGCGTCGTGACAGTGGGTCAGGCTAGGCGGAAAACTGGTAAAATCATTTTTTTCGACAGGTTTATCATCGAGAATAAATGTAAGCAAGCGCGAGCAGTTTTTCACCTACCAGAATTGATAGAGGGTATTTAAGGACAAAGCAGCATACCACACTAAACTGCTTAGTGTATCATCGTGTGAAGCTAGTCCGCGCCTTAGTCCCACGGTGCAATGTGGCTCAAGGTTTTTTAGATATCTGTAATGCCGTGACAGCACTACATGACATGACGTGTGGAACTGGCTTTAGGCATGGTTGTGATGATATATTAAGAGAACTTATTTGCACTTTGCTCGGTGAGTCGTTCGTCAACTCCGCTGTTATTAATTGTCAAGTCATAACAAACAGTTCATTACACGAATGTCAATTTAATTTCTTTTGTCGTCGATTGACAATTTTTTTATCTAGTGGAGCAACAAGTTACAAAAATTTACCATCAACAGATCAAAGCCATCCCTTTCTTCTCCGCGCATCTATACAGGGTTATTTGTGACGTAAACAACTTTTGTTCCGTGACTTTTAATAATTGATCTGATTTTACTTTCACACAAAAATAAGAATATTTAAATTGAGCACCTAAAACCATGCTTTCCCAGCAGGAGGTGAAGAGTCCTAGGGGAGAGAGAAAGGAGGAAGAGAGGTAGGAGCCTCGGAAGCAATTGGGAGGCGTTGATACTGTCCAGGGGGTGATAGCGCATTTGAAAAAAAAACCTCATCTATATAGACTACACTACAGACGTATTTCTTTTCCTAGTGATTTTTTGTGTTAAAAAATACGTATTTTAAATTTTTTTTTTGGTGTTGGGGGGCGTTGAAATATGTTTATCTTGCCTAAGTGGGCGCTAAGCCAAAAAGTACGAGAACCTATGCTTTAAACATCTTGCATAATTGAACTTCCTACCTTACTACCAAATACAGACCTAAAAAGTGTCAGATAACATGTACAACAAAAACTGAAAAAGTAAAAAGACATGGAACAAAAGTTGTTGTTTATGATGTTAGTAATATATTATAGTCCTGTGAGGTTGTTAGTATTTTGCAAATAACCCTGTAAAAGACACGGTTTAGCTTGAACGGTCATACTATAACCAACACCACCTTAGCAGCTTCAATACATATCTATAACACAGTTAACATTTAATAATTGTCTAAGTACCTATAGTTAACTATATGAAAACTTGTTCGGCGGCGAGCGCCTCCGCGAACGGCTTCACCACGCCGCGCGTTGCGAAGTAGAAGATGAGGCCGAAGGTTATCGAGATGGGTAAGGCTGGTAGTGCTTTCTTCAGAATAGCTAGTAGGAGAAGGGTTAGGCACAATCCCTGTGGAAAAAAAAACGAGAATGTAATCACAAATGGAGAAATTGAAAATTAAACACATCTAATAGCGGTTAGTTTACACTTTTAAGTAACTATTAAGTTTATTAAATGACGAAGTAATTACCTAAGTGTTACTTATTTTTTTATGATGCCAAGTGAGGGGACGAACAAGTCGTGCGCCTGGTGGTACGCGACACGCCTGTCCATAGCACTTAAGTGCCACTCAGAGCTTTAAATCACAAAGGTCTAAGGGGCACTGCTATTGCGCCCGTCATCTGAGACTTAAGTTGACAAGTCCCATGTGCCTGTAATTTCACCAGCATTCTTACCCTTCAAACCCGAAACGCAGTAATGATCTCTTACTGCTTGGCGGCAAAAATAGGTAACGGGCAAATTCTTTCACAACGAGCTCTACAAACTTAATTTATTCGAGTAAACAATGACTTAACAGCTGTGAAGTAATCATCGATTTAGTGGATAATGTACGTACATTAGAATCAACCCTACTTTTTGACGAAGTAGCCGACCCTCCTGCGCATTCCTTGTTAGGTGTGGCTTTATTAAATAGTATTTTTGTTGTATGAGTGCACTCACAACTTCACTAAAATACGTGTAAACTTTAGACTATTTAAAATTAAGTCAAGAGACAAGTTAATTAATTACTTTCCCATTTAATAGGCGTAAAAATTGTGCTTCTGCAGAATGCAATTGGTATAACAAATAATTTATTTTGTTTACTTCCGCATTTATGATATGATATATAATTATGGCGTGTGTTGCCGTCGCTATTTCCGATTTCCATAGCACAAGTACTTTAGTTACTTAATTTGGGATCAGAGCTACGTATGATAAGATGTTGTGTAAAATTTATTATTTGTTAAGAGTCAATACTACCTCAGCTCGAATTCTAATTTTTCTCGTACTAATACGGTTCATTTTGCTTGGGTCGAGCGGCTGGGACTCTGGCTTTATTTCAGACTTAATTTTTTACAAACGAAATCACAGCCATTTGAAAAATGTTTATCGCATACTACGTGTTCTATTTAGTTCAGTTGATTAAAAAAAAAAATCATTGGTATATGTAAAGTACCCATTGAACACAGCGGTTTTCTTTTAAAATTATTTCAAGACAAGATTGTGTTTTTTTTATATAGTGAACATTTTTAGGAATCGTGTTTTCACACGCGCCGTACCCGCACCGTATACTAATCGTGTATATCATTGACTTACAATTATATGGACGTCGGGTCCGCGCTAAAAAGTGTCCGCACTTGTAAGGCGCTAAAATCGTATACAGAGCGCGACACTCCGCTTTAGTCTTCATTTGTTCTACTGACAGCGCGATACTGCGATGACATTACAATTTAAATTTCGAATAGATTGACTTGGGACATTTTTTTCGTGGTTTTTGTATTAGACCCGTCGTCCATTTATTTGTAAGTCAATGATTTTACTATATATTTTTTCCAAAGTGATTGTTCAACAATTTCACTGTATACGGAATCAACCAAAACCCTTTGAGGTTGTATCGACTCTTATTATTTTTATATTTATATTATAATATTAATTAATTTCTTGCAGAATGTTTAGTTTCATTTATTAGCGAATGTTTTCTACATTGCGAAAAAAAGTTTGCCTTTATTTATTTATTAAGTTTATAGTTAAACAATTCGTTTTTAATAATAGAAAAGACAATTTTGACGACCTCAGTGGCCAAACGGTTTACACTGTGGGCGCTGAATTTGATTCCCGGTAGGACCAATTTTCAAAATGGACTTTTCTAAATTGGTTTTCGCCTGGATGTGCTGGGTAGTACCCTGGAGTGTATTCCGTAGCTCTGGCACTCATAGTAAAGGGAATTCCCTAGTAGGGTAATTGGAGTAATAATTGTCTAGCACATTTTTAATATTTAGACAATATTTTTTTCATTACGTATTCGCGTCAAATTTGACCTTGGTGGTCTAACGGTTTACATTGTGGGCGCTAGATGCGGAGTTCCGGGTTCGATTCCCGTTAGGACCAATTTGGGAAATTAACTTTTCTAAATTGGTTCTAGTCTGGACATGTCCCAGAAATTCGTCCACAGTGTGGTCGGCGTCTGACGCCTCACTGCGCTTAAGTAACGCGCATCGACGCCCGTTTCCATATTTGCATAACACAAATTTGTACCTTAACAATGGGAAAATAGAGATGCATATAATATAGGCGAAAACCATGACGCTTCGACTCTGCGCCAGTGTGAGTTAAGCCGTAAAGGAAGCTTATTATAATATTGAAATATAATGTTTTATTGGCAGCTTTGTGACTATTCATTCACTCAGTTCGTACTATAACATTAAAGTAATATTGAATATATGATTAAATTCGGAAAACAGTTTCATTACCTAAATATTTTCTAGTTAAATAAAAATACGCGATGTTTATTTCGTAAAATTATGATATGACCTTGGCGACACTAATAGTTGACACTAGACTATGGTTCCGAATTCACAACGTGATAATCAAGACTCAGCTTGTTTTATTTATTTTTCTTCATGAAAATGCGGAACAATAATTGAAAACAACGTAATTTTAATAGACTTCATTATTATATACTTTTCTTTTTTTGGCAGTTAAAATTCTCTGAATGTAAATATTATTAAGTACTTTAACATTATACTACGATAGGACGATTGGGAACATCAAAAAAGAAAGAGATGGCATTATACAGTTCATAGAGCGTTATTTCTTTCCTATTTTTAGTAAGAAATAGACAATATTGGGAAATCATTCGTTCTTTCAGTCACTTTAGCAATAATACATTACTTGGTTGATAGGTTTGTCATGTCATCACTTATTTCAATGTAAGCTTACTATTATAAGCTTACGTTGAAGTAAGATTGTTTTTTGAAAGGCTATGGTAGGCAAGTGGTGTCGTTGTCTAGCATATATTATTATATTATACAGGCAGTACAGTTCGGTGTGCGTTCGGAAACGGACGCGCTCCACTACGCAGTGAGAATTATTATTATAATTCGAGTTTCGCGCGGTATATTAGACCGCTGCGCTTAAGTGGCAATGGGTTCCCAACAACTCATAGTCAATGAGCTTTAGGCGTTTATCCAACACGCCATCGATACTATGGACGAGGTCAGCATTGTGATCTGCAGATCTGCAAATCCAACTTCAACGAGGATGAGATTTGCAGTGGCAAGATGCTGCTGTTCCAGAGGCTTGGCAAAGCTGAGAAGATGCCATCTCGCCGGAGGGATGGTGGCGTGAAGAGTCTCCAGGATATTATCACACTCTTGAAGGAGACTGAGCCGGACGACATGCCTACATTCGTGGCGAAGGAGCTGCACAAGCTGCCTCCAGTCACGTTCGACCACGTCGATGTCACCAGGCTGCCGAAGCATGTTACTTTCCTGAAGTCAGACCTGGTCAAGTTGCAGTTTAAATTGGAGGCTTCCGATAACACCATAAGTGAGCTGCGTGCCCAAGTTGCGTTATTAAGCAACGCTGCTTCGCTATGTAGGTCACCAGAAGCATCTAGTATAAACACGCGACGTGGAGCGCAAAATGCATCCATCAGCAGTGTCGAGTCGGCACAAATGGTTGCGTCACCGATCGCTGCTGCCGTCACGCGTGATGCGCCGCGCCCTGCTGCCCGCGCCTCCGCGCCGGCGGAAATATCACGCGTGTACATGTCACCCCATGCACGTGCATACGCCGCTGTAGCTGCTTGTACCAGCCCACCCGCCACTTCGAAACTCAAGCGGCAGCAATCGGCTAAGAGCAAAAACAATCCCCGTGAGCCTGTCTCTGAAATTGCAAAACCACAGAGGCAGAAGGACCAGTGCGATGAGGACGGCTTCACAAAGGTGGTGAAGAGGAAGAGGAAGCCCACCAGCCGTAACCAGTGTGGCACAGCACCGATAAGACCGAACTTCCTGCTGCGTCCGGCCATACCGACGACGCTGCTGTACCTGTCACGACTGCATTACTCCACGAAGTCTGAGGAGATAGTGGAGTACATCAGACATAAAGCCAAATACACCCTGAGGGTCGAGCGATTGGAGCCCCGCCGCAACATAAATTTTAATTCGTTTGTGGTGAGAGTGCCGACCGAACATCTATCGAACTTCATGAAGGAAGAATTATGGCCGAAGGGTGTCGTCATGTATCGGCGATTCCACGGCCGGTTACTTGACACCAGATTGCGCCACACGTCACCGACAAGTGCAATTCGTGTAGATTAGCTATAAGTAGTGTTTTGTTATATTGTATGTATGTTTTTCGTTAAGGTATATATTATATGAGTGTTTTATTGTATTATTATGTATATTAGTCTATAAGGTATGTATTTATGGGTCTTTGCAACCTGAATACAAATAAATAAATAACAAAAAACAAATAGAATAGGTACTCACTATAAGTATAGCCACGAAGCAGGCGAGAGTGGTGTTCCAGTCGCCGTACGAGCTCGCCTTGCCCACCAGCACGCTGTAGAATATGAAATCGCCCAGACCCAACTTTACACCTTCTGTAAAAACGCAAACGCAAGTTTATATTACGACTATATAGAAACGGATGCACCGTACACATACACTAGAATGCAGCTGAATTATATAGGATATAATTGATGTAAGTGAAAATTTTGACCAAGATGAATTATTACGTCACGAATTTTGAAAATTAAAAGCTTTGTAAGTAAATTATACGGGGTTATTTATAAAATACTAACAACCTCGGTGGACTACACTACTAACAACATCTTTCGTTCTTGACTTTTTACAAAACATAAACCAAAAATAAACTTTCAGTTTTTGTTGTACTATCTTGACACTTTTTAGATCTGTATTTGGTAAGTTTATTATAATAGTAAGTTCAAATGTGCAAGCGTCTTCCTTGACTACCCCCAGTCCCGCTTCTGCGTTTTGCGTCAGACTGATATTTACGCTAGCGCTTGCTTTTTGTACCGCACGAAGTTTAGAGCAATCCTTTTAAATATTTTTATTCTCGTACTATAGTAAAATCCGATGAATTGTTAATAGCACAATCTTTTGCCATGAACAGCGTGCGGTTAGGTATTTAATGTGGTGTTAGTGTTTGTCTGTCAATGTAGTGTAGTTGTATGCAGCAAATACCAACCGCCTGCTGTGCATGAATTTATGGTAAGATAATAACTACTCTATCAGAATTTAACAGAGAGACCTCAAGGGTCGTCTTACGATCTATCAAGTGTAGCCCTACAACCTAACGGTGTGTAGCCTAACCTAACCATAAATATATATAAATGGAGAGATATATAGTATAAGTAAGGAAGTCTGTCACCAGGAGACCTAAGGTGACAAACGGAAGTTGGGAAGGAAATTAGGATGTACACGTCGTGCGATGTGTACAGGAATGGTTTTCTCACTGCCGGTCAAACAGACTCACAAGACCGATCTACTGATGGCTAAAGGTGTCTTGGCCACAGTGAGAGGAGTAGCAGGTAGCACGTCACTAAGCAAGGAGATGAGTTAAAATCAGATGGTATTGGTTAACTAACTTTATTTACAATATTTACTGACTATTTATACAATATTTGTTTATACTACATTATGATAAGTTTCCTTAGTGTGCATTGGGTGTTATTGATGACTAGGTTGATTTTTGTTAATTGGCATAGTACGTGACTATGCTGCACTTGTTGCATAAGAATGTTCTGTTGATGAGGCTAGTTTTTGTAGCATTTTATTCGAGGTCGCTATGTTGCAGTTTCTTCGTTGGTTATATCATGTTCAACCTTGAACAGCCATCTTCCGGGTAATTTTAAAATTTTATTCTATTTTTATTTATTAATAAAACCAACGGCATTACACAAGGTATTTTAATAGTATATAGGCTAAGAGTAAGGCTAATGACAGGTTTCCTTCGTGAAATATCATTAAATCACAAACACATAATCTCGCTTGTTGTTTATTGATAAAATAATAATCCTAGTCATCACATCAGCCGGAAGACGTTCGGAAGACTGCTGAACATAGGCCTCCCTTAAAGATTTCCAGACCAGCCGATCGGACACAACGTGCATCCATCGTTACCCGCCGCCCTTACCAGGTCAACTGTCCATCTAGTAGGGGGCCGTCCCACTGAACGCCTTCCGGTTCATGGTCTCCATTCAAGAACCTTTCTGCCCCACCGGCCGTCAGTTCTACGAGCTATGTGCCCTGCCCACTGCCACATCAACTTGCTAATCCTTCGAGCTATTTCGGTGACTTCCGTTCTTCTACGGATCTCCTCATTTTTGATTCGACCACGTAGAGAAATGCCGAGCATTGCTCGCTCCATATCTCGTTGAGTGACTTTAAGCTTTTTTATGAGGTCCATAGTAAGTGACCATGTCTCAAAGCCGTAAGTCATCGCTGGCAACACGCACTGCTTGAAGACTTTTGTCTTCAAGGATTGCGGTATTGCGGACGAGAAGACGTCCCGGAGCTTCCCGAAAGCTGCCCAACCGAGTCGGATTCGACGATTGACCTCTTTCCCGAAGTTGGCCATGGCTAATTGGACGGTTTGTCCGAGGTAGACACACTCTCGTCAACAACTTCGAGAGTAGAGTTATACATAAGTTTCGTCTTGTCCATGTTCATTTTTAGGCTCAACTCACACAGGCAGTGTCGAAGCGTCGCGTCGCGTTCTGTTTCTTAACTACAACGCTCGGCGACGAGACGCGTCGTCGCGCGACGACGCTCGCTTAGTGCGCCCGGATCACAGTGTCAAGTAACGCGCGTCGACTGCATGCATGCGTGGACGCGTTGCGAGTGGCGTTTCTGAACAAACACTTCAACATGTCCGGGATATCCTCAGTATAGTGTCGGGTTAGCTTGGTTCTAGAATTTTTAGAAACAGCAACAGGCTGAGTAATCGAGGCATATAGCTGGCTATAAAACCTCTTGATCTCTCCCAGTACTTCTGGCTTGGACGTTACAACATTGCCATCCTCCATCTTCAGCTTTGTAAGCTGACTTTGCCCAATAGACGTGTTGCGAACACTTTGAAGCCCTTGTTCCGCTCTATGGTATCTTTAATTTTAGGACATTTTAGTTTGCGTGAGTATGGTGGTCGCGCTTCAAAATTATTTTATTTAAATTAAAAAACACAGTATAACAGATGTCCATAAATTCGAACCACTAGCAGAAATGACATTTTTTAAAAGAAAAATGTTCACACTGGATTATTTTAATACTTTTTATAAAAAAACTGCTGAACGCTTAAACACGATGAAAAAGTGCCATTTTTGACGACCTTACTCATGTATGGCTATTTATCTTCAATTATAGAGTAAAGAGAGGAGTTTCTTTCATCCTGAAATCCGGAATTCGAAAAAAGTAATTAATTAATATTTGGTCGTTTCAACAACTCCATGTTGCTCCTTGTAGCTGTATCTATACATGTATCCATGTATGTGGAACATCTTTTTCCGATAATTGATTATATGTATTAAATTCCTCTTTTATAAAAAATCCTGTCTTTAATACAGCTCTATATGTTCTATTCAAAAAGACCGAAACAAGTGAAAATCTGAAGCGGGTAAGTCGGGAATAAGGTGGATGAGATTACACAACCTCAGCCTAACAGCCAACCATTATTAAAAATGGGAGTAAATTAATTTGCTACTCCGCGAACCCAGTGGAAGTTAAATCGTGCAAAATAGCTGCGCTTGTGTTGGTTTTTTTTTTCATGATTGTAATTTTCCAATCGTCCATAAAATTTATAAAATAAACAACACAAGCGCAACAGTCACAGATACCACCACAAAGATTCTTCGACCGAGTGTCGAACAATGAACAACCCCTGAGGATGCCTCGTAGAGAGGCAAAACACGTTGAAAATAGTAATTTTTGCCGCCGTTACTTGAAAGGGCACTTATGACAAAAACTCAAAATCGAAATGTTTAAAGAGATCAAATAAAAAAATATATTCTTTTCTCTTGTAAAACTTCATACCTTATCCGTATGTGGAAATAATAAAAATAGATCTGTCAGAGCGGCTTACTTTTACCGATCACGATCACAACAAATTTTTTGAAAAACAATTGAAGATAGTTTTATTTCGAAAGTGCCAAAGTCCATCACAGGTTATATATGTGGGTTAAGTATACGAAAGGAGTTTACATTACAACGCCCTTCGCGTTCAATATAATAACGCTTTTAGGATGCTGTTGGGATTATCAATTTGGTACAGTGCATCAGGCATGTTCGCAGAGGCGCAAATGGGCAGCTTCCAATCGATAATGCGGAAGAAAATAGTACCGCTTAGGACCCGTGTCAGAAGTAGCCACAACAGCATCCTAAAAATGATTACAGCCAGATTTGATTGTCCGATTCTAAAGTACTGGGTTGGGCAAAACAAATCTGTTTTTAAATATATTAAATAAATATCGTGTTTATGTTGTGTCGTTGTGTTCTGTATACTAACCGATTCCAAGTGAAAACGTTAGTAACAAATTACATGGATCTACGCCTGAAATGAATAATTCTATTGTATATAGAAATTTATTAAGCGAATTTTTAAGAGCCACGTGGGCGACGTACTTTCTTCGTCGAAAACCTGCTGCAGTTGCTGCGGCGGCGGCGGGCGGTCGACGCGCGTGGTGTACTGCGCGGGGGCCGTGCCGACGACGCGCAGGCGCCGCGGCGAGTCCCGCGCACGCGCCACCCACGCCGCGTCGAAGCCTCCGTCGCCGCTCGGCGACGCCACCGGCGGCTCTTCGCGCGATTCTGTGCACCACACTTTTATTGCAACACGCACTGTGGTACGGCAACCGCATTGGGCAAACCGGTCGACTTTGGCTTCCCATTTACGATGTCTTACTTTCTCAAACTCGTATCGTATAAAGAGTGATTGTTCAGGAGATGGCAAAACTTTCTATTTATTTTAAATTTCTTATCAAGGGTGTTAATTTGGATGCTTTGCTCAAAGAATAGGTAAAAGCCTGTGTATGAATACGAAGGAAATGTGATGTGAAATCGGCCTGCAAAATTTGTATACACAATCCATTTTTTGCATTTCAGTAACTTTGTGCTTTAAAATAGGAGTTTGAAAAAGCAAGGCAACGTTATACTATTCTACTATACTTGGATAGCTAAGATACAAGTAAACAATTTCACCTAGGTTCATTACCTTAATTAAAGTTATGTTTGCGATAGTCCAGCACATATACGTAAATTAAAGGTTATTTAATAAGATTAATCTGTTTAGGTAGATTTTAAACAGAATAAATTTATTTTTACTTAGAGAAGACCAGTGGTGAGTACTGGGACTTATAAATTGAATGCTACGCTTGCCTCATTTCGCACCCCCCATGGAAGAAGTGCATAAGTGGAGTTACGTCAAACATGTTACTAAAATGTACCTTGTGGAGCAATAAACGTTTTCGACGTAACTCCACTTATGACATTGTTCCATGAGAGTTGCGATTTATTTTTGACTTAAAATTAATAGAGATTCGTTAAGCTGTTCTAGTAAGAAATGTTCTTCTTTTTTTATATCGAAATCAGTACGCATTTGACCTCCATCCCACCTGATGGAAAGTGACGATGAAGTTGACGATGTAGCATGTATACCTGAATAATGCCTATTCTCGTCTTGAATAGGTCCAAGTTATAGCGTTCGGGAATAAATCCGCAGACAGTGAATTCCACTCCTTAGCCACTCGCCATATGAAAGTGAAATCAAAACGCTTCGCGCGAACCCTGGGAATATCTACACATAGGTAGGTCGAATCCCAGCCCACCTCTAATCCCCCGATGATGGAAAAGGGAAAGCGGAATTAAGTCTTGCAATTGATATATCCTGTAGAATACTGATAAGCAAGCAACTTTACGGCGGTGTTCAAGGTTCTGCAGCTTTTGCCTCACTAAATCCGAGTCATCTATAAGTCTTTTGCCGCGTTTTCCACCTGAATCCAAAGTGGCCAGTTGGTATTTAGCCGAACCATCTCATTAGTGGCAGCAGTAATCCATACACGATCTTCTAAATCCGTCTCTTACTTGTACCTGGCCTAATGACGAGTATACCGACGACACACTTATATAAATACTGCAATGCCAAAAGTACAATATGAAAAATATTCAAACTACTTACGTTTTCAGATGCATATGAAATTCAAGATACACACGTCAATGGCTGTGTTAACAGCTAGTTAGATAAAACGCTGAAAACAATTTGCACTCCAACATTGTCAATGCCGATTATCATATACAATAAAGCTTTAGCAAAATTATAAATATAAAGAAAAAAAATCAAAAATTTAACAAAAAGTAACGGGCTTCACACAATCAGCAGGAGCACGTTTTTATACAAAATGTACAGAGTGCAGTGAATTTTTGCTAATTGTGTGTAGCTCGTAAGAAAATAGACCCAAACTATGAGAAAAATTAATCAAATTCAGTACTTAAACTTGTACAAATTATTAAATGAAAACTGTTAAAATGGTTATGTACAAGTGATTAAATAAAACAATAAGCTTTCCAAGGGGGATAAGTGAAAGGTCCCATAGTAAGGGTATATCCATTTTCGTCACACATCATTCGCATTAAAGTTTTAAATCAGTGTTTTACATACACGAAAATCATTTGATGTCAAAAAGCTAAATGTGACGAACTTGAACAACTTAAGGCGCTACGCAGACGATGTTCTGTTCTGTAAGGTGGAGCAGTAAAATCCCGCACCACGTGCAGAGTTCAGTAATAACAGGAAGTCGGTATCAAAGCAATTTATCGATCAAATCAATATTTATCAAGATATTGCAAAAGACGTGCCATACAATATGGCGGTTAAAGTGAGTGTCGAAGGTGGTGAAAAATTGCGTTTTCAAAAACATGATCTCCAATAAGCCCGCACAGATTTTTTTATGATACCAAGTGATGACGGGACATACAAGCCGTGTGCCTGGTGGCAAGCGACACGCCTTCCATAACAGTTGCAGTGCCACTCAGAGCTTTCAAACGCAAACATCTGAGGGGCACTGCCACTACCCCCGTCACCCTGTGCCATAATTGACAAGTCTCATGTATCCGTTAAGTCACCTACACTCGTACCCTTCCAAACCGAAACGTAGTAATGCTCATTATTGCTTGGCGGCAGGTGAGATGGCAGTACTTCCCTGGACGAACTCTTTCACAAGGAGGTCTAATGCTGCTAATTTTAATTTCTAAATATGCGAAATCTCGGTCTCCAAATATTGTATACTATCATATGTTTGAACTCAATACTCGATTGGTACAGGATTTGACAGCGTAGTGCATTAAAAAAATGTCGTCGGTGTAGCGCGTAAGGTAAGTTACGGCATGCGGGAGGGGACGGACCGTGCGGGTTGAGGGGGCGCAGCTCGCGTGACCGCTCACCTTCGCCCGCGCCCGCCGTCGTCGTCGCTGCCAGGCAGTACATCACCGTTGCTGCAACGTGCACACTCTTAATTTTACTATGTCATAGTCTCATAAATATGAAATAATTACAATACGAAAAAGGTTTTATTCATTTAAATATGTTACTGGCTTGATAGTTAAGGGTTTCCATTTATAAAAAACATTCGTTCCAAATTCAAATTTAAGACTTAGCAAGATATGTTTTTATATAAAAAAATCGACCTCAAAAGTTCGTGGAATTACATCTATTTGCTAAATTTATTGAAATTGGTTACTGGAAAGTGTGCGAAATCGGATTCATCCCCTAGTTTGCCACCCTTAGAAGTGGAAAGTTTTCTTCAAGTTTAAATGGGACTAATACTGAGGTACCCTTTTTCCAACAAAAAAAGAATCATCAAAATTAGTTCACAAATGCCGTTATCGCGTAATATACACACAAACAATACAGTCAAATTGAGAATCCATCCTCCTCATTCTTAACTTCATTAACGGCGGGAATTGTTGAAAGCTTACATGAACTCTACATCACTTTTAGACAATTTTTGATGAGCTATATCGTTTAATTGATGATTTTAAATTATTGTATCATTACTAAGCGGACTCTAAAATGGTTGACAAGTTGAATAGCGCTGCCCGCTTTAAGAAAATATTTTCAATGTTATGTGCCTCAAGGCTTGCAATGTGAGTTATTCGACAGTTCAGAAATTCAGAGGGCTTGGAAACGATATCAAGGTCCGGCTTTATTAATAAAAGGACAGAGACTGGAAGGAAACCATGCACCGAAAAGCGTTCGTCCAGTGGGGACGACCGCTTCCTGGTAAACTGAGCATTGAGAAATCGCAGTTTCGTGCGTGAACGTCAAGAAAGAAAAACCTTGGGGAAGTGAGAGGTGTACAGATTAGTCTATGGACGGTTAGGAGACTTCTTACTGCCGATATATACGCTGTCACGGCCCAGCTCGTGACCCTAAACTAAATTACTCCGTGAGCATAAAGTTGTTAGACACAGCTTCTCTAGAAAACATGTTACATAGACTCAAGAGGGCTGGTGGTATTGTTTTCCGATGGAGCTAGGATTTCTCTATGTGGGGAAAACCTATATGGGCAAGTGCTACTAAGTCTAGGTGAACGCCTTGCAGACGTGTGTTTTTATGAAATCGTCCCCTATGGTGGAAGGTCCGTTATGTGTTGAGTAGTGATTAATTTGATGAACCTTACGAAGTCAAGTCTCCATCGAAAATGGCACATTGAATGCACACCGGTACACGACGGAGATCCTAATTCCTCACTCACAACCTGTTTTGACTGTTCTTGGAAAAGATTCCATTTTTGTGGATGACAACACTCGCGCCCAAAGTTTTGTGGATGTGGATGCATATATGCAAGAGATTGGGATCCCTCATTTGGATTGGCCAGCTCGAAGTCCCGACCTCAATCCGATAAGAGCATGTATGAGATATAGTAAGATCGGTGCAGACGGCACCTCAAAACATCAGGGAGCTAAAGAATGTCATCGCCGCGCGCCGTGGAGTGGGAACATATACCACAAGAGGTCATAAAGAATATTCTCGAAAGCATGCCCGGAAGAACACAAGCTGTGACTTTGACAAGAGGAGACCACAATCATTACTAAATTGTTACATAGCTTCCTTTACACTATTAAAAAAAAACCAAAATGTTTTAGTTTTTTTTTACTTGACGATTAGTATTCCATTGACGGTTTAAACTTAATTTCTCAATGACTTAATCGAAATTTATTTTTAAAAATTGCCGAAACTACCTTCCGTATATTCATTCATAATACTAGTTACTCAAATAATCTGGAGGTGACAATGAAATAGCTTATTTTCTTAGGTGCCCTTTTTTTTGCAAAATAATGCATTTAATTAGCCACATAGCCATTTTATAAGCGGTTTGCTATTTTAAGCCTATTCAGATACTTATAAGCGATATTCGCTACTGCTGTGAGTAGCGAAAGCGAAAGTTCCGCGACTAAGGCGAAACCAAACTACCACGCCATACCGCTCAAGTAGGAGGCGTCTTTTAGCCTCCTTTGTAAAATTAGTATTGCTGAACTGCGCGATACTCCGCACACTCCGCAAGTTAGTTAGCAACGATTAGTTGACATATTGAAAGGACTCATTTGCGATTAAGACGTCGAAACAGTTAAATTGTTTGAAATTACACGTTATGCACATAGTGTGGACTAATTCACTGAATGACGGCACAGAAGAGGCTGGATATGGGCTAAAATCAAAAAAGTTTCGATATCCGCTTAGGTTTGAACAGTGGGAATACCGCTTACTCACTCGGATTTCGCTACCCACAGCGGTAGCAAATATCGCGTTATCTAAACAGGCCTTTATTAGACACTTCGACATACTTTAGACAGATAGGCATTTCTTTAGGCAGTTCGCCACTTTTAGACTGTATGGTTTGTGCAATGTACTATATGTAGTAGAAAGTCTGTCCAATTTTGAGTTCCTGTCAGTCTGCTGGTCATAGCGGCTGGTCGCGACATAGACAGTTCGCAGCTTTAGGCGGTTCGCTACTTTGAAATAACGTATTATATACGTACATGAATAAATTAAGGCTGGGAATATGGGTTCATTTCTTTCTTGCGCTGTTTCTACTAATATCCTTAATGGTCCTTTTGGTGTTAGCACTGCCACCAAATCTGAAATTAAAAAAGATATATATTTTCTTTTATCACTGCAGCAGGATTCCACCACCAGCTCCAGAGAATTGTAATTTGTGGTTTATTATTACGTACTTGAAACATTTACATATACGCACAATAATCAAGTCAGTATGGCATTGAATAGGAATTGTTATTAGCAGGCCGCGAGTGCATGTCTCCTAGTGGCTATACTAAAACACCATTTCATAATTTTAATTATCCTTATGGATTTTATTGCGAATAATGTGATTCTTTTTAGTTATACATAACATTTACTTATTCATTATAAACGAGATTATACATTTATTGGTTTCATTCAGTAATTTTTTGGACTTTTAAATCGTATTTTTTCAATTCCACAAATTTGAATTGCGGCAGTATTTGGTTTGTTTAGCGAAACGTGTTGATCAGGTACTCAGTTGACACACAAGTAATAACCTTTGACTGACTGTGCCTGCACTCACTTAAGGTCCAACTTACCCCAAATAGAAATAACAGCAAGCACTGCCCAAGTTGTCCACTCCGGCAAGTATTTGATAAACACGAGCGCCATAAGTGCCGCAATGAAGATCAAGTATGCCTGCTGCAACCGCAGAGGCCCTTTCCAGTGGATCACTATCATGCCCACCACTCCAAAATTCCACATTACGAATGCTAGTGTTATATAATCCATTGGAATGTTGCACGCCCTCAGTGCTTCCCTGTAAAATGTTTGCTGGATGTATATTCTTATATTATTTTAATGGACTTTTATAGCAGATATTTATTATGGTTATAAAATTTGTTCATAATTTTGATTTAATTTATTTTCAGAAATCCGTTGCATAATTGAATGTAGCAGCGAACTAAATTGGTTATAAATGCATGTTTTTCAACATAGTGCTTTAAATCTCAGAGGCATTTAATGTCAAGAGCAATGACATATTTGAGACTTTCCTTACTTTCAGGATCTAAACTTCCTCATCTTTACTTTATTTTACACACTTTCCCATAGAAATAAAATTTCTTTTACCTATAATTCACATGAACAGCAATAATGGTTACTAACAAAGACAAAAACAGACTGAAACAGAAGTCTCACCACAAAGGTTACCATGTAAGTGTAAAATGTTAAATATTACTCACTCGATATACAAATAAGAGAACAAGAACAACAGCATAAGAGATGATAAAATGAGCCATCCATGTATAATCTTGTAGCATCTTTTTTTATACAATACAATGAGTAGCACAGTCATCAGTGCCATCACACTGAGCAGTATCATGGAGTTGGCCAGAGCATTCCATACTTTGGTCACTGCTGATGGGCTCTCTTCATGGAATGGTGTGTACGCTCTAAAAGAAATTGGTTTAGAACATTTATTACGTTGTGTTTTTACCATATACACAAAAACCATCTACTGAAGTCACAGAAACAAACTTTTTGATACATGTAACATCTGCCGCCGTTAGTTGAAAGCTTCTGAAAAAACTCATAATGACAAAATATATCGAGTTCTTAGGTTTTTGTTACACATAGGAAATGATGAGGTTGACAGTCAACCGTGACCATGGGACCTGTGAAGGGCCCGAAACGTCGGTTTGTTTGAAAAAACAAATATACGCGATTTAACTCCGAAAAAATAGTTTCATTTACTATGACAAAATATGTTCAATGAAAGAAGTTTTAACTTCTTAATTAAAATAGTGACAAATCGGTCTTTTTTACTGATCATGGCAGTATAAATAACAATTTTATTTTAAATCTCACATGCGCCCTCTCAACTAACAATGGCAGATATATACTAAATAAATGCAAAGTAGGTGCAAAGTAGTGCATAGTTTAAATAGATAAATTAATTTGATATGTCAAACATGAGTGTTACACAGTCAATCATTGTAACACGGACTGTGATCATCATTAAAACTGGCATTCCATTGTTTTGACTAGGTAATAGCTTTTCTATTGCTGTACTTCCTTTTTCAAAATTGTTATTGACACATATAAATGAGGAGCGTCGGCATAAAAACCGATAAGACATTTTGACTTGTTTTTCTTTTTCTAATGCCAAACTGTAGTTTTTGTATGTTACTATGAATAATTTATTCAACCTGAACAGAAACCCCTTCATTTTCTTCCAAAATATGTTTCAAATAAACGAAACTGAACACAATCCATTCCACTAGGCAGAGTTAGAATTGAAATTTATCAGATTTATCAGTGTTTGCTCTGAAGCTCCTCAATTGTGACATAGTTATTGTAACACACTCCATCATTAAAACTGACAATACACTATTGTGACTAGATAGTAAAAAGCTTATTACCACATTTATTACTATACGCTATCTTTTTAAAAATTGTTATTGACAATTTACAGATCTAAGACAAGTTATTCTTATTAAAATATAACTTACAAATAAACATCTTTAATTGAGTAGAATTGAACTGAGGATAAAGTTGCGACAACAACAATCATACACAGTGTGACGGGCACAAAGAGCTTGATGACATGGCGTGCCCCATACTTCAACTCAAGCTCTTCAAGCTGTACTTCAGGTGGTGGAATGCTGGGGCCACCACCACCTTCACGACTTCCAGATGCTGTTGGTCCACTGGTCTCTGCTTGCTCCACACTCTGCAATGTTAATTACATTTATGGGTTAGTTCTTGCTCGTCACGTTTAGTTGAAGAAAAGATCTTCAAATTAAATGTGTCCTGAATACTAAATACAAAGTTTATTATTTTCTCCAAAGCCTCTGGTTTCCTTAACTGGAAATCTGGCAAACCTCCATTCCAAGTCTACCTCAAAAATATTTGGTACATGGTGTAACGGGCTGGTGTCCGCACCTCGACGTCAAGGCGCCTATTTTACGTGTGGTGAAAAATAATAACAACATCCAGATTCATGTCCGGTATTCCAAAATTGAGCAACACCTGTTATATTAAAACAGTAACAGCATGACCTACTAACAAGTGGACATCGGGTTCGCGCTAAAAAGTGTTCGCACCTATAGGGCGTTAAAATCGCATATAAAGCGTCAATCGCGCAACATTCTGTTTGTCCGATTGACAGCGCAATTGTCAATAATGCAGTACCATATAGTAATAACTTGTAAAAATTACTGCAGTAAAGTGTAAAAACTGGATTCTGTATCATATTTTCACTAAACAAATATATAGTGTTATTATAGTTATTATTTAAAAGTGTTACTTTGTACAGTTGTATAGTATTTAATTTATATATAAATAAATCGTAAATATAAATTACAAAAGCAAACAAAATAATCAAATAGCTAACTGTCCTTTTCTACACATTGCATGCGCAAAAGATGGAAAGAGACCTACTACGTCAATTTCAAGAAGCTTATATAAACTTCTTGGTCATTTTCAATTATTTCAACCATAAGTGATTGAAATATTTGGAACAAAGAAACTATAGAGTCATTTTGATTTTAATCTTATTTTCAAGAATGACTTTTTATTAAACATTAGCAATAACTAACAAAACATTGTTGTACTCGTTTCACGACTAGGGATTACCAAATTTACAATGTACATTTGCCCGAAAGAACGTTAGCTCTAATTTTCATAATGTCAAATGTACTTTTTTAGGAATATTACAAAAGCTAATTATGGCTTTGTGAAAAGCATCACAATTACTTGAAAACGTAACTGTTTTATTATAAATCGGTTTTCGGAATCACAGATATTTGAGTTTACGTTTAATTAGAATATCGGTACATTTCTTATAGTACACGCTTATTTTCACATTCGTAATATTTGTATGTATGTATCTGCCCAACTCTTTATTATTTCTTGAAGTGAATTTGTACAAAATTTGACATAATAATATACATGAAAATTAATTGATATTTACAATAAGTGTTCTAGTAATTTTCAGTCGAAGCTAAATATGGAGCATATTTTTAAGCTTCCAATGTAAGCTAAGTATAGTGTTTTTGGGCCCTTTAAATTGTTGCAACCTAAATTAGGCAGTACTACATGACGTTACAATTTAAATTAAATGTTTTAGTTTTTTTATATTTCGTTTCGTCATTTCTTTCGTGGTTTTTGTATTAGACCCGACGTCCATTTGTTGGTAGGTCAATGAGTAACAGGCATTGTTTGGTAATCCGTTACGGAGATAGCAAAATAACAATGCTGCTGACTCAGTGGTACAGAGTGGGTATGTAAAAAAGTCATGAGTATGTATGACTCAAAAAAATTAATATAGCCGAGGACTAGCTACTCACGCCGTAAGTGCGTTGGCTTTCGGATTTAGTTTTCCTTTTTCTTGCTATCCGTTCAGCAATCTCCCTATCAGGTCGCGCTTCGGCGATGTGCCCGTCCATTAGTGCCGTGTACTCTGTCGCCTCCTCTCTATCGCTGCTGGACTCACTCATTCATCAATCCTCTGTACTTCTAACATTTTCATAAACACAAGGTTATTATATAATAAAATAACGTATTGCTTTATTTATCGCGAAATCTGATGTTCATTGATATCTAAAACACAAATGCTAAGCCCGAAAGACTGAATTTTTGAATTAAAAAATAATAATTACTCTGCAAAAAGTCTAAGCTAGAAGACGACACCTTGCGTCTTTTTTTGTTACGCACACACTCTTTATTTTCTGTCTCTTACTGACACACGTCATGTACTAATTAAATTTTGTAGGATTATATAAATGTCAAAAGGCGTGTTTATTTCGTACGTTTAAGGTTAAGTGTGCGTAAAGAACGTATTGGAAAATAAAAATACTGTATTCTTCATTTCAAATGCTTATCACGTTAACATTAATTGTTATATATTTATTTATTCAGTATTGGCTATAGAACTATAACACAATAAGGTGTAAGTTTGTAATATTGGTATATCGAAGTGCACGATCCAGTTTATGAAATATATGAATACGTGGTAATTATATTTGGTGTCAATTTCAATAGTAAAATCTAATGACTAAAATCATTGACTTACAATTAACTAAAATGTAATATATTCCGTAGTTTTAAAAGTGGTTACATAATAATGATAAAATCACAAACATTATTAAATAAAAGCAAATGCTTTGTAATAATTTTTACGAAAATGATATGAATAAATATAATAAAATACCCGAGTGTATATTTATCATTGGTTGTTTACTTTTTTCCGAAATAAACGTAAACTTTAAAAAAACCATGAAAAGTGAGTTTTTAAATTACATTTATTAAGTTGATGGTGATGACTATAGTCAACACTTGATAAATAAATAAAAATAAACACACATTCATTTAGATAACTTTTGTTTTGTTTAACGCATTTGCATAGTGGTGTTTCTGTAATGAATTGAAACTATAAATAATAACGCGGTTGATTCAGATAGACAATTTATTAATTAATGCCAGCTAAGTATAAACTCGGTTCACTTATTTCGCTTCATACTATTCGATACGATTATTTATTACAAGTTAACAAAGTTTATACTAAGTTCAATATAGCAAATGAATGAATACAGTATCAGTGAAATTGATCTAAAGGTAAAGTCCTTCGGGCGTGCCTTCTTTCTTGCGATACAATACACTCTCTTTGGACTTCTTAAAGTCTTCATTGGTGACCTTCATACGACGTTCCCTCAGCGCCATCAAACCGGCTTCAGTGCAGATGGCCTGTCAACAAGTTCATAGAATAAATAAAGGACCAATTGTAGAATCAATATAGTGTGAATTGTAACGTAACAATTTTATGTGAGAAGTACAATATGCAGAGGCAATTTATTTAAAACTTGGTCAGGTTGGAAATTGGGAAGCTATCCTTTGCTGTACAATGTAGATGAGCCCTAATTTATTTCTACCCACATGGGGTTCAGTTAAAACTAATTATAATAATAATAATAACGCACACACTCAACATAGCCCCGCACTAGGGAAACCCTGTGTCGCGGGAGCCATGGACACACACATAGACAACCACAAATTACACCCAAACTCACGACAGAAATAAATGTAAGCCATACAAACATTTCTCCCGACCCGGGAATCGAACCTGGGACCTCTGCGTGGCAGTCCGGCGTGGTAACCGTTCGGCCACGGAGGCAGTTAAATTATATTATATTACCTTAATATCAGCACCAGAAAGATCATCCTTGGACATTATAAGCTCTGAGAGGTTGACGTCATCAGCCAGCGTCATCCTGGACGTGTGGATGGTGAATATACGGCGTTTTGTCTTCTCATCAGGCAGGGGGAACTCAATCTTTCTGTCAATGCGTCCTGGTCGAATCAGGGCAGGGTCTAAGGTTTCTATACGATTTGTTGCCATTATAACCTGTTAACAAAAAAATAATATTACCAATTAGAGACCTTTTCTATTCAACACAATCACAAGCGGTATAAAGAGAAAAGGATACTTACTTTAACATCGCCTCTGGAGTCGAAACCGTCGAGCTGATTCAATAACTCCAACATGGTTCTTTGAATTTCTCTCTCACCGCCAGAATTTGAGTCATAACTGAAAGTGACATAAAATTATTATTAAGTATATGGTAGTCGTCTCTATTGACTGTATTTTAGTTTATATAATATATAGTTTTAACTCTATTGTTATTTAGAATTAGCTTTCAACAGGTTGCATTTGGGTATATACACATTAATTATATAAATGTGATGATTCTAGAAATATATCAAATTACAAAATCATTCAGAAAAGAATAAGAAATGTTTGAGATGATTTTTAGACACAGAATTTAGATTTTTAACAGTAATTCGTTTAATTTGTACACTTGTACAGATATTGTATTTATATATGGACATGTTGCTGCTCCCTGCCTTTGAATACTTGCTGTGACTCAAGTACACTATCATTTGCAGTTTGAAACTTTTTCTTATGTAACTGTAACTACGAAAACCCGAAATTTTTTAGTTTTTTTTCTTGACTTCAATATTTATAAAGTAAAGATTAAGCTAGAGGATTTTTTATGTCGATGTTTATATATTCTTCTTAATGTATCTAAATTTTTAAATTGTGAAAATAATTCTAATTTAAATATATGTACCTTAATAAGGCACTTATCCGATTAGGTATTCTACATTAATAAATTTACTTCTTGTTTTCAAACTAAAGTGTCTTACCGTTTAGTACCAACAGCATCGATTTCGTCAATAAATACGATTGAAGGAGCGTGTTCCTCAGCTACTCTGAACAACTCACGTACCAGTTTGGGGCCATCACCCTGTGAAGTAAATTTTATTAAAATGTGCAAAACTTCAATAATTTTAATATTTGTGTCTATACTCTAGACAAATATGACTTAATAATAAAACATGGCATAGGAAAAGAACATTTTTTGTCATTGTACATTGTTTAGGCCAGCCCTGCCCACATAATTGGAATTGAAATAGGTAAAAAGGTAATTGAGTTATGTAGAAGTCATACTTACTTGACTAATTATTATAATGTTTGCAATGTACCGATTGACATATATAACATACATAATATTAAAAATCATTAAGTTTTTAACAATGTAGATATGTAGATATGTACATGGATATGGACTTAAATATGCTTTTCATATGTCAACATCTATTTGAAGCTCTACAATCAGTGGTATGTCATTAATTGGCTTCAATCTCCAATGCAGCTGGGTGAGGCCTGTCATATTTCAAAAGCTACTTCAGTTAAACACTATTTCTAACATTTTCCATTTCACTGGCTACTGGGTAAGTTATTATTTTTAAAATAGACATTCTGTTTTTTAAAACAATTTGATGGAACATTCACAATAAAACAAGCAACCAAAAAAGCCCACATAACAAGCTGAGCACGGAGCGGCGCTGTTTCTTTATGTTATTTTAACATCATCATATATTATACTACAAACAACTTACTAAGTACTTCTGAATGAGTTCCGAACCCACAACGCGAAGAAAAGTAGCCGATGTCTGATTGGCGACAGCCTTGGCCAGCAAGGTTTTGCCAGTGCCGGGTGGGCCATACAGGATTACTCCTTTGGGAGGCTTGATGCCCATCTCTTCGTAGTACTCTGGGTGAGTCAGAGGTAGCTCTACTGATTCCTGAAGTTCAATTTTCAAATTGTCAACAATTTTTATAATTACAAGTGCACCAATTTCCAATTATCGTTCTTCGTTTTCTTATGTCATATGAACAATGACACTAAAACCTTCCCATAAACATAAGAAAACAATAAAATAAAATTGTTAATTCGCCCATTCCACTTTCCGAATTTCAATAGCACTTTTTGAGTGATTTTTGTAAAACCCTTTTTTCTTTTGGTTTTAAGGTCTTCAACCTACAAATAAGTTCAAGTAATGTCAATAATTAATAATAAAATTATATAATAATAATATTAAATCACAGAAATATTAAATGATAAATACAACAAAAAACGACATTTTAGGTCACATGGATGAAATTGAAGTAACAAATGAGAAAGATGGCACAGTAATGAGAAATCATTATTACAACACACATTTTATCATTCACAAAAGACCATTTAACAACCTTTAACATGTAACAAATATTTTAATATAACTTCTTGTATCTCATCCATGTAAGACCATCTATTTATCTATATGTAATAAATAAATAAATTTAAATAAGTATTTTGTTAATGTCATATAAACTTGTTGTACATCAATATATTGTCATCACCACAATCAACATAATCATCATGATCACCATTATCATCAGCATCATTACCATTCACATCATCATCACAATTATCGTCATCATCACTACAATCATCATCACCACCATCATACCATCATCAACATAGTCACCATCATCATCACCACCACCATCATCATCATCATCACCATTATTATCGTCACCACCGTCATCACCACCATTAACACCAATTTATTGTTATATTTAAAGTACATGTTTGACTTAAAAGTAACTATTTGACTTAAAAGTAGACAAGAATGAGGGCGACAAGAATGATATTTTGATACATTTCTAGTTGTCAAGGTCGTAAAATATGCTGGACCATTATGAAAGTGCCTGGATTTTAAAGTTCCCTTTGTCTAATTGATTTATGTACAATAAAGTTTATAAGACTATTACTTTATATTTATTTAGATAGGTTGCTTTACATGAATGAGAACGATTTAGTCACTAGCACTGAAATTGGTATTTAAGTAGATTTTTTGCTAAAACAGAGATGCACAGGTTACTTCACAGTGTACACTCCAATTCTACAGAAGCCCCTTCTCGCATGTGCGAAGGGAGAAGGTGATGCGGATATATGAACTTTTGTTATTAGGAGGCTTTTAGTTGAATTGACACTAATGATAAGAAAAATTGAAACACATTTTGTACTCCCAAGAAAACAATTGTTTATAATAAATTGGAAAATTACAGTATGTATTTAACGAAAAAGTTATTAGAGTTTATCCTCAATGCGAAATATTGCAATTTCCACGAGTGTTTAATTTTTTTCTTCTTTTCTAAAATTAGGGCGACGTGGAACCAGCTCCCATGAATGAGAAATTACCCACTTTATAAATTTTCATTTATTACCGTGATGTAGTAAAGTAGTCTTTTTATGTGTAACACAGAGTAAGTAAGCAAGCAATCATATTAAATAAATAATGCTTAGCAATCATGTGATAACATAAAAAATTTTTGGAAGGGACACATTTTTTGAGGTTACCTATCTGAAAATGACCCAGAATAAAGAATGGAACAGGAAATGCTTTATTTGAAATTCAAAACCCTGTAGTTTACCTTAATCTCCTGAATCTGGGTATCAAGCCCTCCAATATCAGCATAGGTCTCCTGGGGAGCCTTCTCCAGCTTCATAACTGATACCATAGGATCTGTGTCATCACCCAGCACACCCACAACAGCATGCACCTAAATTAAGATATTAATAAAAATAGTAGACTTATTTAGCAAGGCATTATTAAGAAATGAATTATTTGGATGAAAATTATTTAGAAATTGAATAAATTAAATAATAATGAATTATAAAAGGTAAAATAAATCTAAAAAATGAGAGATACAAAAAAGTGCTGGGCTGAAGGTTTTTGCTTTTTGTTACATCCTGATGTTTATTTATCCATTTGTTCCAAAAAACAATAATAACATTTCAAAATAAGAGAAATAAATTTTACCTTATGATTAAGCAGCACAGAACATCCTGGTTCTAACTGATCCTTGTCCACAAATGAAAGGATACTGACATAGTGCTCACTACCAACTGATGTGGAGACAATTGCATGGTTGTCATCTATGATTTCTTCTAAGTTGCCCACAGACATTGGTGTGCCTCTCAGGTCATCAACCTGGTGAAAAAAAATGTATGACTTGAAATGTCCAATATAATAGAAGGATCTTTGTGACTCAGCCTTTAGACACTACAGGTGCATGAAGAGACCCTGGCTAGATTCACATTTAAACCAATGCAACAAACTTTCTTTACCAAATTTATTCCCAATCTGGGTATTGTTGGAGTCTGATATTTAAAGTAAATTCTCTACATCTAGTTGAGCCATGGTTAAAATGATCATATGTCCTGTTTTTTAAGCTTCATGTCCAGCTGTTCCTAAAATACTGACAAGTCCCACTTTAACAAAATAGGACACACAATAATAAATAAAAAAATGGTGCGAAAGTGTAGCAGCAAGTCAGCCTTGTCACCCACATCTTTTAGTTGTGCGTCTGTACTACGTGTGAATTGTTCTAGGCGGGAATGTATTGGTGGCGTGATGTGCTGGGCTGCCAAAGAACAGATTTAAAAAGTAAACCTGACATATTAAAGCAAATTTGCTCATCTGAAAAATATATAAATTAATTCCTTTTTTATTAATTTTTGACTTTCAAACATTTTCAGTTCTTTTTAAATCATTTCATTCAAAGTAACTATCATAAACATGCAACAGACTGTGTTTTAATTTTAAAACAATAATAAATTTACAGGTATCCCACTTTTAGGGAAAAAAATAATGGTGACATTATTTATGGGTAAGAGTTGATCTTTATGATAAATGGTATATGACTTGATTAGAGTATTTCAACAGTTACATGCAAAAATAAATAAATACACAAAGAAAGTGATTGATTAGCATGCAAAGAAATCTAATGATAAATCAAAAAAGTGTAACGAGAACCACTTACAATATTATTATAAAGATTAAAAAGGATAAATCAACAAAGAATAAGTTGCTTATAATTTACCTTAGACCTTTCTTCCTCAATCTTCTCTTCCTGGGGCTTTAGTCTTTCCTGATTGCGAATAAATTCTTCTTCCATCAGCAAATAATCCTTGATTCTTTCAAGTTTCAACAGTTTCAATCTACATTTTGTATGAGGTGTCACTTGAGGCAGCTTCAATGCGGCGTCCGGGCCCTTAGCTTTGCGCTTCTTTTTGCCAACTCTCGTGGGGATCGGAGGTTCATACTTCTTCTTCTTATCCTTGTCATCTTTTTTGTCCCCACCGCTTCCTCCACCCGATTGGTTTTGACCCTAAACAAAAAACATGGAAAACAATGAGTTTTATTTTATCCTCAAATACCTAACCACGTAAATAATATCGTATTCAATAATTATAAGATAAAACTCACCATTTTATTTATTTACTGCAGCTATTTTCTTCCAAATTTAAAATAAATTGACTCGAGAAAAACACTACGATTACAAAGCGAAATTCATTTCATGACAGATAAAAAATTATTAAAAAAAAAAAGAACGAATGATTTATCTCGCTAGAGCTTTTCCCTTTCCGTAAAATCCGGTTTTTTATGTGGTATAATATAAGTACGTACATTCTCTTTTGCAACAACAAAACGTTAACTTTGACGTTGTTTGACGTGTCGGTTCATCGTGTACTCCTCATTTGTCTTGTCAACTTTTCTTGAATTTCTTTGGTTTTAGTTAAAAGAAAACGAAACAGAAAGTGTTTTCTAAAGTTTAAACTATAATGTAAAATGTCACAAAAGTTGTTCATGTGTATTTATAATCTTCCTATCTGAATAAGTGCTCCATCGGGTGTTCATAGGAATATAATTTTAATCCGTAATAAGTCTAATTATTCAAGATGGTTTTAGCAGATTTAGGTCGTAAAATAACCACTGCATTACAGTCACTTAGCAGGGCCACTATCATCAATGAAGAGGTACCTAAATAGTTATTTAACATGACGAAATATTCGTTTTCGTGTGGGTTAAATACACTTTGACATGGTCGTTTGCAGGTATTGAACTCTATGCTAAAACAAATATGCGCAGCACTGTTGGAGGCTGATGTAAACATTCGTCTGGTGAAAAACTTGCGCGAGAATGTACGCGCCGTCATTGATTTCGATGAGATGGCTGGAGGGCTCAACAAACGGCGAATGATACAGTCTGCTGTCTTTAAAGAACTTGTAAAGGTTGTACGACCTCCTTTATCTAATATGTCACAGATACAGTCCAATTATTGAAATGCCCAATCACTGTTTGATTACAATTCTGCACATAAATGGCATATGGCTATGGAGTGGTATTCCGGCCTACAGACTTGTTCCTAGTGATGCGCGACTTTGAATGTTACTAATACTAATTATTTGAATGGGCAAATCATTCACCTATGTCGAATCCAAGCACAATCATTTGACTTGAGTTGAATGATTATTTAATGGGAACACCTCATTCATCATGTCCATACCAAAATATACCTGTCCCTGTCACATTTACAGTATTTACCATTATGTCGGAGAGGGCTTGGTGATCATGAGCAGAAATGCTCTATAGAATCTAAATATTAGTACTACTGATTAGTAATGAATGATCATTCAAATCATTTGAATACAAAAATTAGTAGGTTACTAATTTGACACTCTAATGACAGGCCTTGCGATTACTAACAAGTCGAATAATGAAATCATTCACAATTGCGCATCACTACTTGTTCCCTATGCGCTATAACTTGGGCTTTTCAAGGAGAGAGTGAATAGGTATTCTATACGTGTTTATGGTGTTTATCCAAGTAAGAAATAGGTGAAATGTGCACTTATTTCATTTAAAAACATATATGTATTAATTGGTGGTATTTATAGAAAGTAATTTTTAGAAAAGTGTCCTTTTACAATTTTCATATTCCTATTTGATATTTATTATTTTTTAATTGGATACTGAGTTGTGTTCAATGTTTGTGATTGTTTTTGAAACACAATCTATTTTAAAATTTTTGTAACTTGTCATAAACTTAACATGATAAACATTTTGCAAACATCAGTGCTTTTAATATATATAATGTAGATATGTATGTCTTTTTACTTTCTGTATCACAAATGTCACAAACACAAAATTTTATATATGTACAAACCCCTTTTCTAATTTTGTTGTCATACTCTGTTGAGTGATGATCTTCCATTGCTTACATGCTCAAACATTCTCTGTGGTTTACCTTTACAATCCAATTTCCAGTCACTCCAACTATAATAATTTAATTATTTTAGCTTGTAGACCCTGGGGTGAAGCCATACCAACCAATCAAAGGCAAGCCCAACATAATCATGTTCGTAGGGCTCCAGGGTTCTGGTAAGACCACAACCTGCACAAAAATGGCATACCATTATTTGAGGAAGAATTGGAAGTCTTGTCTAGTTTGTGCTGACACCTTCAGGGCTGGTGCCTATGACCAGGTCAAACAGAACTGCACCAAAGCCAGAATACCATTTTATGGAAGGTATGACACAATTTTTACAGATACTAGTAGAATTATGGTCTGTATGACTGGTAGCGAGAGCGACAACTTAATACTCTTATAAAATGTAATGGCGCTAACTAGACGTGCACCAATCGTAAAATCGTCAGCATTTGCGTCTGACTGTAATGGGCGCGAAATCGTAATGGCATATATTTTTCAGGTGTTAAAAAAAGCTCTGAAAAAACCAGCCTGTATTGATTATCAAGTTTTTTATACTTAATTAAATTGAAGTAGGTAGGTAATGTATATGATTTTGACAGTCCAAAAGGTCTGCATTGATGCGCCATCTAGCGAGATAAATAGTCAATGTACGTCCTCATTTCAATCTAACATAAATAGGATGTACAACATAAACCGGAATGTAATATTTTAATTGCATGGAATTATTGTAAAGTAAATAAGTAACAAAGAAGCTGGTACATCACTAAAATAAAATAAATTTTCGCTACGCCGATTGTACGCCTTCGTCGGAGACGGCGGCGTGGACATGTTGTCGGCAGCGTGATCTTATGTCTAGTTTCATCTTTAACATTTCAGTTACACAGAAGTGGATCCAGTGGTGATAGCAAGCACTGGTGTGGAGATGTTTAAGAAGGAAGGCTTTGAGATCATCATAGTGGACACCAGTGGTCGCCACAAGCAAGAAGAGTCCTTGTTCGAGGAGATGTTAGCTGTTTCCAATGCCATAGTAAGTTAATTACAGGTCAGATAATATGTCTTAAGGTACTACTAATGTTTTGAGCACCCCTGGTTTCTATGATATTGAATCAAAGCATGGCGGCGCTGTTGTCTATGGTCGCTCGTAAAAAATTCGTGGTGTTGCTTATAGTTAGCAGCTGCAGTCGACAGTTTGCAATGTGCAGTGATGCTTAAAATAGTATCTGGAAACACATCTCATAGGGATAACAATGCCCCAACTATACTGCCACATTTTGGCTAAATTGAGCCAATATGTGTTCCACCACACATTAACATTAGAGTTTATAAAATTTATTATAAACTTAATTTGTTTTAGAAACCAGATAACATAATTTTCGTGATGGATGCCACAATAGGTCAAGCTTGCGAGGCTCAAGCTAAAGCTTTCAAAGAGAAGGTGGACATTGGATCCGTTATTATCACAAAGTTAGACGGACATGCCAAGGGTGGTGGTGCACTTTCTGCGTAAGTACGACATATTATATTGTCATATACATTATATATTATGATGTAGAATAATGGACGGATATTTTTATCAGTTATAAAAAAACCGACCTCAAAAGTTCGTGGAATTCGTGAAAATAGATGTACTATTTGTCAAGTTTTATTGAAATCATGCGCGAAACCGGATTCATCCCCTGGTTTGGCACCCTTAAGAGGTGGAATATTTATCGAGTTCTTAGGTTTTCGCGATTGTTACACATAGGAAATGAAACTATTTTTCCGGATTTAATGGTATATTTGTATAGTATAATATTTTCTTCAAATTGAAATGGGATTAATACCGAGGTACCCTCTTTCCAACAAAATCAGTTCACGTGGCGTGTTTTTGAATAAATGAACAAAAATACAAATATAAATTTTGTACTTGTATTTCAATTGCTGCATAAAAATGTATTTTATAATTGGTATTTCAAATATCTCACTGTAATATATTTTGTTACATGTTTGTTACCAATTGATATTTCAAATACTTTCACAGTGGTGGTGTCCTGTTTGTGGTATTTGTATTTTAAATAAATGAGGTCAAGATACCGTACTTTACTTTTTCACTACTCATGAAAGTATTTCGTATTATATACATGTAAGAAACACAATATAAAACATAAATTACCGAATAAGTATTTTGTAATTTATATTTTAATTAATAAGTAAGCAAGTAAGTAAGTAAATTCTTTATTTCCTCCACAAATTTGTAACAATTTAAATGAAATAATAGTAGAGTATATAGGAAAATTTGTAGAGGCTGGAGCCTAAACTAGTATACCCTGTGTTTTAGGTCACCGGGCCTCCGCCTCCTGAGTTTCTGATCAATAAATCAATAAGTCTGTAGAAACAAATTATATAATAAAAAGACAAATAAAAAAAAGGAATAATAAGAAGACAAAATAAAAATATGTGAGAGTGTATGTTATGTGCGAGTGCGTGAGATGTGTGAGTGAGTGCGTGTGATGTGTATGTGAGTGCGTGTGATGTGTATGTGAATGCGTGTGATGTGTATGTGAGTGCGTGTGAAGTGCATGTGAGTGCGTGTGATGTATGTGTGTGTGCGTGCAATGTGTGTGTGTGCATTAGATGAGCGCGGGCTTGTGTACGTGTGAGTGTGTACATTTTTGCGTGAGTGTGCGACCTGTGTAAGTTTAGACAATGAACTTTTCGAGCGAGTGAGCGTGTTTGGATGTTTGAGAAAAAGTATGCGAGGTCAAACTTTAATTGCTACACTAATACGTATGAAACTAAGGATTAGATATTTAACGGACCATCGAAAAAATATCAGTGAAAATAAAAAGACAGCATACACTGAGTATATTTTGGCACCAGAGATAGCCCTATGTTCAAAATAACATGGCAAGACTGCCATCCACTATTCTGGTACCTACCTAATATGTAATTCAAACTAAGAAATTATAACTAATAGATTCTCGGTAGTCTCAGTTTTTTACAATTATATGCGTTTAATGGATATATATTATTCATTGCATTGCACTTGTTGGATGGATATATATTATTCATTGCATTGCACCCCAGCACCCCAGCCTCACCAGAAACACTTTAGAAAGCTCTATAAAACTTAGCCACAAATCAGGCAAAAAGAACGAGCCCACCTGTAACTATATTTTTGAAGTCACAGCTCCCATTCGGAGGACACTAATAGAACAGCAGCGTGTCTTTATTAATTGGACCTCCTGCCCGGTAAGAGACTACACAATAGTAACTAGGTGCTATAAATGCCAGCAGTACGGACACTCCGCAAAGTTCTGCCGGGATACTGAGTCCACGTGCGGCCACTGCGGTTGCACAGGCCACTCGATCAAGGAGTGTTCTAAGCACGCGGAGCCCGCGAAGTGCGCCACCTGTATACGCTTCAATAAACCCGCCAACCACAAAACAGGAGACGAGCAGTGTCCAGCTAGGAAAAGCGCAGTAACCAGGCACATAGGTACTATTGATTATGAGGGCGCCTAGAGCGCCGCCCTCCTATCCTAATACAGCTTATATATGGGCACTAATGTTAACGATTTAGCACAGGACATTGATGCGACGTGTGAATTTCAATCCATATCATGCGACCCAGATAAGTGCCCCACGTTTATTTCTAAGTCTGCTTATAATTTAAAAATAGTTTTACAGAATATTAGAAGCATTAGATGTAATTTTGACGGTCTTTTAACGTTGTTAAATCCAACTAATTTTCAACCTGACATCTTTGTTTTAACAGAGTGTTGGTTACTCAATACACCATCGACTCCTCATCTGGACGGTTATAATTCATATTTCAGTAACAAAAGCAATTTTTTACAAAACGACGGCGTAGCGCTCTACATAAAAAATGACCTTCCAAACGTCATAGTTGAGGAGCCTATAATTCTGGACGCTAACTGTTTGATCGGAAAAATTGGGGATGATATTGCTGTTGTAGCGATTTACCGCTCTCCCTCGTACAAAAACATAAGAAATTTTTTACTCTCTCTATGTGACATTTTGACAACACTTTCCTCATTCCGAAATGTATTCGTTCTTGGCGACTTAAATATTGATATTAAGATAGACAATGAAGATAGCAACTCAGCGGAATTCTTGAACCAAACAGCTTCCCTTGGTTACCTCCCTACCCATCTTCATCCAACGAGAGATCGTAACTGCATAGATCATATCTTAGCCAAAACCATTCTTGCCGTAAAAACAATAATTTTAAAAACTACTGTAACTGATCACTATACTTTACTACTCTGCCTACAAAAGAGCTTCAATAGACATAATTTTATCAGTACACATACAGTATTAAATAATGAAGGTGTGTCTCGCGACCTTGCAAGTTTAGATGTGTCCCCAATTTACAACTCAGCCGATGCAAACGTAGCAATGGAATATTTGGTCCGTTCGCTAACTAAAATAATTGAAATGAATACAACGACCAAAATATTTACGCGACGCAATAAAATAATTAAACCTTGGATTACCCCAGGCTTGCTGCGCTGCATTAGAAATCGAGATAAACTTCACAAAAAATTTGTAAAGTTCCCGAATAATCCAATAATTAAAACTACTTATTATAGATACAGAAATTTCTGTAACAATTTATTAAAAAAATTGAAACGTAATTATGAAAAGACTCAAATATTAAATGCTGGTCACGATAAAAAACGATTATGGAAGGTCATCAAAAATATCACGAACATGACTAACTCAAAATCGTCTGCCCTGCAACTCATTGCTAACTCTGTCAATGCAGAGCAAACTGTTAACGCAGCAAATTCTTTCTTCGCTAATATAGGGAAACATTTAGCTGAAAAGGCGCTAATCAGCGCTCCACTTTCGACGTCGACCATGACCTCGTCACACGCCACACAATTACATTCACTCGCCTTAGTAGAAACGGACGAAATTGAACTTGAAAATATTATTATGACTTTAAGAAATGACTGTGCAACTGGAATTGACAGAATTCCCTGCTCTTTCATTAAACAATATAAGGATTGTTTGATTCCACACCTCACCTACATTTTCAACCTCTGTTTATCAACAGGAATATTTCCCAAAGTTCTGAAATTAGCCCTTGTGAAACCTATTCACAAAAGTGGTGATAAGTGCAATGTTAACAATTATCGCCCAATTGCTATATTGCCATCTCTTTCTAAAATACTTGAAAGAATAATTCACAAAAGGCTTGTACATTACTTAGAAAATAAGAAACTCCTATCGATCTCCCAATTCGGGTTTAGACCAGGACTATCAACTAACGACGCAGTTGACGAACTGACTGATTACATTGTAAGGAATCTAGACTCTAAGAATAAGTGTTTGGCTATTTTTCTAGACCTGGCAAAAGCTTTTGATACCGTAAACATCCCAATTCTCTTAAACAAGTTAGAAGCACTGGGAATTAGAGGAATTCAACACAAACTTTTACAGGACTACCTTTCTGACAGAAAACAGCGTGTGACGATTGACAAAATTACGAGTGATGAATTGCCTATTGAATACGGTGTTCCCCAAGGAAGCATATTAGGATCGATCCTATTTCTTGTATATATTAACCAACTATGCACTCTTCCCCTCTCTAGCGGTAAGATCATATCCTACGCCGATGATACAGTCCTACTTTTCAGTGCCTCAAGTTGGAATGACGTATTCACACAAGCCCAATTTGGTTTTAACTCGGTAACCGAGTGGCTCAGAGTAAATGCACTTACACTTAATACTGACAAAACCAAATATATGACATTCTCATACAACATCCTCTCTCAACCTGTCGAGAATACTTTCTCAATAGTAGCTCATCATTGTTCCAGTCCAAGGACTCAAGTTTGCGGCAGTGGTTGTCCAAACTTGGACAGCACAGTCAATATTAAATATTTAGGTGTCATAATCGATCAACATCTCAATTTCAAACAGCATGTTGTAGCGCTTACTGCTAGAGTTCGAAAATTAATATATGTTTTTAAAAATTTAAGACATGCGGCTAGCGGTGAATTACTCAAATCAGTATACTTGGCCCTCTGTCAATCACTGCTACTTTACTGCATTACTTCATGGGGCGGCGCACATAAAACAACTCTGTTAAACCTAGAAAAGGCGCAGAGAGCTATTCTCAAAGTCAGCAACTTCCGTCCTTTCTTCTACCCTACCCACAAACTCCTAGCCGAGTGCGATGTCCTTTCTGTGCGGCAGCTGTTTATCTTGCAAATAATTTTGAAAAAACACTCAATCACTCCATTTGAGTCTAAGTCCTCATCCTGTGAAAGACGACTCAATACCTTCTCTTCTCGTGAACAACTTCGCACATCACACTCTCATAGATTCTTCTGCTTCCTTGGTACATTACTTTACTACAAATTAAATTCAACATTGCATTTTCATGCCTTGAATAAGATGGGATGTAAAAAGACCGTCAAACGCTGGCTTAAAAATAAAAACTATGATGAAACAGAAGGTTTACTAGAAGTTATTTCATAATTATATTGTATAAGCTAATTGTTTTATTCTTAATTAAATATACCTATTTTGTTTTTAAGCTCTAATATAATGATACTGTGCACAAACAAGATGCTTAAGATACAGGTAATAATGTACTTAGTTTAGGCATCGCAACTATACTGGTAGGCTTCTAATAATTAATTGTATAGCTTTATGATTAGTATAATAATTAAGGTTTATTTTTTATTTATTTTTTACCAATTGCATATTAGCTTCCCTTACATTTGTTTTTTTTTTACTTATATTTAGATTAAGTTATATTGAAATAAATTTATCTTTATCTTATCTTTATCTTACTTGTTGTATAGATACGAACTAAGAAAATCAAAAAGTCTTTTGGCAAATGATGTTTTATATATTTTACTTGTACAGACAAGATCATGTGTTCTCTTAATTTGTGAAACAGTGGGATCGTACGTCAAAAGAGAGTTTTTTTAAGTATAGTATTAGCGATGAATAACTGGCGTACTGATAGAACCTTACATTCTTCATAGAGTTTAGACGTCAGGAATAATAAGGGCCGAAAAGCTGAGACCTTTAAAATCGTAATTTTTAGAATTTTTTGATCTGCAATATATCTAAGGGTTTTAAAAATAAATACTAACTTTGTAGTATGAGCTGAAAGCAGCTTAATATATGTTTTAAAGTTAAGGTCTGGGTCGAGGTTTATACCGAGGTAGTTAATACTTGAAACATTTTCAAGCCTAGGACATGGGCAGATCAAAATAGGGTCAAGTTTACATCTGTGGGCAGTTAAGCTAAGGTTATGATGATTACGAATAGAAAAAAGAATATATTGAGTTTTGTCAGATTAAGACTTTTATTTAGACATTTAAGACAGCATTATACATATTATGCTCAATACTGTTGACAAATGCTTGTTTTATTTGAAACATCATTAGAATAAAATTATTCTTCTATTTGGTTTTCAGTGTAGCTGCGACTCAGAGTCCCATCATATTTATAGGTACAGGAGAGCACATTGATGATTTGGAGCCATTCAAAACCAAGCCATTCATTAACAAACTGTTGGGTATGGGTGATATAGAGGGACTTTTAGACAAGGTCAATGAACTTAAACTAGATGACAATGATGAATTAATAGAAAAACTTAAACATGGACAGTTCACCCTCCGGGCTATGTATGAACAGTTCCAAAATATCATGAAAATGGGACCTTTTTCACAGATTATGGTAAGTACATAAACAATTCTTGTTTTGGTGTGTAATACTGAAGCCACATGGGACCTGTCAACTTAAGTCTCAGGGTGACAGGTGCAGTGGCTGTGCCCCTAAGATCTTTACGATTTAAGCTCTGAGTGACACTGCAACTGTTATGGACAGGCGTGTCGCTTACCACCAGGCGCACGGCTTGTTCCTCTCGTCACTTGGTATTATATAAAAAAAAACTGATAAGCATTTTATTTAATTACTGTCGCGTGTTTATTTACAGGGTATGATCCCAGGATTTTCTCAAGACCTAATGTCAAAAGGTAGTGAACAAGAATCAATGGCGAAATTGAAGCGACTTATGACTATAATGGACTCTATGAATGAAGGTGAACTTGACCATCGTGACGGCGCCAAATTATTTTCCAAACAGCCTACCCGCATCACGAGAGTCGCGAATGGCGCCGGTGTTACTGAAAGAGATGTGAAAGATTTAATTGCGCAATATACTAAATTCGCTGCTGTAGTAAAGAAAATGGGTGGAATTAAGGGCCTTTTTAAAGGTGGCGATATCGCAAAGAATGTCAATCAGAATCAAATGGCAAAACTCAACCAACAAATGGCTAAGATGATGGACCCACGTATTCTTCAACAAATGGGCGGAATGTCTGGACTTAATAACATGATGCGTCAGCTGCAACAGGGCTCCAGCGGAATGAACAGTTTAATGGGAGGCAAATGACAATAGGTTTTGTACATGAGCCACTGATACAACCTCTGTAATATATTATACAGTGCTTCTATTTTCTCAATGTCCTTCGGCAAACTTCGTGTTTCGTCTGTCGTCGGGTTTTATGCAGTTGCCCTTTGGCTTTGGTACAGACTGGACGCTTTCAGTCGACTTGGAAGTATATAGAGTTGCTATTACATTTTTTATACATGTTATACAATGGGAGGAAAGCTGCTAAAGTTACAGGCACGACAGATATGTTACAGCAAGTAATTGTAGTTTTTGCAAGTAGCCGATACGTTCAAGAAATACAACATTGATTATTGTCAAACAGTCCAAAAATGTGTTTCTGTAGCTTGTGGAAATTTGAACCGGTACATGGACAATTTTATAATAAATACCTGTTCGAGTCTGTGTTTATTCCATCGATGGCGAACATACTAACATAGCTATGTCAGATGAAGAAATGCGTTCAGATACGAACTAAATTGAAATTATTACCAACTAGAAAAATATTCATTTTTAGTTATATAAAAGAAGCACGCTATATTTACTTTATATTTTTGTTAACTTGCTTCTTGATATTGAGTAAATGTTACTAAAAATAGGGAAATAGTGTTACAGCTCTATATAGTTCACACGGAAATCAAAACAAAACAACAATAGAAGTAGATACGTCATCAAAATACATTAAAATCCATAATAATTTGATTATTATTGATTTTAAATCCATTAATGAATGAGCAGAAATTAATATTCGTGTGCATTGGGAAATCCGATGATTGCCGAGAGACGTTGAGAAAATAGACTATACTCCATTAATCAATAAAGATTGGATTTGAACAGTGTTTTTTATTTCATAGGTAACATCATTAAAATAATTCAACTAAAGATAATCTTGCTATTTTGGATCCTAAGGTCCCGATAGTGAGCAAGTAACAAACCAAAGTGATAATATATTTGTCTATTGGGATTACATGTTGCGATTAATTATGGCTATGGTTGGTCATATCAGCACATCTTTACACAAGGTCACGATTGCCCTTCAAAACTAGTGATTGTAGACCAACCGATGACTAAAAATCAAACCAATATGACAACTGAGTTTACTCCGAAGAAATGAAGTATCGTAAATCCTAAGGACTAACCGAGTAATTCTGATCACTAGATGGCGCTGTTAACGAATTTCCTTTATTTTTTTCCATCTTTGGTTTCCATAATGTAAGATGGAAATCCATCCCCTATGAGTAAAATGTCTATGATGGGTAATTTTCAAAAAAAAACTACAAATAAACTAAAGGCTCTTACTATATTAACAGAAGCACGAAGAGAAAGTTTTTTTTCTTATTGCTCTTGGCTTTTCGCGGTAAGCGTTTCAGCCACTTACAAAGCAATTTTGACTAGGTAACTCATAGATTTAGTACAAAACTAAATATATGGACTAACTTGTTTTTAAAACGGGGAACTTTTTATAATAAATATCATGGAATGTAATTTGGAAACGGGATTTGAAAGTCGGAGAAAAAGTGAAAAAGGGATCAGGCGAGGAATTATGAGATATAAATTTCTTTTTGTCAATATATGGTGCCACTGAAAACCAGCGTAATGAGGCGTTCTTCAACGTCTCATTACACAAAGCTGAGTGGTGACCGTTTTGGTAACATATAATGTATAATTGTGTTTGTTTTGTATTATTTATTGTAAAATGTTGCCAAATAAATTATTTTTCTTTCTTTCTTTCTATAAATAAAGATGGTATAGATATAGAATAAATATTATATTATTAATGTATTACAGAAATTAAATTTTTATATTATTTTCTAAAATAAATTTAGATAAATAAGTACCTATATTATAGAAGAGTTATTGGACAACAACAAATGATGGATGGAAGTCTTTCACTTCACTTTTTATTTTTGTGGCTCCATCAATATGAGAACTGATGATTTTGCCAATGTCACAGTTGAAAGAAAAAAAAAGAAACAAAAAAAAAAATTTTCGCTAAGCTCTAAGGGTCATATTCTAGAACTCTACTCAATGCTCAAGTCGGGATTGCAATTGAAACACAAGCACTGGAAATACGACCTTAATGGCAGGGGCTTGAGTATGATTTCGAGTGCTTTAAACCATACTCAAATCCTGACTTGAGCATTGAGTAGAGTTCTAGAATACGACCCTAAGGGTCGTATTCTAGAACTCTACTCAATGCTTAAGTCAGAACTTGAGTATGATTCAAAGTACTAGAAATCATACTCAAGTCCCTGCCATTAGGGTCGTATTTCCAGTGCTTGTGTTGCCAGTGCAATCCTGACTTGAGCATTGAATAGAGTTCTAGAATACGACCCTAAGAGGACATTAACCGGTGTTGGTAAGTTGGACTACGGGAGTACTCAGTTGAGAATGTAAAACAAAACATCAAAACAACATTTATAAATATATGTTATTTAAGTGGATAAATTTACATAGAGTAACAATATGGGGGGAGAACACAAAAATGGAAGTCCTTAAAGATGGAGTTTACTCGTATTTACGTTTGTCGGGCTTGTCAGTTTCGTAAAATTTTCAGTAGTCATGTAGTTGTTGTTAACAATTTTATCGATAGTTTGTGAAAGTAGGAAAAATTTGCCGAAAATATCTGAATTGTGAATGTTACGACGTTTTAATGATGACTAATTACGTTATTGTATTCTTTATTTTTAATTTGACTGTTGGCCTTAATATATATAGATACTAATGGAATGTATGTGTGTAGTCATACACATTTAATACCTAACGACAGGCGGATTTGATTATGTATATTAATTTCAAATGAAACGTTTTTAAAATATATCTCCTGTTTGTATTTTTTATAAACATACTGCTTAACTTAGTGTATGTATGTATGAATTTTCAAAAATTTGCAATTCTAATGAACCTGTGTCCACTAGTTGGACGAATAATTGGCTGATGATGATTCAATTTTTTTTATTTACGATCAATCAATTACATAGGTTCAAAACCATAGATTTAGTATATAGGTACCTATATACTAAATCAATCTATGTACAAAACAAACAATATTACAACGTTTAAAAAGTAACGAGTTTGGTTATTTATTTCATAAGCGAAACCAATATTCAGTCGATATATTATTCATCTACTGCAATCACTAGTTGCTTGCAAGCGGCAGCACTTAGGGATAACGATACCACTGAAGTATCGATACTTTTAGTATCGGTCGTAAAGTATCGATACTTACTTTTATCGATGGTTTTTGGTAGAATAAAATAAATGAAAACAATAACAAATATTGATATTCTTTATTGATATGAAAATATTTCTTAAAAATAATTCTACGAAAAAAGTCCGTTTTTGTAATGCTTCCCAAAAATATTATTTTTTCTAAATGTTTGCCTGTTAGACGATTTCTGGATGCAGTGACTGTTGCACCCGCTTTGGAAAACGGCCTTTCGCAGGATACAGCAGAGGTACCGACAATGTTTAGATATATTCGCACTTGTTTATTAATGCTGGGAATACGAGTTTTAAATCTTCCCATTCCTCTAATGGGTTGGCTTTTAATGCGCAAACTGGATTAGCCAAATAAAAAAAAAAAAAAAAAAATTGAAAAGTCGCCGCTTTGACCAACTGCAAGTTTTTTGTGTATGACGAAAAATCGAAATCTTCGTTGGAGGTTTCTTCTTCAGATCCACTGGTTGACATTGTGATATCTTCCTTAATAATGTTTTTTAATTTTTGTATCGCTTTACCACATGCATTTGCATCTTGGAAATGGAGGTTTTGAAACGTGGGTCTATTGTTCCCAACGCTGTGTGTTAAATTCAATGAGACCAAATTTTTTTTTACATTCAGCCAGTAGTTTTGTTTGCAACAGAGTGAGACATTCTATTGATGATGAAAATTTCGTTAGATGTGAGGCGAGACAATTGATCATGGGTATGATTTTGGGTAAGGTAACGTAAGTCTGGCCAGAAGATTCTGGCCTGAGAGATAGGACTACCTATTTCAATTTTCATTTTCCTGTCCAGTTATCAATTCAGGACTATTTGTAGAATCGAGTAAAAATTGCGAAGCAATTTTCGACATAGCTAGAAATCGTCTTGACATCAAGAATAAATTTTTTAGTACATACATCCCTCAGAAACTCCACTATCAATCTTTAATTAGGACTACGATCGATGCGTTCAAATATTTAACATAAAAAAATTATCAGCATAGATGGCTATGAGCATATTATCTATCCATCAATGTATTCAAATGAAATCGTGACGTGACATTGCCATGCCGATACGATCATACGATACGAGTACTTTTGACCAATACGTAGTTAATACTTGATTTTAAAGTATCGATACAAAAAGTACATGGTATCGGAAGGAATGTATCGAGTAAGTACTTGTATTTACTCGTATCGTTCATCCCTAGCAACACTTTTACGCAATGAACTGTCATTCAAAGAGAATTTATGCACTACGTTTACTGTCATTTTGCTCCATCTTCAAAAAAACCTGTACTTACTATTTGTTTTTTCGTCACAATACCACCTGTTTCGTTGAGTTCGCAAGCCGTTTATTAAATTGTGATCAAAGATTAATTTGTTGAGTTTTGTGTAAGTTATGACCATCGGATTTACAAGAGTAATAAAGCTGAGTAGAAGTATTCATCCGAAGGTAAATATTAAAAGATAACCTCGTATTATTATTGAAATGTTGACAATCAATTGAGCTATGTTAATATAAATTGCACTTCAGGTTTATTACAGTAATACTGTCCCTAGCCATCGTAGACTTCGATCAAGGATGGACGAGAAAGTAAAATGCCGCGAGAACCCTGTTTTATTTAAACTAGATTCCATTGTATTCAAGAATATTATATCTCCCGAAGTTAAAGACTTAAAGAAACTCTTTGATAAGTATAATTACGAGATTAGAATCGCTGGAGGAGCTGTGAGGTACGTGAGTGTAAAACTTATGCTATAAGTATTTATGTACAGGCTGCAACAAATACATACACAATTCATTAGAAACAGATTGTTACCTGCCCTCTTTACATATAATCTACTACTATCATATCTAACATTATCGACATTTTTACCAAAACTGATTTATTATCATGTCTGGAATCAGTGAAATGAGATCTTTAACGCCTTTTAATTGATTTTGTATATCTTATTTAGTTTGTTTTATTGTTAAACAAAATCAGCATTCGTCACATTTTTCCAAGGAAAAAGTTAGGTACCGATATCTCGGAAGTTACCAAAATGCAAATTCGCTAGCTAATATGGAGGACAGTATTGCTCAATGTTTTACATACATATATCATTCTAATTTCAGAGATTTACTCATGGGCGAAGAACCTAAAGATCTTGATTTTGCCACACCAGCAACACCACAGCAAATGAAAGAAATGTTTACAGCTGAAAATGTTCGAATGATTAATATGACTGGAGAGAAACATGGCACAATCACACCAAGGATAAATGATAAAGAAAATTTCGAAGTCACCACCCTTAGAGTAGACGTAATCACTGATGGAAGACATGCAGAAGTTGAATTTACTACAGATTGGAAGTTAGATGCTAGTAGAAGAGATTTGACTATAAATTCTATGTTTTTAGGTGACTATGACAATTAATTAACTTTCCTATTGATTATTTGAATAATACTTTGCAGGTGAATGCAATTTTTCTTAGATAATTTTTTATGATTGGTACCAATACAGAATCATAAAATTTAATACTTTCTTTTTTCTCATTGATGCTGAAAAGTAGCTACTATCGCCCCACTATAAAGCACCACTGCTGTTCCAGAATGGAGAGACAACACAATCACTGGCATAAGATACCTAAAATCTTACCTTAATTTACCAGTATAAAGCTCTTCAGTCAAATTTTTAACAATATTCTTCTTCTATCAGTTCGACCATCTGGCTGTTTGCCATTCGGAATAATGTAAATATTTGCTTACTACTTTTAATTTTATTTTAACCAGGTTTTGATGGAACAATCTATGACTATTTTTTTGGATATGAAGATTTACAGAAAAAAAGAGTAACATTTGTAGGAGACCCAGATGTGAGGATAAAGGAAGATTACCTTAGAATTATGAGGTACTTCCGCTTCTATGGCAGAATAGCTGAGAAACCAGACAATCATGAGGAATCTACATTAAATGTGATGAGGAACAATGCTGAAGGTTTACAGCAGGTATCAGGAGAGAGAATTTGGATGGAACTAAAAAAAATACTTCAAGGAAACTTTGCTGGAAGTTTGTTGAAGATTATGCTAAATGTAGGAGTTGGGAAGTATATTGGTAAATACTTAAAACTATTGTATTTGAGATTAATATTGTGGGAACAAATGTGCTATTACCAAGTATTGTTTTTTAACACAGGGTTGCCTCCTGAACCAAATATTGAAGAATTAGAAAGACTACTGAGAAGAGCTGAGCATCTGAACCTATATCCAATAAGCTTCTTAGTAGCATTGTTGAAGAACATGGACGAAGTTACAATGTTACACAATAGACTCAGGTTTTCTGGATATGATAGAGATATGGCTTATTTTCTGGTGGAACATAGAGGAGATAAAGATTCACCTTTGCGACCAATGTTGTAAGTTTACTACCCTTACATATTTAACTTACCCAGTTTTGTACAATATAAATAATTTATTATCAATATAATATGTTATTATTATATATTATTATTAAACAAAAGTTATGTTTTTTAATTTTTCCAGGCCATATGAAATGCTTGTATTAAACAGTAAAATAAAACAAAAAGATGCAATAGAATATGTCAGAGAAGTTTTAAAGTACAGAGGTGATGAAATGCTCCTAGAAAAATTGAATAAATGGGAAGTACCTAGATTTCCAGTTGGTGGAAAAATACTCAAAGACAAAGGGGTACCCCCAGGAAAAATGTATGGTCCAATAATAAATAAACTAAAGAAAATATGGATAGAGAATGAATATAAAGACACTGCTGATGATTTAGTGAAACATATTCCTAATATTTTAGAAGAAAATCTGACATTAAAGAAGGTTAAATAAATGCATTGTTTTATTTATTCATGCAATAAATAATGTTGTATGTAGAAATTAGACATTTTTAGGTGCTTTATATGGCTCATATCTGCTACATCCATTGTCGTCGTCTTTGTGTTCCATAAAACATCTTTTACAGAACAAGTAGCGACATCCTAGGCAGCGCAATGTCGCGTCTTCATTACATATCTCACAAAACGGCAATTCATCATTAGTTGAAGGAGGTAATTCATCAGGATCTAGTGACGCTTCAGCTTTTATCTAAAAAAACACGAAATTAGTTTTATTACATAGACATAAACTGTAAAGTGATTGGTTTTCCTAGAAATGTCACAGCCTGATCAACCTGACGGTAAATTCGTGCGCCCGTACATTCCATTCTATAGTAAGAAACACAACATTAAAATATGGTGACAGTCAGGATGGCGGTTGTCTGTGGCATCTGGTACTGAGATTTATTACTATTTGCTACCTTCTCTAAATAAATGCTGATTTTGATATATTATGAGAAATTTAAAAAAAGAACTGACCAGCCATTCTGATATCAGGATGGGTGGTGGCCGCTTTGTGAAAAAGGCCAGCATGAAGGAAGCAGATTTTCCAGGAGTAAGGTTACCAATAATTGCTACTTTCACGAATTAAAGGTCTAAGCTTCTCATCTATATTAGTTAAAAAGTATAACTGATTGAAAATTTTAAAGTGCCTAATTAAATTGCAAAAGCAGTTCTTTTTTTGCTTTTTTTTATTCTAATGTAAGTGTGCATTTGACCTCCATCTCACTTGATGGAAAATGACGATGAGGTCGACGATGGAGCATGCACACTTAGATAATGCCTATTCACTCTTGCCTTGAAAAGGTCAAAGTTATAACGTTCAGGGAACAAGTCTGCAGGCAGGGAATTCCACTCCATAGCCGTTTGCCTTGTAAACGTGGAAGCGTAACGCTTCGTGCGAATCTTTGGAATATCCACAACATAGGAGTGGAAGCCAAGCCTACGCCTAGTCCCCCGATGATGCAAAGGGGAAGGCGGAATTAAATCGTGTAATTCCATCGCACACTCTCCGTCATATATCCTGTAACATACCGATAAGCAGGTAACTTTACGGCGGTGTTCAAGGCTCTGCAGCTTCGCCTCTACTAATTCCGAGTCACCTAGCAAAGCGTCAAATCTAATCGTAACCATGTGACTCTCGACAAGACTGGATTTCCTCTCCTCAAGTTTTCAGTGCTTTATCGTCATAATAATATAAAGGGCTGGCGTTCAACAATTACTTCAAGGCGAAACCAGACACTTCTTAAATAGTAAAATTTTCAATCAGTTATATTTTTTAAGTAATGTAGTTAAGAAACTTATACCTTTAATTGGTGATGGTAGCAAATAGGTAGCAATTAATGGTAATACATACTCCTGGAAAATCTGCTCCCTACATGCTGAATGACTCCGTTCACCCACCACCAGCCATCCTGATATTAAAATGGCTGGTCAATTATTTTATTTTTGTCAGAATATATCAAAGGTAGCAATTATTTAGAAAAGGTAGCAAATGGGTAGCAATTCTTGAATATACTCTTGGTGCCAGACGCCACATGCTACTAGCCTTCCCGATGATCACTAAAATATGGTATTTGGTTCAATTAAGGTAACATTATTTGTCAGTTTATGAAATGTTTACTACTCCATAGTAATCATTTACATAATTTAAACAAGAATCACTTTTACCTTATCTACAATTTTTCTCACAGCAGTCTCCTCATCCTCTGATTCACTTTCAGGTCTCTCAGCAGTTTTAGTTAATTCTGAAGTAGCCTCAGAATTTTTTAATTTACCCAGACGTGACTCCATATCTTTCACCAGGTTATCAAACTCATCATTGTATTTTGTGTTCATGTTTGTTTGTTCTATATATTGTTTTAGTAAGTCGTCTGCTTGCTCTTGCTCTGTTCGTTTATCAGGGGCTGGTAATACAGGCTGGAAACAATTTTATACCTCAGTGCATATAAGTTGTCAGCTAAACATCAAAATACAATATAAAACATCAAGGGCTTATTCCTGACATGACTAATCTCTTTTGTTCTATGACTTAAATATGTTGTATAAAAAAAATTTTGTATTAAACTTTAAAATTTTTCATATATTAAATTTACCCAAAACTCTGAAGAAGAAAAGAAATAAATATGTGTACATTATAATTAGTGTAGTGTATACAGGGTGTAACAGAAAGGTGTGGTCATATTTGTAGGTCGGATTCAGTTAATGGTATGAAACTAGTTACAAAGTTATTTTAGTACACACTACGTTATTTATGGAAATTTCGCCATGAACAGTTTCGATCAGCTGATGTCATTTAACGAAAATAAATAGTCGCATCACATATCTATTCTGAGTTAATGTAGTAAAGACTTGAGTATCATAATACAACCAGATTACGTAACTTGAAAAAATTGTGAAATTCAGGCATGTTATTGTAAATGATAAAGTACTTAATGCCATATTCTTATTACTATGTTATAATTTACTAAATTTATTATTATTTTATTCATGTAATATGCGTGTGAACATTTAATGAAAAATAAATATTATCGATTACTTTGCCAAAATACACTACTTCATAATAAAACTATTATTTAAAAGTTAGTACATAATAACGTAATATGGTTTCGTTAACTTCATATCTTCAAACATACAAAATACACAAATTTCCATTTAATATCCATTAATAAAACTAATGTCCTCTAAAAAACACATATTTAAAGTTATCTCTGTTTCTTTTTACCATACGCATTCATCTATTGTATTTTAATGAATGAAATTTGTCTCTTTCTATCCGTCGGTACTGTTCTAACGCATGGCGGCTAGCGAATCAGTCGGTATGTTTCTTCTAACGCATGACGCAATATGACGCAATTATCCGACTAATACTTCGCACCCTTACAATGAAAGCGACCCAAATCAAAAAATTAAAAAATGAGTTTATACCGTAAAACCATCTTAAAAAAATATTTTGTTACATTAGTCACACTGTGGTGAAGATGAAATTGTGCAATTAAAGCTCGAATAGCACTGATTCATAAAGGTTCCTTTCATTTTGTTCTTTCAGTTTAAAAATTCTACTCCCGCGTCGAAATATTAACGCCGCATTTGTTGTTGAATCTGCATTTGCAAAGACAACACGCTGCCACTGACGGATTAGCATTTGAGCCATTTTCGTTCCGAAAATCATATTCAAAAATCACTAGTAGCAGTAGAGCTCCTTGTGAGTTCGTCCAGGGTAGTACTGCCACATTACCGTGTTACAGTTTTGAAGGGTAAGGGTGCTGGTGAAATTACAGGCACATGGGACTTGTCAACTATGTCTCAGAGAGATGGACGCCGTAGCAGTAGCCTTCGAGCGGCAGTGCTACTGTTATGGACAGGCGTGACGCTTTCCACCGGGTACACGACTTGTTCGACCCGTCGCTTAATATTAAAAAAAAAAATATTTTTTTAGTAACTTACTTTTTAAAGGGACTTACTTTTTTGTTTCGTGGACTTTCTTCTTTTTTAATTGTGAAACAGGGACCACAAAACAATATCAAGGGTTATGACATCTTGCTTAGCTGATGAACATTAAAAAGACTTAATTCTTAATACGTTAAATGATAACAAAAAAATCGTTAAAAAAAAGACCTATTGGCGACTAGTTTTTGTAAATTATGTTTTTAAATTGTTGAACTTTAAAATGATCAGAAACAATTTTCAGTTGTAAAGTTCCATTTTTCCTCATTATTTTCAAAGACTAATAAGGCCATCACCTTTAGTACTTCAAGAGTAGGTAATAAATAAAATAATATGAAAATATGAAAAAACTTGAAATCTTATTTTCTTTTTTATTCCCAAAAAGTTGAAATTTTGTATTGGGACACTTTCATCGTAAAGGTGCAACCTGAAGGTCGGTAAACGTCAAGAAATTAGTTTTGATCGTTGACCACGAATTAATTATTGTAATTTTAATTTAATTTAATTTTTTTTTTATGATTGATTTAGTGTCTGTTTAAGTATATCTAAATGTTTTAAAATGAATGTTGAGCACAGTAATAATTGGGCACAGATATGCCTGTTGTATTAATTTTTAAGTGTTTTTATTTTCCTCACTTTCTGTATCTGATGTCTGTACATTGTGCCATAAATAAAAAATAAAAATAAAATAAATTTTCATCACTTGCTTGGAAATGAAAATATCGTGAGAAAACTTGGATTTCGGAGATAATTGCCGAAATCTTCAAAGATGCGAGAATGTCAAGTTTCCAACCAGTACTTACTATGCAAGTGTAATGGACTAAACCTTGTGCAAAAAATAGTACTTTACTAACTTACATACGTCTATTGCTGAGCGCACGTTTCTAACAACAGGCTTACGCTTAATTTGTCTTATCTACACACGACAACTTTCTGTGTATGGGTTTATTACATGGTGAAATTGAAATAATTAATATCCGTTGAACCTATTAAGGTTCTTACTTCCTAATAATATCTACTCATCTAAAGAAATATTTTAGAATAGTTTAAATTAGCAATAGTGTAAAACCATAAAAAATCTTACCTAAATAAACAAAGTATCAAGATTAGTCGCCTTGCGTACGCGATACGTAATCGTAGCGAAGTCGCAAGCCTTTGGCGGCAAAAATATCACCTTTGATTTTCGCCGCCAGCATTTGATTTTATACATCGCGATGTGGAGTAGTGGTTAATGTTAGACTCGTTTCGGAGGTCGTGGATTAGATTCTCATAGTTGACTGGCTCTATGGGGTAGTTGTTAGAGTGTTAGGTTTTCTTTGCGGATGTCGTAGATTTGATTCCCATAGTCGACTGCCTCCATAGTCTAGTGGTTAGAGTGTTAGGCTTTCTTTTCGGAAGTCGTGGATTTGATTCCCATAGTCGACTGCCTCTATGGTGTAGTGGTTAGAGTGTTAGGCTTTCGTTTCGGCGGTTGTGGATTTGATTCCCATAGTCGACTGCCTCCATGGTGTAGTGGTTAGTGTTAGGCTTTGTTTTCGGAGGTTGTGGATTTGATTCCTATAGGTAGTCGACTGCCTCCATGGTGTAGTGGTTAGAGTGTTAGGCTTTCGTTTCGGAGGTCGTGGATTTGATTCCTATAGTCGACTGCCTCCATGGTGTAGTGGTTAGTGTGTTAGGCTTTCGTTTCGGACGTCGTGAGTTTCCGATGGGTGACTGCCTCCTTAGTGCAGTATATCCGTAATCACCCAGTCAGTTCTTGCGTTGTGTGGAAGTGGTACGGGTGATGGTCAGAGCTTGTTTACAAACAAAGGCGTATGCAGTGCAACGTTGAAGGTCGTAGACGTAGGATATAGGTATTCGTTTAATGTGTATGTAATGATGTAATTTGTATCAGGAGAAGGGTCTTATTTTAAAAGGATGGTAATAATTTTAATTTCATCCTGTAGGTACATTATGAAAACGTTACCCTATATTCCAAAATTTGCGTTTCAGTCGGCGTCCTTTGATGTGCCGCCGCTGAGGCAGAGGCGCTATTTTTTAATTTTTTGTAACAGTCTGTAATTGCCGTTTGCGTTGTGAGGACTAAATAGGTGTCATCGTTTTGTTTGTGTCTTGTTTTTGTGTTTATTTAAACTATGTCACGCTTAAGCAATAGTGATTACTAAGAGATGATGTTGTGCGTAGGCGCAGCCGATGGGAGCTTGCGCCAGCCTCGCCAAATTTATTGGGCAAAGTTTATTGATGGCGTCCCAGAAAATCGATGTCGACCATTTCCTACTGTGGAATGCTTCAGGAAGATGGTTATGAGACTTCATAATAGAGGATCGTTCCGTGGTTCCAGTTCTGAAGGCCGGCCGAGTTCACGAGACCCAGAATTCGAGGCCGATGTTTTGGAACATTTTCTCGGCAATCCAAAGACAAGTACTCGTCGTGCTGCGGCAGCCTTTGGTGGTGTGAACCATATGAGTGTGTGGCGTGTGCTACGGGATGATGGCCAGCACCCATACCATTTTCAAAGAACGCAGGAGCTGTTACAAGCGGACTATGATCCACGTTTGGCATTTTGCCGCTGGTACCGCGACCAGGTTGGGAGGTCTCCCGACTTCGCTTCGTCGGTACTGTGGACAGACGAGGCGTCATTTACGCGTGCGGGCATTATCAATATGCATAATGAACATTTTTGGACTCATTTAAATCCCCGCGTATCAAGGGAATCAAATTTTCAACACCAGCGGCGGATTAACGTGTGGGCTGGTATAATAGGTTGTGCCGTCATCGGTCCAGTGTTTTTGCCGGCAAGTCTGAATGGGGCCAATTATTTAAGATTCCTAACAGAAGACTTGGATGACGTTCTGATGGCCCTGCCAGTGACAATACGTGAGACTCGTGATGGAACACAGGATGACTTTCCAGCACTATGGAGCACCCGCACATTTTGCTCGAAATGTATGTTCCCATCTGAACGACCGTTTCCCGCAGTGGATTGGGCGGGGAGGTCCTGTACCCTGGCCAGCGCGGTCCCCAGACTTGACACCGCTCGATTTTTTTTATGGGGTCATATAAAAAATATTGTTTATGCGGAATCCTGTGAAAGCGCAGAAGAACTGAGGCAGCGGATCGAAATGGCGTTTAGTCAAATCACTCGGCAGATGCTTCAAAGAGTAGAGCAGTCTCTGTACCGACACACGGAAATATGCATATTGCATGGAGGTCGGCATTTTGAACCTGACCTGTAAATGTGTGCAATGTGCCAGCAGTGCGTGCAATGATTGTACTTATTATTCAAAATTATCGTAAACAAGTCAATATTTCGTACATTGTACAACAGTGAATTACAATTCGTAGGAAATTCATTAAAACGTGTATGAATTGAACAGTAGGTAAGTACCAATTAAAAAAGTATCCACTATTGTAAAATTGTCGTAAATAAATGTATTAATACTAAATTATGAAGAATGTGTATACGATGAAGGCGTGCGTAACTACGGGTTTAATAAGTAAATAAATATTCTTTAAATTGTATGTAAATAAGTACGTACGCGTACCTAGGTATGGCATAAAATAATATTGTTAGAAATAATTAGATTTTTCTAGGTATTTAAAGATTTTGTTACTTAATATTAACGTATTATCAACATATTCAAATCATGTTTTTACAATGGCATTTCAATTGTAGTCAGCTGTTCTTTCGCCCCGCTTGCGGCCGCCCAGGTTTCATGAATGAATTTGTGAAGTCGTAGTAACGTAACTAGCAATAGAGTTGTGACGCAGTGGTTGTTTCGGACAATCACTATTTATACAAACATAATTAAACTTATATCAACGTTAAAAGTCACTTATTTTTATTTGATATATTGCACAAAGGGTCTAAATCAAGTTTACATTTGGGTCCTTTAATATGACCACACCTTTCTGTTCACCCGGTATATGGAACATGAACAAAGCTTTGTTCATGTTATTTGTTTCAAATAATTTGTTTTTAATATACCTGACTTTGAACTGCACTGACTGGTAAGCCTCTTAATTTAGCCAATCGTTCCTGCAACTCTGCGTCACTGATTTTAGGAATGTCTCCCTTTACTTTCTGCAATCTATTTTGAATTTCTTCGTTTGATGTTCCTGCTGCTGACTTTCTGTTTTCTTTTAATCTCTGGAGTCTGCTTCGAATTTCTTCATCTTTTGAGGTTTGCTCTGATTCACTGGATTTGTTACCTGTTGTATTACTACTCATGTCTGCGATTAGGCCCATTCGTCTATAAAAAAAAAGTAGGGTAGTGTATTTCAAAGAACTGCTTTTTTCACGCCATGATAACATCACAAATGTTAACAGGTGTTGATACAAGTTTCTCCATCTCTGGGTCGAAAGTATCTATGAACTCACAATGGGCAAGAATTCAAAGAAACTTGTCTGGTATTTGGAAAGTAATGGACGAACAGTTTTTCCACTGTTTCTAATTATTGTTGGTAAATATATGAGTACTCTCATCAATGCTTGATCTTCAAATTGTCTCTTGAATCTTGATCAAATTCATGATTGGAATGGAGTAGTATTAAGTAACAAACTGAAATATCCAACTTTTTACTAAAGTTTATCACTTTATTGTTGATATATTGGTTGACAAAATACTGTGTTTACTTTGACAGTACTACTTTCCTTCTCAATCTTATTTCTTCTATAATTAGGGGCAGCTCCCATATCTTTTCTATATAAGCTTTGTGTATTGTGACCCTCCCTATCAACCTCTTAGTTAGGGACACTATAACCCAAGTAAACAAGCCAGCACAGGCATATACTCAGTCAGGCCCTGACCCCAGATCAGCCCATTTGCAGACTTCATCTGGTTCTCAGAAGGCTAGTGCCTTAGGTGAGCCGTCCCAGGTGCATGTTCCCTTCCCTTTTTTCCAGATAGGTACTGGAGCTGTAGGCATGCCCACTTCCCATTGATCTCTGTGCAACTAACGGTTGTCACCACTAAGCTGTTGACTCTATTGCCTTTGGGCAATCAAAAAACCTTTATGTCCATAAAATTAGTGGAAAAGAAGCTGTAAGTTGTCTCATGTGTCAACTCATATGGCTTTTTTCACTCTTATTGCATGAACACAAAGCTTTTTCTGACCAGTTCAAGTTGATACAGCATCAATAATTGTAATGATACCTTTAGGCTCAACTCCCACTGGCGCAGAGTCGCGTCGCGTCCTGTTATTCAACTTCAACGTCGCTCGCATTAGTGCGCCCGGACCACAGTGTGGTCGGTGGTCTGACGCGCCCAAGTAACGTGAGGCGACGCGCGAAGCCGCTCGACCACACGCGTCAACGCGCAACTCCATATTTATGGATAATACAAATTTGTACCATAATAATGGGAAAATAGAGATGAATACGCTATAGACGAAAACATGACGCGTCACGACGTTTCGACTCTGCGCCAGTGTGAGTTGAGCCTTAAGTTACTTACTTATAATATGAATCTGGGGGCTCAAATGTTTTTGGTTGATTGGATTGAGACAATCTTTTACATTTTGCACACACCTGTAAACATTAATAGTATTTATGTATTATTAACAGTATTAATTACAAAAACAGCTGGTAATTTTTTTGTTGTCATACATTTGCCTCTGTATTGAGTTTTGGTAGAAACAATTTGTTGTTTAAACATTTAGAGCAATAGCTGAATCCACATCCTGGACATCCTTTCTGAAAATAATAAGGAGTAATGTTTAGAAATTGCGTTGTATGTGTGTATAAAACAAATTAGATCATATTGTATAAAATAATTAGATTGTTATTAATGATTACCTCTTTCCTTATAAGATTGAAGGGTTTCGCACAGGAATTGCAAGCCATTTAATTTTCAGTAGGTATCAAAATGCTCTTTGATTTCATTAATTTTATCGAAAACTTCGCATTTAATATATTTGTGACCACAAACACAAACTGTTTGTGACTATATAATTGCAATCGTCGAATTACACAAAAGTATTCTTAAATAGTATGATATAAAGTTTATTTTGGAATAGTATGTTTCGTAAGTGTCCGTCTGTCAAATGCAGTTTTAAATTCGGCTTTGGATTCCAAAAATTTTGCCAATATTAAAACGAAGAACACGCCGAGAAGGTTGCAATAAAATTAAAAAATATTAACAACTTCAATTTTATTTGGGTATCATTGACCTACCAGCAAATGGACGTTGAGTTCGCGCTAAAAAGTGTCCGCACCTATAGGGCGTTAAAATCGCATACAGAGCGTCAATCGCGCAACAGTCTTCGTTTGTTCGACTGACAGCGCGGTTGTCAATTATGCAATACTTCATGTATAATAATAACTTGTAAAAATTACTGCAGTACTTTCACTAAACAAATATATTATGTTATCATAGTTCTCATTTAAAAGTGTTATTTTGTATAGTTGTATAATATTTAATTTACATATAAACGAATCGTAAATATAAATTACAAAAGCGAACAAAATAATCAAATAGTTAAACTGTCTTTTAAAATTTTATATTCCTTCGATCCTTTCATCTCTCGCCAGGACTGGTAACTGTAAAGATATCTAACTGGGTGATAAAACTTTCATAGATTTCTCATACATGGGGCTACGACTAAAAAGTCGTTGAAAAAACCAAATACAAAGATACGACGCATGCACATAGAAAAATTCGTGAGGTCCGCTGGTTCGTTCCGTGGCTTAGTTGGTATAGCGTCTGGCACGGTAAGCTAGACGACGTCGGTTCGAATCCGGCCGCACAGTGGGCTGATTTCGAAAAGTGTGGACTTAAGGCTTGAAATTGTTAGGATCGAATACTACTAGTCAATATGATAATTTTATGTTCTGGAACTTTTTTCGTATCTTCATCTATACCAATATTATAAAGAGGTAAATTTTTGTAAATTTGAATATTTGTATTTCTGGAACTATTCAACCGATTCAGAAAATTCTTTCATTAATAGAAAGTTACACCATCCTCGAGTGATATAGGCTGTTGTAATAGGATTACTATTGGAATCTATATACGGAGCGCAACTAGTACTTATAGTTTTTGAGTAATAACACTTTAAAAAATGTTTGTAGAAATATTTAAGATTTGACGTAATTTATTTTAATTTCGATATTATGCGGTACATTCTCGACACGAGAAAAGATAGCACACATAAAATTAATGCCAATCAAAAAGATAATAACATTATTAATATCAAGACGCATACCTACGAACAATCACCGCTCAAGTTAGTCAGCAGTCTCATCACCCTAAAATATCACTTGTTTTGCTAAAAAACACACGTGTAAACAATGGGGAGCTTATCATAAACACAAACAAAACATCAAGGTTGTTAAGAAATATGCTTATCTTTGACAATTGTGGTCAAGTTAGAATAATAGCAGGTAGTAATTAGGTCAGTTTGTCCCATTCGAGTAAACTTATCTCAGAACGTGATTTACATTTCGTAAGAAACGCACTACTTATTTTCAAAAAATACCCTTTTCTTGGAAGTTTTAAAAAATGGTTGGTGAATTGGTGACTAACCTAGATTTGTTTGTAAAACTAAAAAAAAGTGGCAATATTAAAAATGCTGCGGCATTATTTGATATTATAAAATCTAGTTTAAACAAAAATTTAAGCGAAGACAATATCAAAAAGTTGAAAGCGTTTTGTGCAACATATTGTTCTAATCTTCACAGAAATTGGCTCAGTGCTAATAGAAGAGAAGAAGATTTTATAAAGAAATATAGTAAATGGTTGGATGCAGATGTATTATGGCCCGATTATGTTAGGAGTGCTTCAGAACAAAGCAACGAACCATCTACGACCACGCCTATTACATCAGCACAATTTGCAACATCATCAAAAATAAGCGTTGGAACCTATACTGAGTTGAATCCAAGAAAACCTTTCTGTGATTTAGGGCCTAAACAAAAAAAGAGTCGCGCTGAGAATATTGATAACACAATATCTTATGATGAGATATCGTACGTACATTCCATGAAATGAAAAGCTGATGGTCATGGTGACATTGCCAAAATCGTTGATTACTTGCTTAAAAATCCACAAGATGTGAAAAAAGTAAAAGAATGTATTAGTAACAAAACTGAAAAACCATTGTTTGATGCAGATGAGGCTTTAGGTTTGTTTGTATCACTAAAACTATCCAAGTGGCAGTATAATACGTTGAGAAAAAGTGTTGCAGAAAAAGGTGTGCATATATTTCCTTCCTACTTTAAACTCCAAAAAGCAAAACAGTCGTGCTATCCACCTAAAGAGGAGATTACACTAACAGAGATCACTGCTGAAATAAAATTGCAAGCGCTCTTAGATTTGACAGCAAGCAGATTATTAAAAGCTATACCGTTAAGTGACGATTGTAAACAAATGAAACTAATACAAGTTTCATATAAGCAAACAATAGAATCAGAAACGGAAGATAATGGAGATGATTCCAGCGTATTTATGGGAAGTTTAGTACCCATCAAGTTAGTTTCTGGAGAATCAACGATTTGGGAAAACGACTCGCCAAATTCAACACATGTGTCGCCCACTATTTTTTAGATTCTTTAAAGAGAATAAAGCAACCATAATACAGCAAAAGACATCAGAAGAGTCTGAAATTGCAGACTACAAAAGTAGAAGATATTGAAACTACTCATTCCTTACTGCTTACTATGATAGACGGTAAAGCCACAGCACTTTTAAGTGAAACATCAATGCAACGATGTTATATATGTAAAGCGTCTCCCAAAGAAATCAATGAGTTAGATCTTACATCATCAAAAAATATAGACACCGAGTTATATAAATATGGTCTATCCTCATTGCATATGTGGATACGTATGATGGAGTGTATTCTTCACATAGCGTATAGATTAGATTTGAAAACGTGGGTTGTGAAAGGTGAACAAAAAGCCGCTCTGGAAACTAGAAAAAAATTTATTCAGGACGCCTTTAAAATTCAAATGGGTTTAGTGGTTGATGTTGTTAAACAAGGTCATGGTACAACGAATGATGGAAATACGGCAAGACGATTTTTCTCAAACTATAAAACATCAGCTTCATTCATCATTACAGGTGTTGATGAAAATTTAATTAAAAGGTTTGCCACAATTTTGCAAGTCATTTCTTCGGGACAAACAATAAATATAACAAAATTTAAAGAATATGCTGAAGTAACTATTAGGTAAACCTTAGGTAAACTTGCTGATATTTGAAATGCAATTGTTGAAAGAAATCGTTAAAAGCGTTTGCTATTTGGGTATTGTCTGTCAGTCGTCATCGTCGTCTGTCGTCATCTTTTAAACTCGATATGTTTCTGTCAAATTTTTGTTCTGCTTAGTTTGTTAATTTATTATACACCACGATTCTTTGATTTTCTTTAGTGCTTTGTTAATCCTATTTGAATTTTGGAACTTCTTAGCATGATATAATACTTTTTCTATTTCTAGGGAAGTTTTATTTTTAATAATAGAACAACAAAAGAATTTAAAAAGTCAATGTATATCACTATAAATATACTGCGGATGAAACTATGACAAATGCGCCCTACTTCTTTACACCATGAGTGTGGAATAGATTTTTTTTTTATTTATAACATTTTCAACCCAGACCGTTATATTACAAAACTCGCACTGAACCGCAAGTGCAGATATATATTTTATGGTAACTCGAGACTCCAACTATATGGATCAATACATAATTTTTTGAAAAAATTTGAGATTTCAGAGATATACCCCAATTTCACCTTTTCTCCATACAAAAAAAGTTTCAGAGCCATATAACTATAAAATTACTGTGTCAATCGAAAATATCCACATGACAGTTTATGATTGTATTGGTGAGTAAAATCAATATCCATCATCATATTTATAAAAGGAGTTGTTTAATTTTCAAGTACCCCTAAGTCCACTAGCAATCATTTTCAGCCCACTGTGGGCCGGATCGAAGGAATTTTTTCTGAGTGTTCGATCTTTGTATTAACAAATATAGTTAACTGTCTTTTTCTACGCATTGCATGCGCAAAGATGGACAGAGACTCATTTTGTCAATTTCAAGAAGCTAGAAACCACAAGCGATTGAAATATTTAGAACAAAGTAACTATAGAGTCCCTTTGATTTTAATCTTATTTTTAAAATTATTTTTTATTAAGCGTTAACAATAACTAACAAAATATTGTGGTACTCGTTTTACGGCTTGGGTTTACCAATCAGAAGTCAGAAAATATATTTGCCTGAAATAACATTGGCTCCAATTTTCATGTCAAATGTATTTTTTTAGAAATATTACAAAACAAAAGCTAATTTTGTCTTTGTGAAAAGCATCAAAATTACTTGAAAGTGTAATGATTTTATTAGAAATCGGTTTTCGGAATTACTGATATTTGAGTTTACATTGAGTTGGAATATCCGTACATTTCTTATAGTACACGCTTATTTTCAAATTTGTAATATTTGTATGTATGTAGCTGCACAACTCTTTATTATTTATTTAAGTGAATTTGTATAAAATTGGACATAATAATGTATATAAAAATTAATTAATATTTACAATAAAGGCTACTCCATTACTCGAATTAAAATATGAAATTTATATAAAAAATATAAAAATTACGAAATATGACGCATTTTGTTAAGTTTTCAGTAGAATCTGATTATGGTGTTTTATTTGCATTTCATTTATTTGCCTTTAAATTGTTGCAAACAAAATTAGGGAGTACTGTAATGACGTTTTAATTTAAATTAAACATTTTAGTTTTTTCGATTTCGTTACATGTCACTACATTTGTATAATTTAACTTCAGACTTTTTTTTCATGGTTTTTGTATTAAACCCGACATCCATTTGTTTATAGGTCATTGGTATTTAATTAACAGTTTGAATACCAGTAGAAGTAATAATAAATTTTAGTGAAGAATTAGGTAAATCCGGTGAAAAAATTACAGACAGTTTTCTTACAACCACACTTTGTTCAGTATTCCTAAATTTTTCTCTATTCTCCATTGGTAAATGGCTAATATGTACAGATTGATTGGTTTTTTTGAGCCACAATCTTGTAGACACCATATTAGACCAGGCTAGGCCAAGTGTAGGTAATACATTGTCAGCACCATCAAAGGAAGCCGTAACTTGGTTAATACAGACAACTGCCAAGGTGTATTTCTGAGCTAAAGTTATTAGTGAAATAGCTAATTCTCTCAAATCTTCAGCACGTTGGACATAATTCGAGTATTCTGAGCGAAAGGGTGCTGCTACTGAGTCAATGACAATAAGCGCCGGTTTATTCTTCTCTAGTAATTTAGGAAGGCTCACTCTCACACATGATAATAAATTTTGTGCTTCAGTTATATGTTCTATATATACATTTTTACCATAATCATGTTTAGAAGATACATTAGGAAAACGATGCTTCATTTGTGCAAACCTCTTTACAGGGAAAAGATCCTCTGTGCAGATAAAAACACACCCAGCAGCTGAATTATGTGCTGCTGCCTGAATAGCCATTAGTGTTTTACCAGAACCGCTTTCTCCGTAAATTTCTGTCAAAGTTCCTCTACGGAAACCACCCATAAGTAGCTCGTCAATCTCCACACAGCCTGTCTTTACCCTTAGTTCATTTTCTATCAGTAATTTATCACATGTATGGCTGATTGGACAAATATAATCTGCAGCTACGTTCTTAAGGAACTTGATGTCGTCTGTACGCAGGTTTGTTAACTTCTTGATGTCCCAAACAGACAGAATCATGATTTGTTTAAAAGTAGAAATTCCAGCTCTTTCCACAACTTCGAATATCCTTGGAGGTAATACGTTCTTTAGGTTACTCATTATAATTTGTAATTCTGTACAACCATGTAACTTCGTAAATTTCTTGCGAAAATAAAAAAAAAGCAATTTACTCAACTGAAAACAAAACAATACATTTAGCGCCAAAACTTTGACGTTAGTACGTTGCACATTTGATTCGATTTTTATAAAGATCGATTCAAGTGAATACTGTCTAGCGATTCTTTGAATCGATTCATTTCAATCATTTCAATGCCATTTTTAAGCGAATCGATTCAACATTAAGGCGAATTGCGTCGTCTAGATCGTGTTCATAATTTAAACTAAAGCCACGCTTTATTAATTTGTTATGGTCAGTCAAGGAATAGGTACTGATAATTGTTTACCTCTACTACAGTATGTAGATCTACTACAGACAAATGCCAATACTATTTACCTTATCCGCAATGTTTATGCATTATATATTGAAACATTTATTACTCACTAGCTTTTAATCATTCCTGTATCTTAATTATTTCTGGTCGTGATTAGTCATGTGTACCTAATTGTGATTTTACTGATGCTTCAACCGATTAAATCTAGTGTTTGGTCCAATTTTATAAAGATTGATAATGAAGGAAAATATAAAATATGCTAGTGTGACACCATATACAATGTACTCTTTGTGTGACACGAAGAGACACCATTGTTTAATTTCGTCAAATACAGAAACGGAAAGTAAAGAGAAAGACAATGATGTGGACTTAACATTATTTTTGGAAACTTTAGGTAAGTATTGACATCTGTGAATAATAAAAAAATATTTACATTATTATGGTAATTAAATTATATAATGTAAACAAGGTGCTTTATTTATAAGAAATACAAATTTTGAAATAATTTTTATGAGATTCAGAGGCATACAATAAAAACCGACGTCGCTTTTTTAATTTGTTGTTCTGGATTCTTGTAATTTTTGTAAACTGAATTATCAAATGTCAACCTGTCATTTGCGTTTGGTTTAGTTAGTTTGAAATTTGCAGATGCACTGTTTTTGAACGCTGAAAAGTGGTTGATAATTTTTTTCAGAATTATTCTGGGCAAAATAGGAGAAATATAGTCAAAATTGTACTAAAAATAATTCTTTACACCGAGACATTGTTATTGTGTTTCGGTAGACAATTTGTCCTGAATGATTTGTAACCATATCGAACATGACAACTAACACAGTATTATCTCAAAATGGCTTTAATTTATATTAATATTACCTATTTAGTTTCAAAGCGACAGTATTGTCCTGTTACTTTGAAATTAAATCATACGAATGACACATCAATATAGCGAAATTTTGGAGCAAAATTATTAATATAACGCAATTTTGGGATAAAATATAACATGACGCCATTTTTGAGATAATACTATGTTAGTTGTCACGGGCGGTATGTCAATGGCATTGGCAAGAAGTTTGTACAGGGCGGCCTTGGCGATACACTTTCACCCCGCAGCGGTGTCGCCGCCGATCCAATACGCGCGAGGCTTGATCAATGCCAGTCAAGTGAGCGAATTCGCTAGCATCTCAGCGTCATCCACTAGAAGGAAAATGGTAAGCGATTCGAATAATTAATAAGCAACAAGTGGTTTATTATATATATTAAGTTTCTGTAAACATAAGTTTTGCTCTTGTTATATTCTTTTTAAGGGTTGCTTAAACTGAAAATTATCTTGCAATGCAAAAAATAACAAGTTTTGCAACTTTCGCTAATTGTAGGTTCTGAAATTTATCGAATCACTACCACACTATGTGATAATAAAAATCAAACAACTACCTTGCGTGGTTAATCGTAGAAAACATTTGTATAGTGTAGCTGAGAATTTAAAATTAAAATGTGGGTATATGTTTAAAAAAACAATCCACTATCAGCTCAGATTTATCTATAGTTTTAATCTTTTTTATGTTATTTAGTGATAGTACAAACAAGTTGTGCACTTGGTGGTTAAGTAAGTGGATAATCGTTTCAGTGCCACTGAGTCTTAAATGCAAAGATCTGAGGGCCATTGTCATTGTGCCAGTCACCCTTAGACATATAGTTGACAAGTCCATGTGCCTTTATTTTTACCAGTACCCTTAAACCATTAAAAATGGGTATGCAGTAATGCTCACATTGTGGCTTGACAGCAGAAATAGGTTTAGTGCCATTACTCCCTGGACAATCTTCATCAATCATATTTCTGTATTTATTATTATCTGCAAAATTTAAACTTGTACTATAAGTAATCACTGTACAGTCAAAAGCATGTCAAGCTTGACACTTTGTACCCTTCTTATCGTAAGCAGCATAGAGTTGGATTTAAATCTTTAGTGTCAAGCTTGACATGCTCAACAGTATATAAAATACAATGTTAACAGGCTGACAAATTAAGTCCTGAAGATCGAGACACCCAGTTAAAGCCTCTGCTGGAAAAAGGCTGGAAGGTTCAAGCTAACAGGGATGCTATTGAAAAGGAATTCTTATTCAAAAACTTTACTGAGGCTTTTGGGTTCATGACCCAAGTGGCACTGTTGGCAGAGAAGATGGACCATCACCCTGAGTGGTTCAATGTTTATAACAAGCTTCAGGTGAGGATTTTCTTTTATTTGGTTTCAAAATAATAGAACTTGGAAGAAACCTTAACTACTGAATATGAAATTGAGATTTATCAAGTTTGCCTGACATCAGCTATGATTCAATATATAGACTGAAAGAGAAAGTCATTGGACTACATTGACTTCTTAGAATTCATAAATAACAGGTTTATTTCTTCATGAAGTAAAAAAACAAACATGTGACAGTGTACATTAATTGTTATATTAAAGTATATACAATTATAACGAGTCAAAGGAGGTAAAGAGAGTGTGGTTAATGTGGTGTTGTTGAATGGTGGGATTTCAAAATGATATCACCGTGTCGTTTGTCTCAGGTAACTCTGACATCCCATGATGTGAATGGTCTCAGCAAACGGGATATCAAAATGGCCAAATTCATGAGCAGCCTCTCCAACTAACACATTGGACACAAGAAAATATTTGATGTTTATTGTGATTTCCTATTTATTATAGTAATTTTTATTTGTGCAAGAGTTAAGTTTGAATGTTAAAATATAATGATATGAAAGTTGTATTATGCTCTTATTCTCTTATAAGCATTATCATTATTTATAGTTCTTTATACTAACTACATAAAAATTTCAAAGTTATCAGTACATTCAAGTAATACGCTTATCAGTTATATTTATAAATATTTTAATATTTTTGTCGTGAACATTATAGGTATATTTTGATGTTACTGTTTCTGTTTACTTTGAAGAGTTGCCTCCTATGACAATGTAGCAACACATAATTTTCCTGGTAAAAAAATTATATACTTTTCTGTGTATATCCTATACATTCTACTATCCACATGGCAAATATTTGAAGACATAACACGGGCAAGTTCTCTTATCATTAAATGGCTCAGTTTCGAAGACGACATCGCACGGGTAAGCCTTTTCTAATAATCTTTTTATTTCTAATGCATGATCCAGACCCATAGTGCGGCATACAAGTGAAATCTGAAACAGTATTTGAGTTGCAATTTGTATTTTGGTGCTTTTATGGAAAGTTATCAATATAATATATGTATAAAGGACTTGGTAAAAATAAATTGCGCTCACAATCAAATATATGTATAGGGCACCTTCAAATTAGACGCCTGAGTGGCCTCAATAATTTTCTGCTCATTACAGTGTGACTGCAAAAGTGGTGCGCGCGTTTCGCGACAGCGGCGGTATGTTCCCCAAATCCCCACTAAAAATCCCAGCCGGTGGCGATCCTAAAGTTTGATTTAATTTTTGCTATGTCGTCGATCCAGCGCGAGTTTTCTTTTAAAAAGTGAAAAGCTTCGACAATTTGTCAGTGTCTTGCGTATCACGTACTACGCTTAGGGATTTGGGAAATCATACTTAAGATTCCCACCAGTGGGGATTTTTTTTGTGGGGATTTGTGGAATATGCCATAGTGGCTGCAACTTCGCTTCTCAATATTGTATGACAATTAGCAGTGGCGCGGCTGTAGCGCTTCTAATTTGAAGGCGCTCGTAAACTAAATGTTTGAATAATTGCCAAAATGCAAAGATTACTTGCTTAGATAGTTCTTTTTTAAGATAAAATTTTCAATGTAAACTATTATAATGGAGAGTGTTGTGGTGTGAAAGAATTATGTTTATACACTCATATACACCAGGATAGAAAAGGGAACGTTTCGATGCTTTGGTCATATAGAAAGGATGGATGTTAGCAGATTGACGGCAAAAATACATAGAGCAAATGAGAATGGGAATATAGAGGTAGACTTCGTACGCTCTCGCGAGTGGAGGTTCGAGTAGTGGTTTTTATGTATTATGCCGACTATTAGTATTATTACCGATATGAGGTGTGAGAATATAGCAAGTGATCAATCTTTGAGCACTTTTACTATTTTACTCACAAAAAGTAACCATTACGATTAAACCAGCCTCCAAATAAAAAAATACCGCTTTGATGTCAGTCCATTAGTTTGGGAGCTATAATACCACAGACAGACATTCAGACACACATCTAGGTCTACGTGCAAATGCTTCAAACTTGAACTCCCCTCTTTTTGCTTTAGTGGTTAAATATTTACGTTCTCATAAGTGCTTACGATATTATGCAAATTCTCAAAAGTGTTACTCAGAATAGTTACAGCTAACCCGTGTACGAAAACGGATTTTTTTTTCAATTTACCGTGAAGTCGATGCTACTGTACGCTTTTTTGGCAATAATTGCAATAGCAACACTCTTGACTCTCTCGTGTAAAACCTGAGCGGATACTAACTTCCATTTTGTACTGCTCATCTTCCGTCCATTTATGGATTTCATCATATTGTACTATACCATGGCCGCCGGCCTCTATGAGTTTAAGGAGTTGAGAAACATCGACAGACGAGTCATGTACTTTAACCTGAAAAAAAAAAAGAATAAAAAGCAGTCCCGTTGTCGTTCTTTTAAGTATCATAACATAATATACTCTTGTGGGGTAGAGACGTAGGTAGAATGTTCGATTCGCAATACGATTAGATTGGTACAATGTTCTACTCGTTCTGCAATTAACATTTTGGATATATGACACTTTTTGACAACGATTTGTAAGCTGAAAAGTAAGTATGTAATTATTTTGTTATTTGAATTTTTTAGATATTGTTTTTTTAGATATCGCTGCAATGAACTTAATATAATCCCACTAGTTTATATAAAATTATTTAAGGTGACTGTGCCGACAAAAAAATCAGAATTTTCTGTGGGACGACTATACGCGATGAGTGTCGTCGACTGTTTTAAGTTTCACAAGGACATTTCAAGGTTGACTCAACCGTCCAACCGATTATTCATTACTTCAAACGCCCAATTTCCTAGGGTCTCCTAAGTTGATGTCGTAAATATGAATGGATTTGTGTATAAATAATTACCCTAAATTTGAGGAGCCGGGCTTCGGCAGACATGCCTCTGTCCAAAGCACGAGTATACAACATATTGTCCATGTTACCGCCGGTTACTACGCATACCACACTGAAAAGATAGTTTTCTTTCTTTTATTGATGGTTATTGTTTGAGGTTGAATTACATATTCGATAACATTACTAATGTTTAGAGCTGATTTTAGTTATGGTGCAGAAAGAGCTAATCACTGAACCGAAATTCACAACAAACTTATAACAAACAGTAGGTATCATATATGAATATCAAGGATAATGAATAATGTTTTAACAGGATACTTAGGTAATATTGAACAAAAAAGATTTGTTACCAGCAGAGCAGAAGATAGAAGAAGCAGATAGAATATTCGCTTACATTTTACTCCTCAATTCGGGCAGTTGGTTGCTCAGAATAGCAGCTAGCGGACACGCAGCTGCACCCTCTACCACGATTCGTTGGACTTCCATCATGTGGAGGACAGCTCGGGCTATGCAATCTTCTTTGACCAGCACCTAGACAATAAAATTGAAAAGTTTGAACAATTCACAACCAAAGTTGTGAATTGTTCAAACTTTTCAATTTTATTCTAGTTTGCTAGACAGACAATTTATGGTCCGAGTCTTATGACTTCGAAATTGTAACTTTGAGTAAAGATTTATGTTTGCGTGTTAGCTAAATGATATTACGAGCATTAAATATGGTAAAGTGAGTCGGAACATAGTTTTCACCTTAAGAGTGAGTAACTGAAAAGTGACGCAGACCAATCGAGCAATACTCTAAGTTAAAGAAAATGAAAATATATCGAGTTCTTAGGTTTTCGCGATTGTTACACATAGGAAATGAAATTATTTTTCCGAATTTAAATCGCGAATATTTCGGTTTATTTGAAAAACCAAATGCCCGAAACGTCGGTTTGTTTGAAAAAACAAATATACGCGATTTAAATTCGGAAAAATAGTTTCATTTCCTAAAATGAAAAGTTATTACCCGTTTTGGTAGGGCAAGTACGAGCATTTAACCTACCACTTTATCGAGAGCGGGTTGAGCGTTTACGTAGGAGTTGACGCCAACATGTGACACGGCAATGGCATCTGCCATAGTATGCCGGGCAGGTATTCCAACGCCTGGCATATCGTCGGCTAGATGTTTGAAGAAAGCCGGTGCTTGCTCTGATTGGACACCCTTGAAAATGTAAGTGAACAGCTTAATTTAGATTGAGTCGTATGACACCAATACCGTACATCACTACGCCACTTAGACATGGGTAAGGGTAAGGGCGGTGCCGCTGGTGAAATTACAGGTACAAGAGATTTGCCAACTTACGTCTCAAGGTAAATCTTTTTATTCATTCATAGTTTCCGTCTTTACGATTTCTCTAGAGATTCGTTTCATCGAATCGTCATTTTCTTTATTAAACACGAACTTTTATCGACTTGATGTATCACAAGTTTTGGAATCTCAGCTTAGTTTTTTTAAATGCTTTTATACCGACGTATATAGATAATATAAACGTAGATACGAACGTATACTTGACATTTAGTCTTGTGGTGCTTGACGACTCTGGCAGTTGCTGCGGCGAGACCTCCGGTACCAATAGGCACTATTATAAATTCTACTTCAGGTATTTCATGCATAATCTCCAATGCAATAGTTCCGTATCCCGCTAATACATCTGGGTGATCTCGGCTATGAAATAAAAGGTTTAGTACCTAGTAGGAAAGACAAATAATTTTGCAAATATTGATAACTACTAGTAGTTTGTTTTTAAAATGTACCCATTAATGTAAGTTAAACCTCTGTCTCTGGCTAGGACGCGGGCAAATTTCTGTGCATCGTAAAGCGTGGTTCCTTGCACAATTACTTTAGCGCCCATGGCGTAACATCGCTGTGTGTAGGATAAGGGCACGTAACTGGGCATCACAGCTATCACCGGAACCCCATATTTTGCAGCGTGGAAACACATTGCAATAGCTTCGTTGCCGAGAGAGGCCACTACGACCCCTATTTTTCTTTTGTCTAGTGGCAAACGCAACAAAGCGCACAGGGCACCTCTTTCTTTGAAACTGTCGAACATAAAAAACAACGTACTACGTAGGTATATGTATAATAATGAAACTTCACAATCAACTATTTCGTTTAGGAAACTACTTACCACCCAGACTTTTGCAACGATTCTAATTTGTAATACAATGGCATACAAAATTGTTTTTGGTGGTGAGAGGCCTGAAATAAAACTATTTCAAGTACTATAGTTGTAAACGAGGTAACAGTGTAAAGATTTATAAATAATTATTATATTAAATTACGAGTAAATGGCTTACCATACACGGAGGGTGTTTTATGAGTGGATTGATGAGATCTGCCGCAGCTATTACATCTTCGAACTTAAGTGTTCTTGGGTTTTCGGGGTCACACCATTCATCCAGATCTTCCTAATTAAGTGAATTAATATTATGGATAAAATATAATATCGTTTATTTGAATAATAAAATTTATATGACCTTAAATAATATAGGATATTATTACAGGGTATTAGTAAACTATTTCATATTGGTCGTATTAATCGTAATTAACGAAACCAATATGAAATAGTTACAAAATATCTTCAACTTACATTTCTCCGGGAAGACATGGTGCTTCTTCTTTATGTTTCTGATCTGTGTTATCTTTCTATATAAATATGAAATTGCTGTAATTTAAGAAACTATTTTCTTTGTTTTACATATATATATTATATTGTTTGAAAATGATTACCGTATTTTGTTCAAAAGTTAATGTGAAAATTACTTGTAGGATTTGATGATTTGGCTTGTTGTTTTTTAATACTTCCACTTCAACTTTTGTATTTATGGCTCTGTCGTTTTGCGCGACGATTTCGCCAACGTCAGGGTTGAAAGACATGTAGACCGGTGGTGAGATAGATTATTTTTCCGCTAAGTTGTAGTGTGACAGTATGTGGCATAATTTGGATGGTGTTCTGTATGAGTTATGTGGCGGCTTTAGACGCCGCCTATTATCACTGACTGGCTGTGGCAGTCTCTTTGGAAGAGAGTCGCCAAGGAGTGTCACACTTGCCGTAAATGTTTGACAGTTTACAGTTACGTAAATGGTAATGTCAGCGATTGCAAATTGTTTGCCCGGTTTGATAAAAAGCATTTTGTAAAAACCACGAAACTTTATAATTATATCGCCATTCACGAAGTTCACGAGGCCGATTTATTGTTCGTTACGGGAGCGATAAATTCCCCAAACCTATATACCTACCTATGCAGTGTTTATTTCTCGAAACAAAAACACTCTTTTAACAAACTTTATTAATAAAAATCACAGTAATAGCAAAATATTTCTTTTTTCATGAAACTGAATTTGTGTCTTGAGCGAGTTTAGCAAAAATATTCCCTTAAAATATACATTTAGTTTTAGTACTTATGCGTAACAATTATCGTATCCACTGACGTAGGTACATTTATACGTTAAAGTTTTAAGTAATGACATGAGTTTCAACTTTTGCGTTTAATTTTCACTATTGATGACCTGTAAGTCAATCAGATAAGTTGCGAATACCGGGTCTAATATTAGGTATATTAGACTAATAAATTTAAACTAAGTATTTTTAGTTTATTACCCCGGATTTCTTTTTTACATATCGCACTGTTAATACAATGGTGTATTAACTCAAAAAGTGTATTTTCTCAGAATCGACGAAAAACTAATTATTCGCTTCTCGTGAAATATCTGTATAAATTTATGTATAGGTTATTCCCTGCTTGTTTTTGAATAAGGACTATTTTGGCCAGAACTAGCTCACATAAAGCGTGTCGAATTTGGAGTTAAATAGATATATTTTAGTTGTTTTTTACAATATTCTAACGACAATATTCTCTACACGGCAATAACACTATTGCCGTGTAGAGAATCAAATTTTACGTTCAACAATGATATAATCTTGATTTTCACATATTTCGAGTTATAACACTATTGTAATAGCAGTGCGATATGAAATAAGTAAATTTCTCATTATTTTCAATCGTAAATTATCACTGTAGTGCTTCGGTTGGGACGTGTCTATCCGCATTTTGTAAATATTAATTAGACATAAAATTAATATCTAATGATCTGAAGATATAACGATTAGCATTTTTTAAATTTGGGACAAAACTTGTATTTGACAACGCTTACATTAATAACGAAGTCATCGTTCACCATTACTTATAGTTAAAAACAATATAATGGAGTAATGACAAAAGATTGCTAAACATCTTTAATGTGGAATGCCTCGGAACTTCAATCTGTAGATTAACACACAATGCAGAACACCATCCACTTATAACCGCGACGGTGTCATGGTGTCATTGTCAATGGTTTTGTTTGTCTTTACGTCAAAAATAGATGTTTTTTTTAAATGTTTCCAAAAGAAAGAAAATAACATGAACTCTCAAATTATACATATATATATATATATAACCGCCGAAGTATTTTGATAACCGGCAATCTCTGTCACCACCGCACTCTACATGTCTTTCAACCCTGACGTTGGCGAAATCGTCGCGCAAAACGACGGAGCCATAGATACAAAAGTTGAAGTTGAAGTTACTAGAACAAAAGCGTAAGCCCTCACTTATAGTAGAGAATAAGAGCTATAGTTATATAACTTGCAATTTTTGTCCCTAGATTTTCGTTTATTTTGGTGGTCGTTCACACGAATGAACGTTGCATGCGATCTTTCGTGCATAGTATACATACTAAACAAACGCTCTGTGGGAATTCGTAAAGATTTACCTACTTATTTTTTTATGTGTAAAAATAAAAAAAAATACGGTTATACCTGCTTCTGATTACCGTAAGAGAATCAACGTAAAGCCTCGTTAAACTGATTTGCAGAACTACCTTTCACATTAGAAACTTACGGGTACCATGATAGTTTAGACCGTACACTTACCTACCGAAAGAGAGTCAACGGGCTTATTCCCAGTGGTCACCACTGCCTTTGTTCCCACTGGCGACAAATGGGAAAAAAATCCCATATGTTGCCAGTGGTGACAAACGGGATAAAAAATGTCAGGTTTTTGCCAGTGGTGATTTGTACTGGCGACAAATGAAAAAAAAAATCCCAAATGTCACTAGGTGGTGACAAACGGGATAAAAATCTCAGTTGTTGCCAGTAGTGATTTCCACTGGCAACAAATGGGAAAAAACCCATAATATGTTACCAGGTGGTGGCAAATGGGATAAAAAGATCTCTAGTTGCCACTGGTGACAGATGGGTATCCAAGTAGTGGCAATGTTGGGTAAAAAACTAATTAGGGGACCACTCGCCATTTCCGTTAATATGCTATTTTCGCCAACTAGTCAATTTCTGGAATTTGCCAATCCCATGTGAATCTTTAATTCGTCAAGTTGCACAATTCGTCATTTTCTCTGATCAGTCATTTTCGGCAACTGGACAATATACATAATGCATGGAATAAAAAAAATCCCAATTAATGTTTGTTTATTGCCGCCATCGACAGTGAACAAAATAAAATTCGAGTTTAATGATAAAAATATAGATCTTATTAAAAAAAACAGTCTTAAACATCAGATATTTCCAATACCATACAATAATTAAAAATCACAGAAATAAGGGTGGGAAATTAGGGGATGAATATGGTTAATTGGATTTCACCCACTTCCCGTTAACCGATTTCAATAAAACTTGGCAAATAGATAGAACTCCAAAAACTAGAAGTTGGTTTTATTTAATAAAAACATTCATTGTTTTCGCAACTCAATCAATCAATCAACGAAACATTTTTGTATCTCTTTTATTCTTATCCATATGTTAGGGGAAATCTAAAATAGGTAAAGGAAAAAGCAAGGTATAAAAATATACTTTATTATAGGTAGTAGTTTTGAATTAAAGTAGGTAGGTAAGTAATACCAAAATCCACCTGCATCCTACATCATTAGACTTTTCAGTGGTTTGAAGCACGAGCAATGAGGATGTATGTTAAACGGTGCTGTTTCAAATACAACAGTGTACGGGTAAGCCGTTTCCATGATCTTTTTCAACTCTAATCCGTGTTCAGGACTCGAGGCTTGGCATATTATCTCTAGCTGTAATATATTTGAAAAAGTTAATATTCTTTTATCCATATTATATAAATATCATATATATATTTTTCAATATTAGATGAAAAAGTAAATATACGGCCTCTGTGACCGAACGGTTACCCTGCCGGACTGCCACGCAGAGGTCCCAGGTTCGATTCCCGGGCCGGGAGAAATATTTGTAAGGCCTATATTTCTTTCTCTCGTGAGTTTGGGTGTAATTTGTGGTTGTCTATGTGTATGTCCATGGCACCCGCAACACAGGGTTTCCCTAGTGCGGGGCTATGTTGAGTGTGAGCGTTATTATTATTATTATTATTATGGACTATATTTCAGAATGATTTCGATTTTTACGTAGTACCGCAATGTTACGTCACTTGAATTTTATATTGTGTGCTAGACTAAATTTTTCTTTCTCATCTGATGGAAAGTGACGATGAGGTCGACGTTCGAGCATGCACATCTAAATAATGACTATACATTATCGCCTTGAAAAAGCCCATGCTATATCGTTCAACGAAAAATCTGCAGGCAAGGAATTCCATAGCCGTTCGCCATATAAATGGGGAAGCGTAACGCTTCGTGTGACTCTTTGGAATAGGGGTGGAACATCAGCTTAGTTATAGTTGGCGAAATATTATTTGCACCGGTTCATCTTAGTATGTAGGTATAATAGAACAAAAGAGTGAACCGTCTCGGTAACGCACGTGCCATCTGAATATTGCAAACTACTAGTTTAAATACTGTTACATGACTTTTACTCATTGGCACTTGGTAATCTTTATGCGTAAATAACTTGTTGAATAAGTAAGAAAAGAGTCGGCAGTCGGTAATTTATGAACTACCTACTGAAAAACCGTACCTTAAAAAAACGACCTGTTGAGTAAAGAAATTATAGAAAACCAGAATAGAAAAAGCATTTAGCCATCCCATGACTAGTACGATGGACCAAGACAAGTCCGTGTACGCTTTAAGTAAAAGAAGTGTTAATAACGTAACGTACACACTCAACATAACGTACACACTCAAAATAGCCCCGCACTAGGGAAACCCTGTGTTGCGGGTGCCATGGACACACTTATAGACAACCACAAATTACACCCAAACTCACAAGAGAAATAAATATAGGCCATGCAAATATTTCTCCAGGCCCGGGAATAGAACCTGGGACCTCTGCGTGGCAGTCCGGCATGGTAACTGTTCGACCACGGAGGCAGTTGTTATTGTTGTTGTGTTAATGGTTTTATAACCCTGTTGTAATAGAAAAGATAAGCCGTTCTAAGAGATATCATCATATATCTATATCATTTATATATATATCATTCATCACTCTAGCCCCTATTGGTCAATTTGCAAGTGTAATGCATTGTAGTACCACGGTACCAACCTCTAATCTGCGAGTATCACTATCCATCCATCTATCACATTGGTTTTGTTGGACTACGCGGTAACCGCCAAGTGACAGAATTTTGAATACTCGCGAAATGTCCTTTATAGAATTGTTTATCTGTACCTGTAAATAGATTTTAATATTATTTTCTTGCGAATTTGATAACTGGTAATACTTACATCCAATCTGTATTGTATCGGTGAACAGATTTTCAGTCTAATCACATCACTATTATCAAAAAATAAAAAATAAAATAAAATAGTAATGTGCCAGACAACCTCTCTTGAATTATGTGCTTTCTAACTATGGAATTCTCTGCAATAGACTAAAGGAATTCACTCTGGGGCACATTGGGGCACTACACAGAACAATTCAGAAACAATTTAGCAAAATTCATTTCCGTTTTTGGTCCTACGAACGAAACTCGCCTACTTCTGCCGCCAAGCAGTAACGTCAGCATTACTGTGTTCCGGTTTTGAAGGGTAAGGGTGCTGGTGAAATTACAGGCACATGGGACTTATCAACTTATGTCTCAAGGTGATGGGCGCAGTGGCAGTGCCCCTCAGATCTTTGCGATTTAAAACTTTGAGTGGTACTGCAACTGTTATGAACAGGCAGTGAGCTTGTTTACAAGTATAATGTCATTGTGGACAGGCGTGTAGTTTACCATCAGACGCCCGACTTGTTCGCCCCGTCACTTGATATTATAAAAAAAGAAAAAAAAAAAGAACTCGGTACCTCCTCATTTATCACCGACCGTGCAAACCGTTGGATAGGTACCTGTTGGCAATTCGTCGGGCGTGGATACCCGTTCCGAGCATAATATAAACTTTCCAGCCCTTTGGGATTTTGGCCTATAGTGAACTAGTAAGAACAGACTTCTTAGACAAACCAATCTAAACGATTAACTGAAAACAATACCTTAAACTTGACAAGACGACGGTCAGCTGACATTCCCCTGTGCAGTGATCTCGCGTAGACTGTACAATCTACGTTTCCTCCAGTCAGAATACACACAACTCTGAAGCGAAAAAGAAAAAAAAATCATTAATACAGTGTACAGGTAGTAGAGATTTGTTAAGGTTCATTTAAAATTTATTAATTTCATATTTTACCAGGCCAGTCCCATATTTTTCTACGTACTTAAGTTCTGTTTATAAATACCCAGCTATCAACCTTTGGTTAGACAGGAAGGACACTATTATCCATGCAAGCAAGTATCCACAGGGACCTTATCAGTCAATTTTGATCCCAGATCAGCCCGTTTGACCCAGACTTCATCCGGTTCTTAAAAGGCTAGTGTATTGGGTGAGCGCCCCCAGGTGCGCGTACAGTACCCTCGCTATTGTCCAGGCAAGTACCAGAGCTGTTGGCTTGTTCACCTCCTGGGCTGGGATGTTTACGCTCAAGGATGCATTAATGCGGTTATTTTAAGTAGTATATCATTTACGCGATTGCTTGCAAAATATTGGCTGTGGGTTACCTATAGAGTTGTAACTTATAAACACAAAAAATTGTAATATACTTAATGTAATAATATTATACGTATCTCTTACGTTTTTGTCTTCAGTTCTGGTACAAGATTTTCAATGATTGTTGCAAGTGGACACGCAGCAGCTCCATCCACAACGAGATGCTCTACTTCCATAATGTGTAACAGAGCTTTAGCTATAGATTCTTCTTCGACACGGACCTTTTAGCAGAAATACACGTGGATAATGCGTCATTCCTTAACCCGTTCATGGACAGTATTTAAATAGCACCGCTCACAAAAATGTCACTAACTACTTTTCTGTGTGCCGATGCCGTAGCTCTTATGTCGATGCAATATAAAATATTCAATGTAAATTAAATGAATGAAATTTGTAAGTACGTTGTTGGTACTTCTTTATGGAGGGGCAGTAAGCGGTAACTAAACGCGGTAAGTACCCCGTGTTATCATATTCTGATATTCAATTGTATGGTAAACGCCGTTGCTGTCCTTGAAAGAGTTAACACAATTAGTATCCTCATATAAATATAACATGCCAAACACCTCCTTTTAGTTTATGCAAAACAATGATGGTTTTCCCCTTTTTCTTGAGTTTTCTACATGCTCCATTTGGAGCCATGGACTTTGTGTGGTCCCAAAGTGTTCCTACTATACCCAACAGTGGGGTTCTGAATTCATGAATAAATCCAGAGTTTCTCAATATTGGCGACAAAATGGTTGTGAAGCATGATATTTTAAAAATGTACCAGTGTCTGCATATTTGGTATGTACTTCTTTAAACACTTTTTAAATATATCTTTAATATTCTCGACACGTCTTTTGCATGCACCTTCAGAGATGGGCTCACACAGTCACTTGGTGGAGGCCAGAGAACGGCTAACGACGATTAGGAGGCAGCCCAAGAAGATTGCGGGAGGACTTGGACTAAAGGACATTACAAATACTCTCGAATTTAAAGAAATGTCGATTACAAATCTATACACATCTCAACTAATAGTGTTTATATCAGTGTTTACTAATTTATGTTCTACGTGCTTTTGTGTTATACCTTGTGAAATGATTGTTAATGTTTATTTTGTTTGTGTTCAATCATATATATATATATATATATATAGCATAACAATTATGTAAAGTGCGAATAAGTCTAGGATTTATTTTTAGAAGTTGAAATTATTGTACTTGTGGTCAACATATTCCTGATAACGACTAAGGACTAATTAAAAAATTTACCATTCTATCAAGAAGAGTTACAGCGGTAACATAAGAATTAGCTCCCACTTGCGAAACAGCAATACTGTCGGCTAGTGTTGGTTTTGGTGAGTACTCGTCTGGAATTTGTGTAACGGCATTTCGTAACTCCTCGAGCTCTTCCTCATCCGCACCTTCGTATTCACGCTCTTGTATATACAGAATCTCCTGGTAATGCTGTTCTAGATCTCGTTTGTATAAATTAAATATTTGTGTTGCTACAGGTTGCACTCCCTAAAACATATACATAAAAAGTACTCCAAGAGAAGTACAAGAAATATGTTTAAATTAAATTTATGTACTTAATTCAAGTCCTACGTTTGTACACAACATACAGCTAAATAAAAGGGAACATTGAAAGATCTTAATTTATAAAGTCAGTTAAATTATATATGATTAATAACGGAAGTAGATTGGACAAATGATCTACTAACATAAACAAGGCAGTCAGGTTTATCGTGTTTAACAACGGTGGCAATAGCGGCGGCGAGTCCTCCAGTTCCTACAGGTACTATTATAGCATCCACGTACGGAATATCCCTTAAAATTTCCAATGCTATACTGCCGTATCCTTCTAGCATGCGTGGATCATCACGCCTGGTGACACAAGTTAAAAAGTATAGAAACAAATTTTTCAAAACGAAAATCCTGTTAATTTTTTAAACTGCCTCTGTGGTCAAACGGTTAAAATTACCATGCCGGACTGCCATGCAGAGGTCCTAGGTTCGATTCCCGGGCCGGGAGAAATATTTGTATGGCCTACATTTATTTCTCTCGTGAGTTTGTGTGTAATTTGTGGTTGTCTATGGCACCCGCAATGGGTTTCCCTAGTGCGGGGCTATGTTGAGTGTGTACGTAATTTCTTCCAAATTCAATGTCAAATTCATTTCATAACTGCCTCAGTCGCTGAACAGTTACCATGTTGGACTGCCACGCAGAGATCCCGGGTTCTATTCCCGGGCCGGGAGAAATATTTGTATGGCCTACATTTATTTCTCTCGTGACTTTGTGATTCTCTGTTTGTGTGTCCATGGCATCCGCGAGGTTTTCTTAATGCAGGGCTATGAGTGTGTTCGTTATTATTCCAAAGTTACTATTGAACACCATTCCTATCTCCGACAATATGTACCCTAAACTATTACTAATATTCCTATTTTTGTCCGTTGGTAATAAAAGGATCAGCCATAAAGAGTATAAACAAACATATAGTTGTAGGTGGGAATGAATACATTTTCTATTATATGCTCTAAATTTTAATGATATGAAAACATTATCCGCATGTTTCCTAACTGTCCCGGTTTACAATTATTTGTTTTCCTTAATTTTTTTTATATTGGCACAAGGTTGTTTATTGCCACAAAAATAGCTTAGTTGTATTAAGTATTAACTGCCTCCGTGGCCGAACGGTTACCATGCCGGACTGCCACGCAGAGGTCCCAGGTTCGATTCCCGGGCCGGGCGAAATATTTGTAAGACCTACATTTATTTTTCTCGTGAGTTTGGGTGTAATTTGTGGTTGTCTATGTGTGTGTCCATGGCATCCGCGACACAGGATTTCCCTAGTGCGGGGTTATGTTGAGTGTGTGCGTTATTATTATTATTATTATTATTTACTCCAAACACTTGCCCGTTAATATAAATGAGGTCGTTCTTCTCGGCCAGCTGTTGGGCGTAAAGTTGTGCCTGCAATAATGAGTTTCCTGCTACAATAACTTGTACGCCCAAGTCACTTATTTTATTCTTTAACGCTAGGGTAATGGTGTTAGGTATTACTGCAGCGACTTTGATATTTAGCTTAGCGCCACAAATGCCCATAGCAATTGCAACGTTGCTTAGGGAAGCGACTATTATTCCTTTAACATCTTTTCTTGGTATTTGCAACAAGACATTTAGAGCACCTCTTTCCTTGAAACTGTTGAAGAGAATAACGTTAGAAAGTAATATAGTGTTGATGATTATTTATATATGATGGTTGATTGTTACTATTCTTTTTATTATCTCATTCTAAGCTTTTCTTTTATATTAAACTAACCTTCCGCATTTATGCCAGGACTCTAATTTGTAATACAATGACATTGTAAACTCTTTTTGATAATGTGATGCCTGAAATTTGCAACATCTATGTTAACAATTTTTATACAATCATTATTATACATTTATTGTGAAACACTTTACCAAGCAATTGGTCTTTAAGATGTGCGGTTTTATTAGTTGTTCCGCTTTCAATATATTCTCGTACTCAAGATGCCATTCGCAATTTGGATTGGATAAACGTGTGCTTTCCTATTGGGAGAACATACAAAAAATAATGTTGAGTTATTGCTAGAACTGAAATGTAAATAAATAATTAGCCCTTCTGTGAATAAAACTACCTCTTGTTCCTTCCATTCTGGAGCCGCCATTTTTGTTACTTTCTTGTAATTTTCTTAAGCTAAAATATGCTGTTATTTATCTCCACGAATTCATTTCTATTTATTTTCATTATAGCTACTAAATCTATGGTTATTTGATTCTTTTTTGGTGTGTTTCTTAGACTATTTTTCCATCCTCTAAGGTTTGTTTGCCTTAAAATGTGTCGATGATGTAAATTTGGTTGTCTTCAAAGACTTCAATCTACCTACTACATCATAGATCACAAATATTTACCTTTATTTTTTTCCATCCTCTAGGCATAATGGAAACCAAAGGACATGTTATATTGACATACATAAATCAGATGTTACATCTTAATAACTACGGAACGCCCTAACTACGGAATGAACGTGCATACCTAAACAAAAATTTAAAGAATAAATGGCGGATTTCTTTAGTGTCGTACCATAATCTATCGACAAGTCATTATCGATATGCAAACATTTAATTAATGTTGATCAATATTCCATTTGGGAATACTTTAGGTTATATGGGAATATCTGGGAATGTGACACGAAATTTTGAATTTATTGTTTTGCGTTTACAAATACTTAAATATTATGAAAAAGTGAATTTGCACAGAAAAAATTAATATTTGTAATTTGAGAGTATACAAAAAAGAGAAAACTTTGAAATACAAAATCCTATACATTTCCAACCTCAAGATTCATATTTTCATAGAGAAATTTTTAAACAGATTCCAAATAGTGTTAGCTTTTTTGTATTTATGCATTGGTATAGAGTTAATATCAGTGACTGATTAAAGTGAATCTTTAATACTTCCATTTAATTTTGGAAATAAATGAAAGTAGTAAAATTATCACTAATAATATTATTATCATACCTTTGTTTGCTTAAAACATGGTATAACAGGAGATGTTGTGATGAACAGTTGTTGATGTGAACAGTGTTAGTATAAACATGTTTCGCATATATTAAATAGCATGCAAATGTCTGATTATACAATGTCAATTGATTACTATTGTCCGAGCGCCTTTGATTTATGCAGAAAAATCGACACTTCTCCGAAGTGAGTTGTGACAAGCCACGTCAAACACGCTCTATAGGTACACGTTAGCGCTCACATTCACTCGGTCAGCTAGGCGAGTGACACCGAACGATGGCAAGGCAAATAGGCTGTCTATACGTTGGTATTGGCCTTCACCCGGCAACGTTAGATTAACATGGTCTTTATATTGCTGGCTATATAAAATAAGAATTTTTAGTAGTTAGTGTTGTCAGTGGGAAAAAATCGGAAACGAGTGGATAATTTTGTTTTCAGGAACTGAGAATGCCTAGTAAATGAGTCTTGTTTAATCTAAATTAAATATAAAATTATTTACCAATAAACCTAATAATGGAATTGTATTATCATGTAATCTTAGTTAATTTCAAAGGTATGTCAAAATTTGACTCTTCAAAATGAAGCGACTACTATTCAGATGTCAGGCAAATGTTAAAACAAAAATATTAGCAACTTTGTAACAATTGGGTGGTTAGATGCGCTATGATTTTCACACTTTAAGAGTAGCGTGTAATCATATCGATATACATATACGGCGGTATGATTTCCAACCATTCTTTTTTCTTTTTTGATTTGTAGGTAAACTTGAAACAGTAAAAATAATAATAATAAAATAATAAAACCTCGTAATGAATTAACATTAATAACAGAATATCGATAACATGTACGTTTCCAAGAACAACACTATCTCAAAATAATCGTCAACAATAATCATCAAAATATACAAACAAACAGGCAATCTGAAGAAACCAAAGCAAAATTTGGCAAGATTTATGAATAACTACTTAAATATGTCTATTTACATGAGATATTTGGGCTTTTATGTAATTTATAGACAGAAAAATAACACGTGCCTGTACAATGTTACATTTGGTCCATCTTCGCTTTTTCAAATGCCACATCCCGTAATGCTGCAGCGACGAATTTTTATTAATACTTAATTGTTCTCACTGTCAATATTTTTGTCCATTTTTATTACAATACATGCGAATAATTCACTAAAACACTTGGAAAAACATTTGTTTTGACATTAAATGTACTTCCCTTTGGCAACCGTATCATGTACCTCATGTACTGCGAAATGGACACGGTTGGCATTTAAGATGACGTTACGTATTTACGATTCTCATGTTTGACACAGACCAGTATAATGCTATCTCTTTTGGCTTAAGACGGCTCGCAATAGTTAAACAAAGACCATAACATGTTTATGTTTTCAACGTCGAAATGCACCATATACATATAACGTCTGTTATATATGTTTGTCAACATAACATGTCCTTTAGTTTCCATAATCTAAGATGACTAGACTGCATGCATGGTCGCAGTCAACCCGTGACCATGGAGCGTGCAACCGTTCCGAAATATCGGGAAAATAAAAAGAAGTCATACCGTGGTAAGAAACCTGATGTTAGTGATAATCATTTAGTGAATAACCATGAGTCTTAAAATCTATATAACAATTATATCTGATTTTCGATAATGTTATTACAATTATGTAAGTAATTTTACTTATTTAAAAAATGAAATGGAAGTGTTACATTCACCTAAATCAAAATCACTGATATTAATTCTATACCAATACATAAATACAAAAACAGCTGAAACTAATTGGAAACTTTTTAAAATAATCTAATGTTAGTCTTGAGATTGGAAATGCATAGAGATCTCCTGATTTATGCTAATTTTCGTAATATGTGAGCATTTATAAATGCTAAATAATAAATTCAACATTTCATATCTATCATCCCGGGATATTCCCATATGACAATGAATATTGATCTACTTTAATTAAACATTTTAATCATACTTTGATTACAGTAAACTATACAAATTACAAACATAACAAAAAAAACCGTTTCAACATTCAAGCCATACATTTGCATAATGATAAGTCAATATCGACATGCAAATGTATGGTTTGAATGTTGAAACTGTTTTTCATGTTTGCAAAAGATAGTGCTTTGTGTAGTTTACTGTAATCAAAGTATGATTATTACTAGGCAAGTAATAGGTAAAGGACGTGGGGAACCGCATCACGAAGCTAAAGTGGAGCTGGGCAGGGCACCTGATACGGAGACGAGATGACAGATGGAGTAAGGCGATAACTGAGTGGCGTCCAAGGATTGGATACAGGAACGTTGGGCGTCCGGCGGCGAGATGGGCGGATGACATCGCAGGAATTGGGGGGCGAACCTGGATGAGATTAGCACGGGATCGTGAGGAGTGGCACAGAAACTTGGAGGCCTATAGGACTAGCAGTGGGTGAAGTCAGGGTATATATGATGAGTAATGAGCCATTTTAATCAAAATTAAATACAAAGTTATTTACCAATAAATGTAACGATGGAATTCCATTATCATGTAGGTAATCTAGTTACATTCAAAGTTCTATTAAAATTTGACTCTTCAAAATGGAGCGAACAAACGAAGATGGCTTTAAAAGTACGGCCTGGGACTGCTTCCAAAGTTATCTTTCTGCTCGCACTTAGCAAGTAAAGTTATGTAGACCAGACAGTAGCTTCATGACGTCCACCTAAACGCAGGTGAACAGAGGAGTGCCCTAGGGATCTAATTTGGGTCCTCTCTTAATAATTTTATATACATCTGACATCGTGAGCTGTTTTAGGTATTGCCGGTACCATCTTTATGCCGATGACTTACAGTTATACCTTTCTTTCTTTCCAAAGAATACCGCTGAAGCCATCGCTAAGATCAATGATGAGTTAAACCGTCTTACTGCATGGTTGGATAATAACTCTCTTGTATTGAACCCCACTAAGTCCAAATTCATGATTATGGGTTCCAAGAAACAGATTCAGGATATAGAATCACATTTGCCCCAAGTAAAGGTTTTGGGTAGATGTATTGCGTTGGTGTCGGAGGTTCAGAATTTGGGTGTCATTATGACAGTCGACTGCGCTTTGAGCAGCACATAGCCAAAGTAGTGCAGAACTGTCTTTTTAGGTTAAAGATCATTTATAACATTCGTAGCTTCTTGAGTCTGGACTTACGCATTCACTTATGCGAATCTCTTATGCTCTCCAAACTTAATTACTGTATCACTGCCTTTGGTCCGTGTCTTTTGGCAAGAACGCAAAGACTACTGCAACGAGTGCGAAATGCATGTGCATGTTTTTGTTTTTCAATACCACCTCGAAGTGAGGTGGCACCTTTTCTAAATAAGTCTGACATGCTTACGATGGGTGGGCGCCTTAAATTGCATCTGGCTGGATTGTTGTTTGATGTTGTTCGACTGAACACGTACCTTATTATTTGTATGAGAAACTCACTTGGTCATCCACGGTAAACTCTTGCTTTGGAGCAAGGTTGACAAAGGTGTTTCTGCTTATAACCCCCCGGCATAGTACCGCTGCATTTAGAGGGAGTTTCCGATACTTAGCCACTCGTTGTTGGAACAATATTCCTCCTCCTATCCGTAACAACGTCACAAAAAGAACTTTCAAGCAGAAGCTGCAAGAGTATCTTTTAAATATGCAAAAATTGGAAATATGAGTGGCTAAGGTGTTTGAGAAAAAAAAAAAAAATAAAAAAAATTGGATGAAATTAAATACGATTGAATTGAGTTAAATTGAATTGGTTAGAATTTGAATTGAATTAAATTGGTTTTGTTTTGGGTTTTTACGAGTGGCGTCCCTGTCCCTATAGGGTCCTGGCAGAATACCAGCGTCGCGGGCAGCCGTGTCATTTATGCTGAGTCAGCGCCTTTTCATAGCCATGGTTTCCAAGAGAGATACTAGTAGAATAAAATCATTTTTGTAAGGCTTAGATGACTATTTTACGTGTGTAATTATAAAAAATGATCGAGTTTATCTAGTCAGATTTCTCTACGATTGTCAGAGCAAATAATACAGTGACCTATAAACACATGGACTTGCCATACCAACAAAAATAACGTGCATACCTACACAATTTTGGCGCATAAAATAGCCGTCTTTTTTTAGGGTTGTAACTTAGGACAACATGCACATTGCACAAATATCGATAATTTAATCAACATGAGCTTGATTAGTTTAATATTCTCAGTGGCTCTTCTGTTAACGCGTCTTCATGAAATCTTAGAGCATCTAAATAAAATATACGATATGTATTTATTTTGTTGTAATATATAGGGCACTTTTATAGGATATATCACGGAGAGTGTGCGAGTGAATTGCACGATTTAATTCCGCCCTCCCCTTTCCATCATCGGGGGACCAGACGTAGGCTGGGGTTCCACCCATATGTTGTGGATGTTCCTAGATTCGCACGAAGCGTTTCGCTTCTACATTTGTATGGCGAACGGCAATGGAGTGGAATTCCCTGCCTGCTGACTTGTTCCCTGAACGATACAACTTGGACCTTTTCAAGGCGAGAGTGAACAGGCATTATTTAGGTGTGCATGCTTCATCGTCGACTTCATCATCACTTTCCATCAGGTGAGATGGAAGTCAAATGCGCACTTATTTTTTAATAAAAAAAGGGCGTTCAAATAGAACTTTAAATTGAAGCGCGGCGGAAGGCGAGAACAAAATGGATTAATCTTAGGAGTTGGTTTGCCAAAAAAAAGGGTGGATGCTCTATTATAGGCCGAAGGTAATTGCATAACTCAATAACAAAGATCAACCTTTCATTTTGACAATTGAACAATATTCATACTGTATTGATATTATTGCGTTTTATTGTCAAAATTACGTACCTATTGTCATTGTGTTAAGCTTAGAGCATCTAAATCTATCATAAGTGTTACGCATTACCCTTTTGCCGTTTCGGCAAAGATACAACTTGGAGATAGCGATACACGAGTAATGAAAAGCGATGCCATAGATATTATAAGATTTTCGATGATGACCCATTCGTATCAAGCGGCAAAATCCTTGCGCATATTTATGTATTTTATTTATAACACTGAATGAAGAACTGTAATAAACCTTAAAAGCCGACATGTGACATTTGTACTTAGACAATACTCGAAACATCGGTCATTGACTTAGGTTTTACGTATCGATAACCGTAGTTCAAAGAAAGCTATCATACCAGTCGACCGATCGTCGATCAATTGGTGTTATAGCTTTAATCGACGATCAGTATGTTGGCACCAAAGCTAAGTCCAATACTACTAGATTTTTGTTCTTAGGAATAAAAAGGGTTAATGTAAAAAAAATTACAAGTTTTTGCATAGAATATTTTTATTTATTCATTTCTGAACAAAATTAACTTATTAAAATAGTTTCTATACGAAATTTTATCACTATAACGAGCTGAGATGACGAAATAACTACTTTGCGAAAATATTTTTATGTTAATAATAAAAACCTACCAGCATAGAAGGCACTGCGCCGTCATGTAACCTTATCACATCGAGAGTTTTATTGAAGCATGACTCATCGAAGTGCATGGAGCAGACATACCACATTTTATGTCGGGGGTTTATATTTTCAATGCCAATATTATCCATCCATTTCTTCTTCAGAATTTCATTTACAGGAAATCTGTAGAATAAAATACCATTGCACCATTACACACTTAGTAAAATATTACGCCGCTATCGATACTTTAACAATGCTATCGTATGTGTACATCACTAACCTTACATATTATATTTGTATGTAAATAATGCAATGAAATAAAGAAAATATCAACGTGAAAAGCCATACAAAACTATCAAAAGTTTCAATAATCTGTTAGAAGATCAACTTGCGATCATACATTACACAAAATCCTAGAACATAAGAAACGATCATCGAAAACTGATCACTAACCTGTGAAGGGTCAATTCAGGCCGATGTTTGTTTTTTCTTGCATTACACTGTTGTATACAACACGAGGGCATGATTTCTTCAACTCAGGTCACCACAATACCAAGTTTCTAAGATGTATTTCTCAAAAATACGGCAAAAACAATTGAGCAAGCTACCTTTGACAGCAGATCTACCTCGAAAGCGTTGCAAAATATGGCGACGCCGGGCACGCTACAAGCATATGACGTCATACGAAAGTGTTGCCAAATTAGAACTAGTCAAACATTCGTTGTCTCTTTTTTCTTATGCAGCTATTGATTAATTAGAAAGATAAAGAATGCTTTTTAATAATTTTGTGTCGATGTCATAGATATATGCATAATCTATTCTTCCTATATTAAAATATGCCGTCTCCATAGTTTTAATATCTCAGTGAAATAATACATCTTTTTTTCTTTTTTGTGGAAGAGTTGTCACACAAAGACTATAATGAGTATGAATACTGGAGGGTTCTATATAATATGGGACCCATAAATTCGCTTTTAGGCAGTTGATTCGGAAAATAACGGACCTACTTTATTCACGAATATAATATTAAACAACAAGTCATGGAACCATAGATTTAGTATATTGCATGGAACTGATACTGAAGCCTAAATGATTTAAAGAGGAAAGTAGTTACAGTAGCTAAAGTAGTGTCGATATTGACTTATCTATGATTATGGTACAACACTAAATCCGCTATATGTGTGGTACAATTTTGGTTTAGGTAAGTACGTTTATTCCGTATACAGGGCAGCTCCTTTCCTTTATTTTTTTCATCCTCTAAGCTGTGACTAGCCAATCATCAAACATTTAACAACCAGAATGAAAAAAAAACTTTTTAAAATTATAATTATTAATACAAAGATCGAACACTTAGAAAAAATTCCTTCGATCCGGCCGGATTCGAACCGACGTCTCCTAAGAAATCGTGCCAGAAGCTATGCCAACTAAACCACGGAACGAACCAGCGGACCTCACGAATTTTTCTATGTGCTTGTTGTTGAATCTTTGTGTTTGGTTTTCGACGACTTATTAGCCGTAGCCGTAGTAGTGGGGTAATTTCACAAAAAATAATTGAATGTCAATTTAATAAATATTTAATTACAATTAATAGCGACGTCACTAGCCAGGGCTGGTAGTTGTAAAGGTATCTAACTGGGTGACATAATACTTTTATAAATATCTCATATATGGCGCTGGTGATATCGACAAGGCTGTCTAGATATATTTTTGAGGGCCATACACTCCTGCATTAGAAGGGACATTGGTGGGCCGAATTAAAGCTCTTCGCGGGCAGGGCTTGGCCCGCGGGCAGTATTTTGTCCAATGACTGGACTGGACACTGGCACAGTTCTCCGAGAGAAGCCAAAAAAAATCAACATAATGGATATATACTATGTATTTCATCATGGAATCCGATTAAGTAAGTAGAAGGGACCAAATCGTCACTTTAGAGACCGTCTGTGTTTTGTAACTGAGAACATTATCGATGCAATTAGTATTACCACCCTCACTTTGCTAGCGGAAGTGGTATTTTTTCAAAGTCATGACCAATTCAAAGTAGGCAGACTACGAGTATTCATCATTTTTCTAAGCACCTCTGTGGGTTCCATCGCAGTATCAGATGACGTACTTGATCTTTTGGAGGTCTCTTTTTCTAGATAGAGCTAATCTTCATCTTCAACAGGTGGTTTGGGGATATATGGTGTGTAACTATAGGCATAACATTCACAAGTCCTTTTGTCGACGAAGGGTTCATTTTCGAATTCTGAAGACAATGGATAGGTCTTTTGTATAAGTCTTCTTAGCTTCAAGGCATGTTCAAGATCATGTGTTTGGCAGTGCAACGTTAGCTGTTATAAAAATTAAAAGTGTGAATAACTATATATATTATGTACATAAATAACTAACTGTGTTTGACTGTGGCATGTGGTGGCAATCTTTAATTGAGTCAATACTTTAGCACTACTACATTTGAATTGCATAATCAAAATTGTATGTATTAAGTGTATGACTTATTGGGTTTTCTAAATAAATTAAAAAAAGGACACATGCTAACAAAAAACATGCTAACAGATTAAGATAGCATGTTACCAGCGTTAGGAATCTACGTGTTAGGTAGGCACTACTTATTTATTCAAGAATTTGTCGTAAGTACCTCCGTAAAGAACTCACCTTACATTTATAAGTGTCCCCGTTTGTCCATCTATGCTCTTGCGTTTGGTCAATAACGCTGTAATTCTTCTTTCGCAGCAATTCAAACAAATCCGCTTGAGATAGCGAAGTATCAGTTATTTCCACCTAAAAAGATTTTCAAGCTTCATTGCTTCGTCTGAACTATAGAAATTCTTGCTCTCAGCACTATTATAAATGTTTTAACCGTAAATTTGAGAAAACGTGCTTCTGCAGCTTTGCCAAATTGCAAACAACGAGACAAGAGGAAGCTATCGATGTTACCTCCGCTTACAATGCACACCACTCTGTTAAAAAGAAATTAATAGTTATTTGCTATGCAAGGCTGCTAAGCTGCTGCTGTTTGACGCGCGTGCTTGTATTGAAACCTGAGCATGCGAATAGAAAGCTAAGATTGGTTCAAAAATAGATTCCTGGCGTAGCGAGGGTTTCAAGGCACGATGCAAAACGCTGCCGAGCCAAACACACTTTTCAGCTCAATAAAGCGAGGAAAATGGTAGATGAAGGAAAAACAGTTGAACTATAAAACATCAGTTAAAGTTTATCTTATACATCTCATCAATTTTAATTCTTGCTTTTTCTTTTATTTTGTGTAATTAAGTGATTATTGAAATTACTTTAGTTCATCGACGAAATAAAATAATAATTGAATAAACACAATTAGTTATCATTGTCAATTTACTGTCAACAATAATAAGAATAAAATATACCAACTGATTTATATTACATAAATACATAAATGAGTAGGTAATGTACGACAAATCGCGTAGTTGGACGTGTCATTATCTTTTTTTCATCGGAAGAAAAAGCTAGGTACACCACAGTCCATCGTCAAGTTCGAATTTCAAAAACCTTTTCCACGACACCTTGCAAAAATTGCTTTTGCGCGCAGATTTCTAATGAGAAAGAAAGCTTTTCCGAGTTAGTGAGGTGAAAAAGTAATAAAGATAATTTCGAAATCATTAATTTATGAATTAATTTCATTTAACTTACATTGAACATATAAAGTATACGAACTTTTGTATGCTGTCAGCCAATTGTAGAAGAAGGCATCACTATTTCATAGTAATTAATAGATTGGTGTTGCTTTGTGGAAATCTATGTTGATAAAAATGGAAGTTAATTAATTTGCTATTCCACGAACACAGTGAAAGTTAAACCGTGTAAAATAGCTACACATGTATCAATTTTTTTATAATTTATTTATAATATACCTAATACTTATCCTATTTATAGAGTCCCACTGCTGGGCACTGGCCTCCTCTCACAATGAGAGGGCTTGGGCTAAAGTTCCCACGCGGATTGGGAGGTTCACACGCATCATTAAATTGCTTTGCAGATGTGTGCAGGTTTCATAACGATGTTTCCCTTCATCTCATGCTAAATTCATCTAAATTCATCAACTCATGGTAAATTTCAAATAAAATTTCGCACTTAAATTCCAAAAAAGTCACGAGGTCCAAGCCCGTGTTCGAACCCACGACCTTCTTCGTGAGAGGCGGTAGGTCAAACCGTTCGGCTATCACTATTATAATAGCAGCATTTTACACGATTTAACCTTCACCGGGTTCGCAGAATAGCAAATTAATTTACTTTCCTTTTTATTTCATAAAATGCCTAGGCATCTCATGATTTGCGCAATTGTACGTTCGGCCAACGACATAATATAATTTATATCAAACGGGTTACGTTAAATGTTAACCTCTGTCTTCTCTGTTAGCTTTCTGTAATGGTTGTTTGATGTGCAATAAAATAATAATAATTAGTAACGTTTTATTTTTGAGTTCCGGTACGAGTTGTCCGATAATTGCGGCTAGCGGGCAAGCAGCAGCACCCTCCACGACGTAGCGCTCGTGCTCCATCATATGCAACATAGCCTGGCCGATCCATGATTCTTTTACCAGCAACTTAGGAGATAAAGTAGGAAGGATATTTAATTGTTAACACAAAGATTTAACACTAAGGACAATTCTTTCGACCCGGATGAATTCGAACCAGCGCCTTCAGCATACCGTGCCTGTCTCAGTTGGGAAAGTGTCAGGTACGGTATGCAGAAGGAGCTTGTTCGAATCCAGCTGGATCGAGAGAATTTTTCTTAGTGTTTGATCTTTGTGTTAACAATTGTAACAAACTAGCGGAGTAATTTCACAAAGAATAATTGAATATCATGAAAGTAAAACATCGTGGTACTCAAGAAGTTTATACTACAAGGATATTTAATTTGTGCCAAGACAGAATGATGTATAAATTTTTCCTGTTTACCTTCCAAAAATATTTGATCAAAAACAACCTTTTAGAAAACAATTTATCTAAAAAATCTTTTACAAATAAAGGTTGAAGCACAGATCAGTTAGTAGATTAGGTAACGTTTGGATCGTTTGATGCCCACCGTTACACCGTACACTTGCTCTAAATAAGAGAAGGAAGCATTTTTAAGCACTTACCATTTTGTCAAGTAAAGGAAGTGCATTATGATAAGCGTTGGCTCCTACTTTTGACATTGTTAGGCTATTGGCAAGTGTCGTTTCGGGTACGAAACTCCTGGCGGCGTCTTCACTTTTCGAAGCAGTAAAGAAAGCTCGTGCCTCTTCTGGCTGGACACCCTAAACATACATCGCATGCATAGTTCTAAGAGTGTAAAGATAGGTGTAAGGTAACATAGATACAACTCTTAACACGACCATTTACACCATAAAATTGAAACGTTCTTGAAGAGACATTAATATTGATATCTTAAGAATCAGTAAAAAAATATTATAACTTTTTATTTTGAAAAACCGACCTCAAAAGTTAGTTAGTTCCGCTTTGTTCGCTACCGTGGTTTCTTCTAACACGACTAAAACGCTTTACATGGATGTCCTCGTCAAAACGAATGATAAGAACCCAAACGCAAGCTAGCTGCTGTACACTGTTGCTGGTGATAAGACCCATGATCAGTTACGGCGCGATAGTATATATATAAATATATACACATAGTATAGTAATATATATGTATATAGTATGGTGGTCACGAACCTAACTGTCGACCGCAACCGACAAGCTGGACAAATTCCAAAGACTAGTTTGCATGGCGACGACTAGCTGCATGAGGACAACTTCAACTGCGGCCCTCTAAGCGATGCAGGACCTGCGACCCCGCCCACTGTTCATGAGACAGTAAGCGGCGTCAACAGCAGTGTGTCTAAACACAGCCAGCCTTTGGAAGCACATGACAATTCCACATACAGAAATCCTTTATAAGACTATCAATGAGGAACCGGTACTAGAGCGGGCTGGACAGGATCCCAAAACAATACATTTGTGACAAAAAATACAAGGTACAATTGTTTGAAGATCCCAACGAAGGACTGAGTCCAAGAGAAGTCCTCGTCTTCACTGATGGATCAACAACAAATTCAGGTACAGGTACTGGGATATTCCCAGAAGACTTCAATATCAGGATATCAACACCGCTTGGTGACCACAACACAATATTCCAGGCTGAATGCATGGGTATCAAGTTGGCGGCAGAAGCAATCCTAGCGAGAAGAGTAAGGATCACTCCATTCGAATACTCTACGACAGCATGTCAGTACTTCATGCACTGAACAGCTATGACATAAACTCAAGGCTCATTTATGAATGCCATCAAGCACTCATGGAAGTATGTATACACAATCATGTAACTCTACAGTGGATTAAAGGACACAGCGGCTCACGTCGCAATGATGCAGCAGGTGAACTAGGCAGAAAAGAGTAGGAGCCGAACGCTGTAGGACCAGAACCCAAAGTGTCTCTCCCCCACCAATGGTCCAGAACAACTATACATAAAGGCACAAAATTTTCTAATAATAATATGTATATATATAATATGGACTACCCTTACGGTTTGTATAATAGACAGGCGAGGGAAGCTCTCCAAACGCTCAACGCCAGTCTATCTCGAAAATTAATTAAAGTCAAAAGTCAAGAGCTTCGCACTCTAACTGCCGCCCTAATGGGTCATGGTCTATACAATAAACACCTTTTCAATTTAGATATCACAGACAGCCCTCTATGCAGAGCGTGTATGGAGGGAGAAGAAACGGCTGCGCACATCCTTCTATAGTACCTACTCCGGCGTGGCCAAGTATAGGGCGTAGTACCTTGGAGTACCGAGGTCGCTCTCTGAAGTCTTCAGCAAACTGAGGAGGTTGCTGAGATTCCTGGAGGAGCTTGGGTGGCACGAGTAGTATCCTGCACCCACCACAAGCAAAATAGGCGCTTTGACGTCGAGTTGCGGACGCTAGTCCGTTACACCAAGTACACTGTTGAGGAGTTATTCTCGTCTGTCTGCCATTTCCATCATCAGATCCCCATAACATTTTACTTTCATTGGAATTATATCGTTGTACCAAGTTTTATTGAAATCGGTTAATGAAAAGTGAAATTCAATAAACTGGATAATCCCTTAATTTGCCGCCCTTAACAGTGGATTATTTTCTTCAAATTTGAATGGGACCACTAGTGCGGCACCCCACCCATTACTGAGGAAAACAGTTCACAAATTAATAAAAAATAAAAAAGAGTAATCGCGTGTATAATATACAAACAAAAAAATACAGTCGATTTAGAACCTCTTCCTTTTTTGAAGTCGGTTAAAAAGGAATTTATTGATGAGAATAAAATGGTCTGTACAAACGTATATTAAGCAGTTCTTCTTCTTGTGTTTGATAACTACTGCGATCGCTGCAGCGAGACCTCCTGTACCGACAGGGACGATGACAGCATCTACCAATGGTATATCTTGCAATATTTCCAGCGCTATGGTACCATATCCCGCCAGAATGTCAACATAATCACGACTAATAAAATAAGCAAGACATATTATTATGATGTAGAACAAGATTAGAAAACTATTTTAGATTAATTCAAAGTCTAACCTATTGATATAGACGAGTTTGTTCTTATGCGCCACACTGCGGGCCTGCGTATCGACATCGTTCAGATTTCTGCCATGCAAGATTATTGTCGCTCCTAATTTGGTTATTTTTTCCCTTAGACTTAAAGGTACGTCCACTGGCATCACTACGATGACTGGAATTTTATTCTCGTGAGTAAAATAACATAAACCCAATGCTTCATTCCCGAGTGATGCTATGACCACACCATTATTTCTCGTATTTTCAGGCACTCTAAGCAGACCGCAAAGAATCCCTCTCGATTTGAAACTGATCGCAACAAATAACTGTTTTAATATGAAATGCTCTTAAAAAAGTAATAAACAAGGATGTATATAATAATAATGTAAGTATAATGTAATGTAATGTAATAATAATGTAAGTACTCCTACGAGTAACACTAACCTTCCAGATCTTTGCAAATTTTCCATCTTGTAATAAAGAGACATCTTAAATTGGTTTTCACAATGTGAATTCTAGAATGAAGGAAAATGTTAGACTCTGAACAAACAGAAGTTAGGAGATTGTGATAGTTGAGTATAAACAACTCTAGTTTTATCCAAACTAATATTATAAATGCGAAAGTCTGTTAAGTCTAAACCGCTCAACCAATATTATTGAATTTTGGTACAGATATAGATATGGAACCTAACAGGAAAAGGGCAGAGGCTACTTTTTGTCGCAAAAATAAATCTTAAAGGAGGTGAAACAGGGCATGACAGTTTGTATGGAGAACCAATAGAACTATGACAATTATTAGTAGGTATAGTGCTATAGGCTCCTGGAAGTATTTATTCTATGCAGACGAACGGAGGTATTTATTCGTGAGCACCAGCTAGTTAGTCATAATTATATAACAAAATAATTAAACTGAAATGAAAGTACTTAAAGTTCCAATTAAAATTAAAAACTCACAATGCAATTTGTTCTCTGAACAAATGGTTTGAGCAAATCCAAAAGTTCAGCTGCTTGCTGCACATCATAAAAGTTTATTTCTCTTGGGTTTCGCGGATCGCTTAGGGGGTCTACCTGGCGTAACAGTCGGAAGATGTAACCAAAGATTTTAGGAAACACAGAAACAAAAAAAAATAAGATCTGAAACTCGAAAAAAAATCGTAAGGTCTGCTGGATCGATCCGTAGTTGGTATAGCCTCAGGCACGGTATGATGAAGGTTCGAATCCAGCTGGATCGAAGGAATTTTTTTAGTGTTCGATCTTTGTATTAACAACAACGCAAACACTCATTCAAATTCAAATTCAAAATAATCTTTATTTCATAGGTAAGCATTATTACACTTGAAATCGTCTCCATGGCTAAACTCTACCGCTCATTCCTAAGGCAGATTACCCTGAGAAGAATGAGCAAGAAATTCTAAACTATGGGTAGCTCTTTGTAAATAACATTTGTTTAAATTAACATTCAACATTAACAATATATTTTTTTTGTTTTGAAACATCAGATATCGAGACATTCTCCATGAGCTAAACGGGTTACTACCACGGATTTTTGTCGTCCAAGTGCGCAGAAGTAAAGGTTATATAACCTTTAGTATAAACTTTTTGTTTCACTATAGTAATAATCTTCGTGAAAGGCAGATTTTATATATCAACCGGATCTTGTTACAGAAGCGTATATCTACTATCTATCAAGAACAGCAAGTTTATTTTTCATTAGGAAAACCCTATACCTCAGGTACCACGGACACACACATAGACAACCAGAAATTACACCCAAACTTACGAGAGAAATAAATGCAGGCCATACAAATATATCTCCCATCCTGGGAATCGAAACCGGGACCTCTGCGTGACAGTCCAACATGGTAACCGTTCGGACACAGTGGCATTTAATATTCAATCATTATAACATATCACACAGTTCGACGTACGAAAAAATTAATAGGCTGTCTGGGAAACCTTAAGGTCGGCAGCTACGTTGCCCAACGCGTTAGCTGCCAGCATCTTGGGCACCTTAGCGGGGAGACCCAATTTTATTCATATAATTAAATCGTAGTTCTATTTTCTAGTATTTACACTTTTATTGTAGTACCTTACGTGTATATTTCGACTTATTGTCTAATAAAATTTAAAACGTACTATTCAAATAATTTATCATTTACTTACTCCAGCCATATTCAATACTTGTTCATAGTAATTCGTATTACAGAAAACGTATTATCAATTTACGAATATTTTAAAAGTATATAGATATATAGATATCGTTGTTTGAAACACAATTTCTTTGGCTTTACACTGTTTGAAACACTTCTTGAGTAATTAATAAAATTTTATAAAATACATAAAACATCAAAATGGTAAGTATTTTTTTATAATATAGTAAATGTTTGTTATTATTGTAATACTTAAGTAAATAATTTTATTTTCAAAATGTTTGGACGAAAGGTAAAGAGGAACTTATGTGACCATAGAGTAGATGCTTTTTTAAAGTTTTTGTAAGGCTGGCTATTTTTTTCCATCCTATAATGACAATAATAATAATAATAATAAATGCCGCCGGGAAATATCGGGAAATAACGCCTGTCCCATCTCAAAATTCAAAATTAATCTTTTAGGCCTTAGGAGAGGCGAGATTCTAAAATAGACATAATAATAATAATAATTGTTTTGTCCGTTAAAGGGTTAATTTCAGTCAGCCTTGCTATCAGCCTGACGCGGTTGGATTTCTGTAGCGTGTCGCTTCCAGTACAAATAAGGCGGTCCTGCTCGATACGGCACGTATTGTTCACCGGTTCTTAAACCTGAGTCCCTGACCCGACCGACTGTGCCATTGCATTCAAAATTAATCTTTTAGACCTTGGGAGAGGCGAGAGTCTAAAATAAATATAATAATAATACAAAAAAGTTTATTTCCTTCACATACAACTCTTATAACAATACTTTTAACATTATGTTGTTGGCCGGAGCCCTAACTAGGATACCCTTTAGATACGCTACAATTTCAAGTTCGTCACGTCGTATCCTACATATACAGGGTATCCTACCCGTAACTACAAAGAAAATCTCATGGTTCAATTGACAGTACTGAGATCTCTATAGCTTCATCATAAATAATTGTAGTATGCCAAGGCTTGTTCTCCATCTTTTACTACTAGATTTATTATTTGTGATAAAACGAGTTTTAACGCATATGAACTAGAATCAATGACCGATAAGTTTCCTACTCTCACAAGGCTTAATTATGGACTAAAATACAGTTTTCTTACTGTTACGCACATTGTGAGAGTCTCGTCAGTATAACGGTTATTTATTTTCCCTGTATTGTTGCGTTCCCACGGCCCTTAATGTCAAACGCGCCGATTTGTAAGGGCGGCGAGCGCGCGAAACGGGCTATCGAGAGCCCTCTGAAAAAATCTAGTGTTTTCTTTAGTCCATAGCTAATTGATAACAAAAAAATATAGCTAAAAATAAAATGGTGAAAAAAATCTTTCGATCCGGCCGGATTCAAACTGACGTCTTCTAGCAAATCGTGGCAGACGCTATGCCAACGAAGTCACGGAACGAACCAGCGGAACTCAGGAATATTTTTCTATGTGCTTGTTGTCGGACCATTGTATTTAGTTTTCTATATATCTATGATAAATCTATGAAAGTATTTCGTCACCCAGTTAGGGAACTTTACAAACTAGTGTTTAGTTTATGTACAGTCATATTATGCACAAGATACCTGACCCCTCAAGCCGACTTTGTCCACCTTTTGGTTCTGAGCACAAAAATGTGGAGATAATTGTTAAATAAACTTAATCTTTAACCTATGAGCCGTAAAATTTATTATGGTATGGCTCCTTGGTCATCTCATTAATGAATGACATTGTAAGAAAGTTTTTAAGCCAATTTGATCTTTAACGAACAGTTCTTACTTAAATACAGAATACAAATTTCAAGCAGCTGTAGTAAGGACGTCGTGGCGTAGCGGTATAAGGATTGATTTGCAAGTTGACGCAAGCATGGTTCGAGTCACATCAAAAATAAAATATTATTTACCTAGGACTATATGTATAATATTGTTTTTTTTTTGTTTTTAATCTCTGGATAGGAGTAAGGATTGTGTAAGAATGTCAGATTCTGAAAAAGAAAGCACCGCCCAGAAACATTAGAATGAAATAAAAATAACCTTCTTGAGTAATTCAACAAATATTTTAATATTTTATTCTTCTAAATTATAATTAGTAAACATATTTTTAAAATACAGTAGTATAATAGACCCTCATAATTGTAGTTTCGAATTTAACCTAATACTAGATTTATAATTTATATATTTTTTTAATTTTAATGATTCGTTAAACATGTTTTATAACACCGCTGGGATAATGAAGAGTGGGGTGGTTCTTTTTGTAAATTAAAGCCAGTTGCAGCACTGCGAAAAATATTATGAGTCTACTTACCGCTATATAAAGTCGCCTTGCAACTTCTTTGATTGGCACATCTTGTTCATATAGAACAATAATTTCTAATTTTAATAATTCTGTTAAGTGCGGCATATTAAAACAAGAAAGAATAGTTTGAAAGTAATTAAAACTGAATAGACATATGGGAACGAAACGTGGAAGAATGCGTAATCACCAGGGATCGGAATAAATAGAGCTTTTTTACGTAAACTTCGAGGGACATAGACAGAAAATGGAGACTGCCTTACGACAATATTTTTTAGGTCCTGTACCTGTTCGGGATTCGGGAAATCACTTAAGTACATTAAAAATTGACGTAATTGGGGACAGGCAGGTACACTATGTTTATCTTAATTTTGCGACAGTGGGTCGGACAGCGATATTGCGGACATTGGATTTTTTTCACGATACCTCTCTAAAAAAATGTCAATCGAGAGATCTTATTGTCCTAATTAAATATCGTCGTATCACATTTTGCCATAAATCTAATAGTTTAGTAGGGAAACAATGTGTATTTTTTGTATGGGACCATACTTTTAGTGCCCCATCGTTACGAAGTTTTGGTCGATCAAGTTTTGGAATCACTACAGTAACTATTTGAAGTAATAACAAAACATCAGTATGAATTCGAAACAGAAATTTTAATTTCCTACTGAAACAAATAAACACGAAAAACCAACCAATTTAGTTTTATTATTATGTGAAGCAAGAGACTTTAATTTAAAACAGTTTTAGGTCGGAACCCTAAAAGCTGTATTAAGATTCTTCGATACAATTATTTGTTATCAATGTAATCAAAGTCCAATAAATCATTCGTGATTTCTAAAATTCCGGGATGAAAACATTTTGATTATCATTCCGGTATTTCAGAGTGTGGTATTATCCACTCTACGTGTACTCTTTTTTGAAGTTTAGGTAAATATACTCATTCCGATATTACTATTTACTAGTGTTCCTATGTCGCACCCTTTTTTATTTTAAAGTAAAGGCTGGCAAAACGTGTTAAGCATGCAGAAGTTTTCTGATTATGATATGAAAATCGAGTCAGAAAGTTAAAACGTATACCTAGAACACAAGGAGTCGTTGCGATAGTTTTAGGATTTTGTAGGAATGTCCATAAAACAGAATGTTAGTAATACAAACCTTAATTAAATTTTTATTGAATTGACATTAAATTATTTTTTGTGAAATTACTCCACTAGTTTGTTATAATTATTAATACAAAGATCGAACACTCAGAAAAAAATCCTTCGATCCGGTCGGATTCGAACCGAACGTCTTCTTGCATACCGTGCCAGACGCTATATCAACTAAGCCACGAAACGAACCAACGGACCTGGTTTTGGTTTTTCAACGACTTTTTAGTCGTAGCGCCATCTATGAGAAATCTATGAAAGATTTATCACCCAGTTAGTACCAATTCAATAAAATCAATATCAATTCAATAAAAATTTAATTAATACAGTAAATAGCGACATCTCTCGCCAGGAGTGGTAGCTGTAAAGGTACTAACTGGGTGATAAATCTTTCATACATTTCTCATAGATGGCGCTACAACTAAAAAGTAGTTGAAAAACCAAATACAAAGACACGACGCAAGCACATAGAAAAATTCGTGAGGTCCATTGACTTTTTGTAAGTCAATGGTGAGGTCCGTATAATTCGTTCCGTGGCTTAGTTGGTATAGCGTCTGGCACGGTATGCAAGAAGACGTCGGTTCGAATCCGACCGGATCGAAGGAATCTTTTCTGAGTGTTCGATCTTTGTATTAATAATTAATACAAACCTTATTAACTCCAATTAAATGTATTAAGTAACTGTTTCCAGTTTGGCGGGAGATGGTCTTCTACCTACCTGTTCCCAATTAAGTCAATTTTTAATATTCTTAAGTGATTTTCCGAATCCCGAAAAGGTCTGGACCTAAAAAATATTGTAAGGCAGTCTCCAATTTATGTCTACGTTCTTCGAAAAAATTCTACCTATTCCGATCCCTTGTAATCACAGAAGGTACGATCGTATGCAAACTGCAGAGCGATATCGTGATTTGCTAACATATCCATACTCACCCTACACTTTATTAATAATATCTACCCACCCACCTTAGGCAATTTCTAGTGAGCAAATATTGTGATTTGTCAACGTTAACATTAAAAAGTGAAACAATGCTGTTAAAAATATAACGTTAAAACAAAATAGTGCTCGTGGAATCGAACCACGGGTAATTCTAACAGGCAGTCTATACAACAAGCCGCTCGACCAATTTACTTAGATGTTAAATGACGGAATTTAGGATTGGTTTCAAAAATATGTTGATCATCTTCAAGCAACACGCCACAGTATTGCTGATGCAATAAAGTTTAAATTGCTTTAATTTTTTCTTTGCTCAATACGCAAGATAGCTCGAACCGAAAGGTCGGTTAGGGAGTCAGGAATCTCATATATATGACGGTACATGGCTTAAAATAAAATCCGACCAACTTCAATTGGTGATTATATTCTTGGAAACAAAACTTTAGTACACTAAACACAGAACACAGGAAGTACAGAGGCGTCTAATAAGAAAACACACATTCTACGCTAAACGTAGTTATTTGTATCTTCTTAAATCATACTCTTTAAACACATCTACTTGCGGATTTGTTTAAACATTTGCATATGACTAGCGTTACTTGAACGAGGTCAATTTGGATTTTGAAATCGTTTTCTGGGGAAACAAGCACAAGTAGGAATTGGGCTGAAAGGTTCTTCCATGAACTCGCACATATCCGGAAACAGTTTCGTCATGACTATTTTTAGATTACATGACTGTTCTAGATCGAAGGCTCCGACTTTCAAATGCAACTGAAAACGAAGCAAAAGTCAATCTATGAACGAAAAGAAAACAATGTACACATTGACCTACCAACAAATAGACGTCGGGTCTAATACAAAAACCACGAAAAAAATGTCCGAAGTTAACCTATACAAACGTTGTGACATGTAACGAAATATAAAAAACTAAAACATTTAATTTAAATTGTAACGTCATTGCAGTACTGCCTCATTTTGCTTGCAACAATTTAAGGACCCAAAAACACCATATTCTGCTTCTACTGGAAATTTAGCAAAATGCACCATATTTAGCTTCGACTGAAAATTACTTGAACACAAGGGTAATGGAGTAGCTTTTATCGTAAATATTAATTAATTTTTGTATATATTATTACATCGAATTTTGTGCAAATTCACTTAAAGAAATAATAAAGAGTTGGGCAGATTCATACACACCAATATTACTACAAATGTGAAAGTCAGCGTGTATTATAAGAAATGTACTGATATTCCAACTGAACGTAAACGTAATTCCGAAAACCGATTTAGGTTAGTTTTGTAACCTTCCTAAAAAAATACATTTGACATTTTATTTCGTTGCACTTACCCATATGTAATTAATACTGTTAGAGGTAATCCATGCAGGTCCATAATAGCATTCTACAAGATTGCATCCTGTGCTCGCTATCGCCGTAAATATTTGGGATTGTTCACGTGACGACTGAGACGGTAATTTCACCTACATGTAATAGTTATAGTTATTTTTTTACCAGTTTTGGATGTTGCAAAACCGTGTAAGGTATGATTATTTTGATGGGGAATTTTGATAGTTTATAGTTTAACGACCTCTGTGGTCGAGTGGGTTGCACACCGGTTTTCATAGTGTCGCCACCTCTAGATCCCGAGTTCGATCCCCGACCGGGTTAATGTAGAAAATTTACTAAACTAACTTTTCTATGTTGTGCCGGATCCGAGTGTTTGGGGTTGTTGTTTCCGATTTCCATAACACAATTGCTTTAGTTACTTATTTTGGGATCGACGTTACATACAATATATATTTATTATTATTATTATTATTATTATTATTGTAGTGTGGGCCAGTATGTAAATCTTTTTTATCGAGGAAACCCCTATAGGATAATTTTCCGCCGCGGGACAGGCGGAGAGGTTATCTTGGGGTCTATCACGGTGACCTTCTAATGGGAGCGATCCGGGATCGACTTTGCGCACCGGAACACCCTAGAACCCGGGAAGTTTAGTTTAAGGGTACATTCTCACTCTCCCTCTCCTCATGAGAAAGTGGGTCATGTCGCCCCGTCCTCCTTCCCGTGTCTGCAGGTTAACTAGGCATTCTTACCTTAAATTGGATTAAACGACCCTCTATAGCCTTGCCTCGTTGAAGACATCGAGGGAATGTGATGGAATCCATGTTGCCACTGGTTATTACACATACGACGCTGTAAAACAGATCATGTCATACTAAAATGTGCTTTATTTCAAATCGTACTAAACTATGGCATATCGTAATGATGAACTGACATCGATTTTTATGCCAAGGTACACGAGTACGTACGTTTTACCTTGCAACTCTGGTAGAACAGTGGGAACCGCTAATAACGCGGCCAAACTGGTTGCACCCGCACCTTCGACGACAATGTTTTCAGTCTCTCCTAATTCTAAAATAGCTCGATTAATCCAATCATCGTCAACCAAAACCTAGACGTAATTGGTAACATAAAAATAGAAAATTTTAATGATAAATAATCCATCCATTGATGAGTATAAAGCTTAAAATGTCAATTAGATGTAGCTACGGACCATTTTGGAAATATTTGAGTGTGCTGTATAGAATGCGTTAACACCGATCATTGGAATTAAAAGTTTATCAGCTATACATGGCAGAGTTCCAACTGTGGCATACGGTTTATTATTCTGCATTGCCTTGAAGAAAGAACAGCCTTTGATTGGTTCCACACCCTGAGGAAGAGAATTTGCGTTGATTTAAACAAATCAGAACGGAAAACTAAATCACGTTATTGCAGAGAAATAATGAAGTACCTATTACGTACATAAATAAGAGTTTCAGGTTTAACGTGTTTAACGTATTCTGTTATACCACTTAACAGCCCTCCTCCACCAACGGGCACCATTATGACATCAGTTTCTGGTAGCTGATCCAATATTTCCACACCAATGCTTCCCGATCCAGCGATTGCTTCTGGATGATCGTAACTGTAATGAAAGTATGTTTAGGCTGCCATCAGATGGTTTGTATTCGTGAAGTGGATACAGATATACAACTGCAAGCGGTTGAAACCACTCGACAGCGAGCAGTTATCGCCGCGCGTCTATATCAAGCACTCAGTCTATTTGTTGATGTTGTAATGGAAGCACAGATGTTACTTGTAACTTATCACTGTATTCACCACTTTGATTCCAAATGCTGACTTTACTTTTTATTAAGTAATCACTATCTAAATCGTCCATTTTAATTTGCATTGTCTCCTAACTTGTCCGTGATCTCCATGTGATCACCTACTATAACTGCGATAGAATTTTCAATCAAAAACGTAAACAAAGATGCCATTCCAAAAAACTAATTAAAAATCGTGCAAATGTGAAATAAATATGGCGAGAAAAATTTCACCAATGCTTCACTAATCGCGTTTTTGTTTTACCATTACGTTGATTAAACCCTCAAATAATCGTTACCTTTTGCCATTTCAGAGGTAAAAAAAAATGTCCTCTTAAGAATGTCAATTGCTGCTTTCGATTTGTTCACAACGACTGTAGCCAACCCTACTAACTTACTAACTAGTTCAAACCTCGACTATACACGCAGCCGAAATCACGAATGCATGCAGATCGCGACTGTATACATTACAGACATGAAGTCAGTCTGTTTCGAGTAGCAGCTTTAACTACTAAGCTAAACTTTACAATTTTATTTAGTTCATTTGTATACTTACTACTCAAAATCTAATTTCAACAGTGTATAAAACTCACCCATTAATATAGACAGATCCCATTTCGGCACTCAAAATAAAAGCTTGGCGTTTTGCTTCTGCAAAATCCTCACCAAATAATACAATTTTAGCGCCATATTCTTTACATCTAGATATGATTATTGGGCAGGTTTTTTCAGGAAAGACTACCAATATTCTTACGTTGTTTTGATTACAGTAATAAGCTATAGCCTGTGGTAAATAGTATGTATGATTAGTTGTATTTCATTCATATAATTAAACTTTTATGAAATACTTACCAACGCCCAATTGCCTAGAGACGCCGTTATAATACCGTTGCTTATTTGTTCTTTAGTTAAATTATTAACTACGTTGAGTGCAGTACGTTCGTGGAAACTGTGAAATTAACTTCAGTTTTATCGACGTGCCTTATTTTTTTAATACCGAAATTAAATCATAAATTCAATGAGCTACCTGCCGGTCCGATGAAAAATTTCGATTTTATAATAAAGATTTATTTTAAATTTTTCACAATTTTTCGATTTCTGTGAACCAGGCAATATATAGTAGTTAATCTACAATAAGTTAAAATATAATGTCAATTGAGTTAAACAATGTATATAGTATTGTATAATAATAACCATAACTGGAGTAGGTTGTATGGTCCTTTTGATTGCTATTGCTGCTTTTGATATGTCCTTATAGTAAATATACCTAGGGTTATCGGGGTCACACATAGGATCGAGTTCAATTTCATCTTTCTGTGAAGAAAGCGTTTAAGATTTGTAAGGCAAAATGTTAACGAATATGGTTCTTTCAACAATACTCTGCATACGCTGATGTTTAATGTCTTCTTCTTTATCAAAATGCTTTGAAAGGTCTTAGAGTCGTATTCCAGAACTCTACTCATTGCTCAAGTCAGGATTTGAGTATGATTTCAAGCATTGGAAATACGACCCTAAAGGCAAGGACTTGAGTATAATTTCTAGTGCTTTAAATCATACTCAAGTCCTGACTTGAGCATTAATGTTAGCCTTGTGTACTTACCCTACACTGAGGTACATTTTTGGCAAGTTTTCGTTTGGCTAGTGCCGCTGGTGAAACTCCAATAGGAGTCTTTGTCGATTCTTCGGTAGGGACTGTAGATTTCTCAGTTTTCTTGGACATTTTTATATTATTTTCTTGTTTATTGAAAACACTGTTTATTCTAATGGACTATATGTTTGTGATTTCGGCTGCATTTGGCAGTACTTTTCTTTTTACGGGATTTCTAATTCTTACGTAAATAATCCGTCTTCTAACACATTTTGTACTTTGTTAATTTACACAACTCAATACCTACAAATATAAGGCACCTATATATTAAGTTCATTTTTGTACCCTTTAGCCCTAATGGCAAAAACATCACAAGTTCCATACAAATTAAAGTATTACAGCTCCATCGATACAATCAATGAATTCGTCAGCCTTGCAACCTTAACGGTTAAGAAAGACAATCGTTTATTACTCAGTATTTGACTGCTGAATTTCGATGGTAAATTTCATTGAGAAGAGAATTTACAACAACAACAATACAAACTTACTATATGAAAAAATGGACAAACTATTACAGAAACAAATTGTTAATTTTATTAAAAGGCTGAAATAAATGGAACATTTGATATTTTTCTCTGGGTTAGAAAGAACCGAAAGTATTTTTATTTGTAAAATATTTTACAATTCAAAACAGAATAGAATAGAATTTTGTAGCATTTTATACTATTTTTCGATTTACAGTCTAATTTTAGTTTAGTTGCAATGCAATTGTAGACATTATCGACATTTTTGACTTCTCATAGACAAAAATATATTTGGATAGGATATAGATAGAATGGAAAAAAAATAAAAGAAAGGAGGTGCCCTAACCACGGAATGAACGTGTATATCTAAACAAAAATTCAACGAACAAATGGCGGATTTCTTTAATGTCGTACCACAATCTATCGAAAAGTCATTATTGACATGCAAACATTTAATTAAAGTAAATCAATATCCCATTTGGGAATGTTTTAGGTTATATGGGAATATCTGGGAATGTCACATGAAATTTTGAATTTATTGTTTTGCGTTTACAAATACTCAAATATTACGAAAAGTGAATTTGCACAGAAAAAATGTAATTTGAGAGTGTATAAAAAAGAGAAAACTTTGAAATATAAATCCTATACATTTCCAACCTCAAGATTCATATTTTCAAAGAGAAATTTTGAAACAGATTCCAAATAGTGTAGGCTTTTTTGTATTTATGCATTGGTATACAATTAATATCAGTGACTAATTTAAGTGAATCTTTAATACTTCCATTTAATTTTGGAAATAAATGAAAGTAGTAAAATTATCAATAACAATATTATTATCATACGTTTATTTGCTTAAAACATGGTATAACAGGAGATGTAACAAGAGACAGTGTTAGTAAAAACATGTTTCGCATATACATATATTAAATAGCATGCAAATGTCTGATTATACTCAATTTGTATATGATGACAATGATTGTAGTCAATTGCCTATTATTGGCCGAGCTCCTTTGATTTGTACAGAAAAATCGACCGAAGTGAGACAAGTAGTCATAAGCGACTGCGAGTTATGACAAGCCACGTCAAACGAGCTCTATACATGTTAGCGCTCGCCTTCACTCGGTCAGCTAGGCGAGTGACACCGAATGATGGCAAGGCAAGGCAAGGCAAATCGGCTGTCTATACGTTGGTATTGGCCTTCACCCGGCAACGTTAGAGAGAGGTCTTTGTATTGTTGGCTTTATAAAATAAGAATTTGTAGTAGTTAGAGTTGTCAGTGGGACACAATCGGAAACGAGTGGATAATTTTATTTTCAGGAACTGAGAATGCCTAGTAAATAAGTCTTGTTTAATCTAAATTAAACATAAAATTACTTACCAATAAACCTAATGATGGAATTGCATTATCATGTAATCTAGTTACATCCAAAGTTATGTTAAAATTTGACTCTTCAAAGTGAAGCGAATAATATAAATGGAGATGATCTTCCATTCAATGTTTATATTCGGCACTATTAAACGGCGGTATGATTTCCAACCATTCTTTTTCTTTTTTGATTTGTAGGTAAACTTGAAATAGTAAAAATAATAATAATAAAATAATAAAAACCTCGTAGTGAATTTTTTTAATAATATAGAATATCGATCATATGTACGCTTCCAAGAACAACACTATCTCAAAATAATAGTTAACAACAATCATCAAAATATACAAACAAACAGTCAATGTGAAGAAACCAAAGCAAAATTTGACAAGATTTATGAATAAACTACTTAAATATGTCTAATTACATGAGATGTTTGGGCTTTTGTGTGATTTAGACAGAAAAATAACACGTGCCTGTACCATGTTATATTCGGTCGATCTTCGCTTTTTCAAATGCCACATCCCTTAAAGCTGCAGCGTCGAATTTTTATTAATACTTAATTGTTCTCACTGTCAATATTTTTGTCCATTTTATTACAATACATGTGAATAATTCAATAAAACACTTGGAAAAACAAATGTCAAAAACATTTGATGTACTTCCCTTTGACAACCGTATCATGTACCTCATGTACTGCGAAATGGACACGGTTGGCATTTAAGATGACGTTACGTATTTTCGATTCCCGTGTTTGACACAGACCAATGTAATGCTATCTCTTTGGGCTTAAGACGGCATGCAAGAGAACAAAGACAATAACATGTTTATGTTTTCAATATCGAAATGCATCATATACATACATATAACGTCTGATTTATATATGTCAACATAACAATAAATGACAAACTTTCCGTGTTCATTTTTTGAAAGTAATGCATGCGAGCATGTTTGAGAAAATTATATTTTCAAGTTCCATGATTCGGACATTGGTCAGGGTTTGAACCGTTACAAAAGAATTTTGGCAAATATTTATATGCTGAAATAGGTTTTATTAACCCCAATTTGAATATACTTTGCAAAATCTCTGAAGTTTTATTTTAAATTGATTTATTAATAAGTAATGTTATTAGTAATATGGTTTGTGTAGACTCATGTTCATTTACTTTTTATGCTTAAATAATGACGACGACGACGACGACAACAATAATAATAATAAATAAATAAATAAATAAATAAATAATAATAATAAATACGATAATAATAATAATAATAACAATAATCTTTTAGGCCTTGGGAGAGGCGAGAGTCTAAAATAGATGTAATAATATACAAAAAATAATATAAGAACAGGTATAAAAATATTTTACAAAAAACTGTAATTTTAAATACAAATGTCAAGTAATTTAAAAGTTCATGCAGATGAAGAAGACTTTCTTAACCTAGACTAAGGGTCGTATTCTAGAACTCTACTCAATGCTCAAGTTAGGATTGCACTGGAAACACAAGCACTGGAAATACGACCCTAATAGCAGGGACTTGAGTATGATTTTGAGTGCTGTAAACCATACTCAAATCCTGACTTGAGCATTGAGTAGAGTTCTAGAATACGACCCTAAGACTTTCTTAACACTGAACTTCCTTTGATATATATATATTAGGGGTTAAAGTATGAAATTGCCGTTTTATTGCAATAGGTTCT